AAATGGGACATCACAATGTCTAACCACTGCATGTGCAGGAACTACACCTTGTCAGGGACATCTGATATATGGGAATAAGGGTTTGGACTGTTTAAGAGTGCAGCTACCTTTATTGACACTAATAAATGACACGTTTGAAGAAGACATGCATGTTGATAAGCACATATTTCGTACGCCAACTTCATTATATCCACATACATGTAGATATATAGGATAATTTAATATTTGGCCGCTGGGGTGCATTTATTTTCTGCCGAAAAGTAGGAGTCGAATTGTCTTCACAACACTATGTATATACAACCAGGATGTTCATTAAACAATTACTTTGGGGAGTATAAAACTTGATGCAAAATAATATTTGTTTGCAGTATTTTCTAATGCAAATTATCATTGTTTGTAATCTAGGCAGATAACGACAATTTTAACTTTATATCAATACCAATATGTCGGAGGCAGTCGTCTAAGTGCGCCCCTTGGGCACACTTGAAACCAACGATGATGGGTTCGAATTCCAGTTCGTCCTTATAATTATATTTCTTGGTTTCTCAGCACCATACCCATCCTCGTGGGTTGCACCAAAGTGGTAGCCGTTAAAGATCTGCATCACTTCCGGCTTTCCTCCCACATGAAGCTGACACGCCGTGATATATAACTGGAATACCGTTCAAAGCGGCGTTAAACCCAACTCACTCACATAATATGTCTGTCATTTGTGATGTCTTGTTACCACCTTGCAGAAGAAAAGCAAATTGGTTCATCTCTCCACAAACCAGTGATGAAAATCGACCACACAACCCGTAAGCACTAGAGGTAAAGAAGCATAATTCTACATAGCTCCAGCTGCAGATTACAAGGCCAGTTGTATTTTTAGATCCACATCCACGTGTCTTCCCGAGGCAAGAGAGTTAACTGACTATAAAAATCCAGTTTCCACCCTTGCCGAACTAGGCTGGTATTATGGAGTTACATTGTGCATAGTCCAATCAAAATCGCGCAACGGAATCGAAATCCGGTTCGTAAAGTGTCATGCAGATTTCGGTCGATTGCAGCATTTGTAAAGCATGAGCATCGCCAACTCGTTATCAACAGATATTTTCCAAATCTTTTCATGTTTTTAATCAAGGTGCTCGCGTGATTTGATGCACTTCGCAATGTAAGACCAAATTTATCACAAAATAGATACTGATTATCGATCAGATCGTCTTCACTGGCCGCCGCTATTTTGTTTGTAGCAAATACAAGTGGTACGAGAGGTGGAATCTGATTGGTCCATAGGAGAGGCCTAGAAGGGACATAACTCGTAATAGCCAATGGTGGCGCTACGATCGAGCCCAGGAATTCCATTAAAAATCATTATTATTTCTAACACATATTCCTAATCTGTTGTTTAATTCACAGCTCATTGGAACGCATTCTGTAGATTCTATCTGGTCATCATTTTTGTGATAGTCATGGTGTGTTGGTGTCTGGAAGGATCGGAGAAAACGGTGTAACGTGACAGTCCCGGCTTTCGTCACTTTGGTCTCATATTGGATCTCCGCATGACTCGAATTCTTTATAACTTATATTTGCATTGTTTTGTGATTTAGAGTCAACGAATTCTCATTGCAATTGTGCTCCTCAGTACTATTTCAATAGCATTTGGTACAATAATATGTGATTGTTGTCAAATTACCTGCGCGGACTTTCGTTTCATTATCTTAGTGAACAATACACTGAATGAGTGATCGTGTGCATGTGACTGTCACAATCACCAATATTACACACTGGGCTGCAATCGACATATACTGCAAATGTATATACAGACGTTTCATGTAGCTCATAGAACTAACACTAGACAACATGTCCTGATGCTGGTGACCTTACACTGATGTTGGATGTTTCTGAAATAAGACAAAATCGGTGTTGAGTCCATATGTTTGCCAATGTCGTTACAAAGTTGCCGTGTTTATGTGCTTTTAATGCCTGTCATATGTTCGAGTGAAGTTTTTCTGTGTAAACAAAATGCTTGAGCATATTGAGCGTCATATTATGTTTAAAGGTTGTTGTTGGTGATTCCGTCATTCAGACCGACAACCCACTCAAACCACTGGACACAACCCTTGCCGCGTCACTCAATACATTTGCTGACACCGAACAGTTTTATTTTGTGATTGTCTTTTCAAGCTAGAGCAAGGTTACCTGTAGAACTAACCGGGCCAAATTGAATTTGGAACCGAACGAGTGAGGCTCTACATTCAATACACATTATGTTTATCTCCTCACTCACGCATGATTAGAAGGAGCTTGTGTCCCGCTGGCACCGTCGATCAGTGTACTGACATTATAACACAGATACATTTTACGGGATCGGGTAGTCAGGCTCGCTGACTTGGTTGATGCATGTCATTGATCCCAACTGCGTGGGTCGATGCTTATGATATCAATCACTGGATTGCCTGGTCCAGACTCGATTATTTACAGACCGCCGTCATATAGCTGGAATATTTGCCACAGATGATGAATGCACTGCCAGGTATATATGATAGTTTAGTCAGTTGCCATAACAAATTCAATTATGTGCATGGAGTGATATCTGTTTGTCCTTTAGTGATAAAATCATGATCTTCTAATACAAACCGTAAGCAATATCCCCATGCACATGTTATTATCATCCTGATAATCAAAACAATTTACCGACCACGTTACGATCAACATCGAATTTATTTCATAAAAGAAAAGCTTCAAACGCTCCGCGTTCATTACCAGCATCCTGTTTGCGTGATGTGTCGGTGTCATGTTGTTTCACTGATTGTCGTTTGTTCGTGCAGGTTAGCGTAAACAGAAGATGTCGAGTGTGCTTTCCTTTGCACTACGTCACGTGGCTGGAAGGGATATTGATGTCCCTGCACCGATTGCGCAGTGAAACATGTCTTCATGATTGTGGCGAACATGGATTTATTTGCTCCGCGTCAGGTCGCCAGGGACGAGGACATGTCATGGAAAATTACTCAACAACATCCGGCTTATTGAACACAAGTAATATTTTAAAAACACAATGCTTGATTACTGTACACTGTGTTGTTGAGATTTCAAATTGATTGTGCGATAAAGCGTTAAAAGGCTTAACATTAAAAAATATTTTGCAGGCCAGGATACGCTCTGCCGTTGGCGAACAACTGCAGGTAATTGATGGTGATTCAAATCAATTCAAGTTTCAAGTTAATTCTCATATATCACAACATGTGAAGCAGAGATGCAGAGATGTATACATCTACAGACATAAATATGTTTAGTGAGACTGCTTAGATAGTAATAATAGCAATGATGATAATAATAATGATGATGATGATGACGATGATGATGATGATGATGATGATGATGATGATGATGATGATGATGATGATGATAATAGTATAAGATATATATACAGTATGTGTGAGCACATACAGATATACAACTATATACCAGTAACACTATTTATACAATTTCATTGATGAATTGATAACGTTTATAAGGATAGGCCTATTTTGTATAGACCTTAGTTATATGTATTTTTCAAATGAAGGATATTCGCAATAGTATTTTGGAATAATTAATTTGGGCAATATAACATGAAATGTAACTCGTCACCTATTCCACACAAGTTTATGATTAGCCGGAAACATACAATGGAATTAGTGTTATCGCTTTTATTGTATGTTAGACTATCAAACACCTTAATTTATATGCACTTTTTTAATGGTTGCTATTGATTTTGAATGAGTGCTGTGTCCTTACAGCAGTTGACTCAGGTTTCTGGTGGCTATACCTCTATGGCATCATGTTATGTCCACAACCAAATGTTTCACTATTGCGCAGTTCCTTTTACGTGGCCCCGAACTATCACGCAACCCTCGTATGAGCAAGGTACATGCATACAGTATACACTATATAGACTATATATGTAATTCCATTCCAGTAGAACGAATTTCTTAAAATAATGTAACTATTTACAAACATGAGAAACATATTCTAAGATTTATGAAAACGATTACACAACTAATTGTTGTCAGAGGTAACTGATACATAACGGTGTAAAAATCTACATCGATATGCAATAAAACCAGAAGTTGTTATCCATAAAGTTTTTCTTCTTAGTTGTCAGAAGAGTTTTCAATCAATTTTCAAAATAGAAGTTTATCCGATATTCCAAAATTATTTCTTTGCTCATAAAATATAAGATGCGCACTTTTCGACGAGTATTCTACTTCTCATCAGGAGGCGTTTGGTAGCCCTGTCGTTAAAGCTTTCTATCAGCGCGGCAAATGCCCGAATTCAATCCCTACGTACATGGAAGTACAACGTTGTAAGCCCATTTTGTATGTCTCCCGCCGTGATCGTGATGAAACATTACCCAAAACGGCATAAAACTACTCACTAACCTGCTCAATATCGATTATAGTTGCAACTAATATTAGCTAATAACCCAAAACTAGAGTTATTATTTCGCACTTCTGTTACCGTTAAAGAGGAAATGAGTGAAGACAAACTGAATCGACAACAGGTGAATATCCACAACTAGTCGCATCCGTTATTGCTGGATACAGAAAGGACAATGGAGTTTACACTGGAACTGTTTTCAAGGCTTAAATAAGCCTGTGGTATTCTACTGTTATGGTATTATTAGGCTCGTTCATAATGGGGAAAGTTAGGTTTCAGATTTGTCCGACCTAAAAACACATTTGTTTACTGATTGTTGGTGGCATGAAGATGCCAAGTTTAACATTAGGCATTTAGAACACTAGTAATTGCATTGCGCCATTGTGGAAGCGCGAGTTGCATACAGATTCATGGCAAGTAACACAAACAATGCATACACAACTGGCGTACATTAGTTGTGCATGTAATATAGATTTGATATTTAGAAGTGGAAACTGTATTAACCATACACCACCATGATAATCAATATCGCATGTCTGATTATATCCGTTGTTGTTGCGAACAATCAATACAATCCAGGTCAGATTTCATTGATTTTAAATATTCACATAGCAATGGAGTCTCCTGTGTGTGAACTGATTGTGTACTTAATGCCTGGCCAGGAACATCCGCTCTCCTCTTCTTTTCAACATCAGCGTGGATGAGAACCACAGACATGGCGGTACGTACAAACATGTAGACTCTGTTCTGTTACTGGACAGTTTTAACTGACCTGCGTCTTTTGTGCTCGGAAAATACCTAGTTTCTTCTCAGCTAAACGACAATTTAGTATTAAATGTTCATCCATTTGATGCGTTTATATGATATCCAAAATATTTTGAAAGACAACCGTTCATGATGCTGGAATGTCCATTGTATTAAATATCTTGATTCGATGTCTTCTATAAATATACATGAAAGCCGATAAAGAAGAGAAATAGAATAGTTTTAATATATGTCAGTCTGTCAATACCGATGTGTACATACTTTCTGACATGCGAATTAAACATTTTGTACAATGTATACAAGTTTTTGCCGCATATGTACCCACATTAATGTAATCAGTAAGACACTGACGTGGCTTTTGTTAACATATGCGCGTTTGGATTCATTCATGTGTCATTGACTATTATCGAAACACTCTTATGTATAACGGGTGTTATGTCAAGTTAATACTTCATTATCTACACATGCAAATGATTAGCAATGACCGGGGAACGGACGTACGTACGTACGTATGTATGTATGTATGTATGTATGTATGTATGTATGTATGTATGTATGTATGTTTGTATGTATGTTTGTATGTATGTATGTATGTATGTATGTATGTATGTATGTATGTATGTATGTATGTATGTATGTATGTTTGTATGTATGTAGGTATGTATGTATGTATGTATGTATGTATGTATGTATGTATGTATGTTTGTATGTATGTATGTATGTATGTATGTATGTATGTATGTATGTATGTATGTATGTATGTATGTTATCCGTGTGCTGTCACGTCAATACACGAGTCTGCGACCTGACTTTCCTGTTAGGCTGTTATAATTATATGTATTACTGTCTTACAGGTCTTATGTCTGATGATCCTATCGGCTGTTTTCAACGTGGGTATGTATACAAAGACACACGAAAACGTTCCATGATCTTACTACCTTTTTTTCACTTGAGTAAACTTTAAGGTAAATAACCCTCTGAACAGAACTCGAACAGAGCTAGTTTTATAAAAGAAATGAAGGCAGCCCATGTTAAATATGAATAAACCTAAATGGACACTATTTATAATAGCACCAAATTTTTAAAGGCATATCAGCATTGATTTTAACCCCGATCAAGCATATATTCTCGTACATAAGCATGGGAATTTTGTAGTTTTTTCAGACGAACTCTCTAAGGACCACAGAGGCACGGAGTTTGTTTTAGCATTTATACCTAATAACCCGATGACGGATTCCCATATCTTGTACATAGTGAGTGAAGAGGTTTGTGAAGTGATGCTCACTGGGGACCACGGCTCATATTCCAAAATAATATCTCTTAGTCCATTGATTCCCCACAACGAGGACCTGGCCGAGACGTGGAAGTATACTGGCGGTCTGGATATGTCCGTTGAAAGGAAAACGCTACATATCATAGCGACAAGAAATATAACTGTATTTGCTTCGTATGACAACAACCAGAGCGTTGACGGCTTCCTTGCGATTCCTGTGGAACATTTGACCAGGAATTATGTTGCAGTTTCTAGAGATGCTGTGCCCGACCCTTCTCATCTTGTAATCGCGGGACTCTTTGATGGCACAAATGCTATTATCAACCTCCGTCTTCTGAATGGAACCTGTACCACCGCCGGTTACCAGAATGGAACGACAATATCGCTCACAGTAAACAGATTTGATGTCATTGGCCTGTCCTGCTCGGGTGATTTAACAGGAACTGTGATAACTAGTGACCACCCAGTTGCTGTTTTTTCCGGCAATGAAAGGGCTGCCGTCCCTACGACGTCGCCTAATGCTGGCCTGATGATTGAAATGCTGATTCCTTTGGAATACTTTGGGAAGAGCTATGTCCTTACAACAACTATGCGGAACCCAAACGGAACCATATACAGAGTTGTTGCTCACATGGATAACAGTGTGGTAACAGTGGGCAGTCAGGATCCTGTCGTTTTAGGTGTGGGCGAGTTTCATGATTTCGACACTGAAGTTACAGGAACTCAGATTCTCATGTCTACACACACAGTGATGGTTATCGCGTATGGCAAGGTTGTTGTCGGAAACCTGGGAGGCGTGTTCATGGCAACTGTGCCGCCAATAAACAGCTTCTATAAACGACCATTCTATGACTTTAGAAAGCTCGTGGTTGTTCCCATGACGTATCTGCATGTGACAGTGTACTACAATACCACGATGAATCCTAACATTACGTTCGGGAGTCCAGATGTGATAGAACATATTCCTGGATCCGACATTGGAGTCCTGTCGGCCCTAACTACGGATCTAGAGGGCTCCTCTTTTGAAACTGATGTGCATGATGTCGGCATGATCATTTACGCAAACCCGAGCAAGAACGCAGCGTGTGGCTACCTTGGTGGAATGACATTCAGTACGTGGATTTTACCATATAACCAGTTTGCTTTAAAACATTTTTGTCATTTTTCATTTTACTGCTCATTTACACACACACACACATCTTATTGAGTTTTGTGTTTCGTATTTTATTTCATGTTGCCGAACATAGTGAAGGTTGGTTCATGATTGCTTTGACGATTGTAACTAAATTACATCAAACGAACAAACTTTCGCTGCAGGTTGTTGTTTTGCGCTTACTATTATATAGGCGAGACAGGGGTTCGACTCCACAACCAGAGCTCTAAACACACATATATATCGAAGCGACAATTGCACATGGTATAGATGTTATTTATGTTGCTTCATTTGAGATAATAGTCTGCTTTGTATGACCAGGGCAGGATCCCTGCTCGTCTGGGCCATGTCTCAATGATGCGGCTTGTGTCTACGCCGGCGCTTCCTTCACCTGCCATTGTCCTGTTGGCTTTACAGGAGTCCTCTGTGAGACAGGTAAGTCCGTTCTTCGTCTCATTGTGCCTCCACAAGATCCCTTTGAGTACAAAAAAATGCAGCTTGGCCTGTACTATACATAAACGGAAAAAGTAACTGTGCTTCATAAACAGTTCTATAAAAATAAATATATTCTGAACTTAAATAATGCGTCTTTCACTACATATTTAAGAAGACATCTCCTAGAGAGCTACAGTTTAAGGTAGTGCTTCACAGTTGGGACGTGCATGTTAATGCACGGCGCACAATATGGATGTTTTGCTCTTGTCTCTCACGTTTTACCTAGCAATATTAACTATTTCTTTAGTCATTCTTCCATGTTATGTTTCAGAGTATTACAAAAAAAAATTTAATATAAACACGGTAAGAATAATCTATTATTCAAGTAACATATCCCAAGAATGTTTGCAATGTCATAAAGACACAATAAATTATAATAAATTGTATTTTTGGCTTACTGACAGGTCACAATTACCTAAATACGGGAATTTATATAATTGAATTAAAAGAAACTTAATTCGAAAACCGACTCCCGAGAAAGGTATAATACCACACGCATACAAACTTATCTTGACATCCACATTGTACTCCAACGAATGTCGCAATTATGCACCACGTACACGTCATTGTGACAACAGTACAAGTTAAAATGCATGGATACAAAGTACTGTGGTAAGTATTCAACCACTTTACATGTTAACATTAACGGTGATGGGACCTTTGACAGACATATATTTGATGTTGTATGATAAACTCAATCCTTCTGCATTCTTGTAGAGGTAATACTGCAAATGTCGAGATTATACCCATGTTACAATTCTAAGAACACTGAATCTCGCTTGCACCATATTTCATGCTCCCATCATTGATACAGCGAAAGCGTCGCCATAAACGTCGAGTGAGCATTTTTACAAAACAATGTGATTGCCTTTACTGATGACCTTCCAATGACATGTACTAAATAAGCTTCCCAGCCCAGCTGTAAGATGTCCAGGATATGCTATAACGTCAATAATATTTGGTTTGTTTTATGGTTGTCAAAATTCAATGATATATATGATTTCATTGCATATAACAAAAAAGACAAGATGAGGCCTGTTGGCTTGGACAGGTCAAAGGCTGTATCCAACGAATTTTGTATTTATCTTTTTCAATGACGCCCTCTACATATTCTGGGCCGTACCATGGATGGACCTCTGTGTCAAAACCACAAGCATGGCGAAGACGGTGATAGACTGATCGACCCATTCCATCATGTCGCTGAAGATGTTGTGTTTGTCGCTGTGTTAGTGCCAACACTGGACAACACTGACAATGTGTTAGACAGCCTCATTACATTCATTGTATAACCTACATTTCATATTAAAATTACATTTTGATGCAAAATCACACATTGACGGTTTCGAGTGGGAAGTGACTGGTCCTGAGCAGCAAACAAAAAGCCTTCTGTTTCACTTTGTAGGCCAGACGACTTCACTTAAGCGAAGAACTCTTGAGGGTTGCTGATCTTCGGAACACACTCCACATAAACTCGATGCAGTGGTCGTTTAGATAGCCTCTCCTTGCAACACTGAGTCTGGGCTGATTTGATATGGAACCTCTGTTGGTTTACACGCTTTTCAGCTGTACAGAACCATCAACAAAATCAATATTGACATTGAGATCATCCTTGGCCCGTTTAAGAAAACTGTGGAATGTCTTGTTTTCATCATGAGTCTTGACATGCTTCACAAGAGGATTATCAGACAAATAAATGTGACTGTGCAAAAGTGTAAAATCAATTCTATCATGAAAAGCCTCCGCGTTAATCAAATCACGCCCTCCCATTATGATTGGTATGAGCATTATCAGTAGTAGTAGTAGTAGTAGTAGTAGTAGTAGTAGTAGTAGTAGTAGTAGTAGTTTGTATGCCACCGTTCTCATTGTTCGCAAATTTAATATCGAAAGCAAAGATTTTAATCAAATATGTCTTTCTTGCAGCGGATGATCCGTGTGTTGCTGAACCATGCTACAATAACGCTACATGTTCCTCCCTCGGGACACTGTTTATCTGCATGTGTCCGTCGGGATATACAGGGATCACGTGCCAGTCTGGTAAGTGAATAATACACCGACAGGTACAGTCCCATATAGGTGTCGTGCAAAATAACTTGTTTTAAGTAAATGCCACTGTGACATGAAATTAACTCTGTCCAAATGGGTACGAAATTGTACACCCAGACAAGGAAAACCGCAGACTGTCATTGCGTTTGATATTGGAATAGTAAACACTTCTTTGGGGAGAAGGGGCGTGGGTGGCGAAGTCGTCGGAGGCGCCGGAACTCGCTCTGATTATGTTTCTAGGTTTGTCAGGAACATACCGGTGCTCGTGGGTTTCACCAGAGTGGCAAAAGTCTGAGACCTGCATCACATTTTCCTGCCGTCATATGACTAGAGTAATGTTTGTAAGAGCAGAATCTATATCATGATGACAAGGCTGAAGAATATGTTTTCTTGCTGATTGATTTGTTATCGTATGCCTATGTTGTGGCGATCGTCGTTTAACTATGAACAATCACCCCTGTCTTTAACAACAATGTTAATTTTACTTTTTAGCCAAGAAGGGGAGGTGAAATGGGGTTTAATGTAGCGCCCACGATTATTGCTTTATATTTGCGACGTGCAAAAGTGAGTTAGTGTATGTGCTTGTGCGCGTGTGTGTTTGTGTGTTTGTGTGTGCGCGCGTGTGTGTGCGTGTTTGTGTGTGTGCGTGCGTGCGTGCATTCGTGTGTGCGCGCGCGCGTGTGTGCATGTGTGTGTGGTTGCTTTTACTAGTCCGGAACTATGCCGATTTTACAGTGCTAGCCCACTGAGCTACCGTGGCGCAGTTTAACATGTATACCTCACTCAGACACGGTATACTGACTCCGAGCCGACCAGTCCTTGTTTTAGCACCTTAATTCCGAGCACCAGGCAGGGTAACAAAACGTACCATCTTTTAACCTCATTTGGTATGACGCAGCCGGGGATCGAACCCCAGACTTTCCGCTCTCAATACCACAAGACCACAAAGGCGGTCTTTTTATGGACATTTATGCTGTAATTGTAGAACAGATGAAATTAATGTAATTAAATGATTACTGCATGCTTTATGTTGCAGTTAATACTGAAGTGGATGTTTGATATGATTTTGCGAATGCATTTACTTGCAGAGATCAATGAGTGCGACTCAATCCCATGTCTGAATGGCGGAATATGCACAGATCTTGTTGCCGGCTATCACTGCGAATGTGTGGCTGGATATACGGGACTACGATGTGGAGCAGGTATATTGATCAACGTGTTACCAAACTTGGAACAATAATATAGTGCTATTCTTAAAACGATTACCCATTAAAGTAAATAATAAAGCCGTTGGCTAGCCAAGAGGTTAAAGCGTTTCCTGTTTCCTCATCGCGCCGACGACATGGGTGAAACAAACTCGCTGTGCCTCCCGCCGTGACATGTTGAATATTAAAGCCCCCCCCCACCCCCCAGATTTAGTTTAAAGACACATCAAATTTACGCACATTTTCATTATTGAAGCATCATATCTGGTTAATCACATCTCAGGTATCCCACACTGACGATGTTCTTGCGATGTTGATTACGATATTTAATTTGCTTCATAGGAACGGAATTAGCAACATCTTTTCCACCAAGTAGTTCCGAATCTCTTTTATCGGCACTTACATCTGTACCAAACCTGATGACAAGTGATGCTGGTTACCAAGCGAAGTCTGCCGACGTCCAGATCCAGTCATCTCAAGAGCCTGACATGAGCCAGGAGACAATCCAGGTAACACAAACGTTAACACCCATGCTTCAAACCAGTCGTAACAAACAGGAGTACCCGTACGCTGTCACACGTATCACAATCATCGGAGATTCGAAGCATACGGAATCCGGTCTTACCATCCTCAAGTCCGCTCTAGAAGCAACCATGTACAAAACGATATACGCCAGTCACCTAGCCTCTGACATGTCGTGCGACTATGAAGGAACCAGTCAAGGGGAGTATCAGTGCATGTGTACCCGGTATGAGAGGAAGGTGTATGTTCTCACCGAGGAGGCTAAGGAAACCATTAAAGAAGACACTCAGAGGAGGCTGCTGGTTGACACTGCCAATCTGACTAAGACCTTGTTGAAGTATAAGAGTGTGGAGGATAACAGGCCCTCAGCAAAGGGCATCGGATCAGTGGGAGTAATTATGTTAGTAATGACAGCAGCGGTTATTGTGGTTCCCGATATGTTGTTCCTTGTACAAAACGTTATGAGGAAGTGTACTGGGAAGAAAACATATTCTAAATGCTAGAGTGTCGTCTTGACTGTAGGGCCTTTTATGGTGCAATTATGTTTCGTGTACAAATCAACATTACTTACACAGGAAATATACTGAACTGAGCAAAAGAAACGTCACCTCAAGTAACATTGCATGAAAGGTTGTCATTTAAATATCTGGGCAATTTTTGTCAAAGTTTCTAAAATTTAATATTACCTTGTCCGGAAAAATTAAATTTGAGGATAAAATACAAAGCAGATGACAATAAAACCGATCGCCTAAACGCATCACGGCAACGGCCATGGTAACCCGATGCACGTGAGTTCCGTGCAAAGTTGAAATGCACATGCGTTCCCCCATTTCTTGCCCTATAAAACTCCACCCAGATCAAATAACATTCATTCGTTATTGAATTGTTACCACATGCTAAGATTCAGCGACACCAAGCCCTTGGACGATTGCAAGCTGGACCAACCGCACGTCAGGTAGCCCATGCATTTCAAGTCCACATAAGGGCCATATACAAGCTCGAGCAACGGTACCAGACCACCAAAACTACAGATGACCGACCACGTTGTGTAAGACCAAGGGTCACCACCCAACGTCAGGATCGTCAGATCGCTTTGTTTCTGCTGCGAAAACTGCTCGACAGACCATGGTTACACACAAGTGACACATTAGTGAGGACACCGTGCGTCGACGATTGACAAAGCAGACACCTCCACTGTCACAGGCCACGCCGAGGACCCATTCTGACACCACGTCATCGCCTGGGCCGTCTTTAGTTGGCAGCACAGCAACAGCATTGGCGCCACCAGCAGTGAAGAAGAGTTCTCTTCTCAGACTAGACCAGTTACTGTATCTCAACAGCAGATGGCAGAGAGAGAGAGTCTGTGTTGTGTTTTGAGAGAGACTCGTGGGGTGGTCCGAGCATCATGTTGCGGGGTGGATTTGGTCTTGCACAGAGGGTGGGCCCTGTGGTCTCCCAGAACATCGGTCCAGGGAGAGGCAACGGTGTCACAGCAGCTCGGTACATTGATCAAGTCTTGAGATCACACGCCATACCCCATTTGGCACCTCGCAGCAACCACGAGTTTCAGCGTGATAACGCCCGTGCCCACACTGCGAGAGCAACAAGAGACTTCCGCCGGCAGAATGGCATCAGAACGATGCCGCAGTCCCGATTTAAATCCCATTGAGCACCTGTGGGACGAGATACAAAGACAGCTGAATGACGTCCGACCAAGGCCGACAACTGCAGCTGAACTGCGTCAGGCGTTCCTCAGAGTGTAGGCTAAAGTGCCTGTGGCCTTCATCAACCACCTCATCCATTCCATGTTTCGACGTTGGAAGGCTGTCATTAATGCGCATGGCGGACACACGAGATACTGCCTTTTGTTGCCATTTTCTTAGAGACTAGTGTTGTGTTTCGCTTAAAGAACATTTGACACTTTAATAACAACCTTGATGATCAGTTTTGCCAAGTTTCATCTTTTTAAGATGTCTCAAAGTACAATGTATGTTAACAGTATTTGGACAAATAAGGTTTCTTATATATCTATGCATGGTGACGTTTCTTTTGCGGTTAAGTATAGAATACCGAAAGTAGCAACGCTACACACGTTTTTTATAGCACATTGATGTCAACACACGCGCATGTGTAAAAATAAATTGATTAGATAATGACAAATTTATTGTTATTTCGTCTGCGTTTACTGGTGAAATAAGCTTTGTTCACGATCTGTTCAAGAAATATAAACACAATTTACTCAGAATGTCGACGAACGACAAGAAGACAAGCTGTAAAGCAGACATTTAGTCTGTACCAGGTGACATAGTACGTATGACAAACAATAACTGTTCCACTAATCTTGGATTATTGTTTATTTTCCGCCTACTGTTTATTTAAATAAATAGTCGTCAAGTTAGTACGCGATGAGCCTTACCCGTTGATGTAATGCTTCTTATTTAGTGCACTTTGATTAATAGTTGACTGGGGTTTATTGTTCAATATCAGGTCCACAAGAAATAAAAGTAGAAACTGATTTTTGGATGTTGTCACATTTGTGTTTGTTTTATATCAACTGGTGTGTTAATTTTACTGCCACGTTATCATTTACAGTTAGGGTTTTGATAGTTAAGATACATACTAATGTATGTAATGAACTGATTAAATATACTTTATGTTTCATATTTATTGAAGCGTTGAATCCTTAAATATCTGCTTTTAGTGTACGTTACAAACATTTCTACATACCATGTTTGTCAAACATGTCACAAAACACAGGCCCGTGATTCCTGATTATTTTGGAAGACATTAGGTTGGAATCACATAACTAAAGGGAAACTCATTATGTGTACATCAAATTGTATTGCGAATGCGGTTTACAATTACAATTGTTATAGACAGAGTAAATTAATACTGTTGTCAAGGTTGTCGTGATGCTATTTATACTCTGCAGATAAAACCTCTGTTTGTGACTATCGTTTCACCCACCTGCTGATTGTAGTCAGTAAAGACTTTGAGCTCCAGGAGATTAGTTCGGCGGTGTCAATGGCAAACTAAAGTGAACGGTCTCTTAAATTTCCAATAAACAAGATCCTGACATAATCAGGCGCGATTGAACTCAATTAAAGTCTGGATCAAATACAGGATGGTTGTTTCCAGTTTCTTGGCAAAGGAAATGGTGTTGACATAATCGATTCATAAACGCATAACGTGATTGTCAATATTCAAGATTCTAAATGCGTAACATCAAGAATGAAACTGAAGTCATAACAATTACAGACAACAGACAAAGAAAGAAACACAATTGAAAACGATAACGTTCACGTGGGTACAGGGAAATTAACAGATAATCATAAAACCAAGTGCCCCTTTTCCAATCGTTGTTTCTAAATTCTGAGTTTTAATTACATCAATAACTAGTGTGTAATATTGTTATATTTTATACTGGAATGTTGAACAGGTTTTGAAGTAACCCAATGTCAAAAGCGGACGCAGTGACTTGGACACTTGGACTAATAAAGCTAAAAACAAATTCCATAATGATGAAAAGCAGAATCCATTGTATGGTTCCGACTATATCGTGAGCATGTGTTTTATAAGTCCCTATCAAATAGTTCGCGAAGAGGTGAACTTATCGTGCCCCACACTTGGCACCCGTCATAAACGAATGCAAAGACAAGAGAATTGTTCACCTAAAAAACAACAACACGGGAATATAAAGTACAAGTGAAAATAATGACAGGCATAGGAAACCATTTTGGTTACTGTCGCTCCAGATTTGGAAATGTCCTCCACACGTCGACCATAACCCTTTGAAGGTTTGTCTGAGGCTTTGAACGTTGTTACATTGTGAAAGAGTCGTATGACGCGCTATGAAATGTTCGAAGACAGAGCGAGCTCGATTGTACCTCACTAGTTGTTAAATGTAGACAACGAAAAATGGATCAGCCGGAATATTGCTCGACATGAAGGGAAAGTTGAATATTGGAGTTGAAGTCACCCGTCTTGTCCTGTAGTTATCTGTGAAGATAAATCTTTATGAACAAGGCGCCGCAATTCGCTGTGTACGCCACGCATGGGCACGCCAGAAACCTATGAAATTGGGTTCGAATCCCAGTTCGCCCAGATAATGTTACTAGGTATGTCAGAACCATACCTGTGTTGTATGAACGTCTACATCATGTCGGGCTTTCCTCCCTCATAAAGCTATGTAATTGGAATATTATTGAAAGCAGCTTTACTCACACACTCACATTTTGCCTAGATCTAAACATGAAACCGATGAGGCTGCTTCACTTGCCTCTCTTATGTTGAGGTCATGTTGGTTAATAAGTGGAATGAATTTGGGTATTTCACAATAATTGAACGATATCAGATCATCCTTATATCTGAAGCTTACTGTAAACTTCTTGGCCGAAATTCTCTTAATTTAATTTTGGCAATCCGAGCTGAAAATCTGACTCGTTTGCATAACGAAACACCTCAGAAAGGAGGGGGCCACAGTGATGCCTACCTCTTGTTAAAATGTCCTATTCCGAAATTTCACAAAATGTTACATGTGAGGCGTTGACAGTAGAGAACTCAAATATTTTGGCAGAATTGAATTTGCTTCTTTTCTGAGATTGTAAATATTCAAGCATATCCTTTGAGGGTTTGAGAATCCGCATGCAAATAATTCCTCTTGTGCCAAATACATTCTGTGAATATATGAATTAATGATGATGGCTAATCTTTGAGACAGGAAGTTGCTGTAACATTTGCTGAACCGTTTCTCGTTTTACTGATTTTTGTAGAGGTTTTGATTCCCAGGAATGCCTGAAAAACGTCACTGCTGGAAAGTACAGAAATCCATATGATCGCAACACAATCTTGCATTAGTATGGCCGTTGCTTTTACACCACTGCAAAACTATTAAAATAGTTGAAACGTGCTTAATACTTAACAGATTTGATAGCTCTTTGAATCTTAAAGGGGGACTTGTCTCTGCGATTTGGCAGTCCCAACAAATGTCATTGGTAGTTAGTCCCTAAACATCACATTCTTTGTATGCCAGTTAAACATCACATTCTTTGTATGCCAGTTTAAAACAGTTTCTCTCATGGTGTTATTTATAATGTCGAACAGACAGAAGTACACGTAGCACAGTCGCCTTTTAACATCCTGATCTGAACGAATCAGGATCTAGTCTTTGCAATTATCTAAAGACGACAGTAATCTCGATACGTGCATATTTCTATCTGTGCAATCTCCATAAGCTTCACGCTGCCCTGTTCTGCAATGACGGTATACTATCGACTATACTAACAGTCGCCACAAATACCCTTGACATTGTCATCAGATTCATTTGACAAATCGTTGTTTTCTCCCAGTTATGTGCGGATCAGCTAATCAAAATAGGAATCAATTTAAATCAAGCTGAGTGTTAACCGCTACAGGCAGTTAACAGGTTTCACACACGAATTTAGATATATAATTCGATAAACCAATACATCAGAAATCAACAACACAAGGTTCGTGTTCTGCAAGGGTGCACTTCATTAGTAGAGGACAATCTGCACAAAGAGGTATCCATTGATTTTCATTAAACATTCAGTGGGATTGCATTTGGACACAAACTGTTGCCCTGACAAAACAATGTCCTTATTATTGATTTTGTATACAAGTAAATACTGCTATCGTAATGTTCATGGTCCATCTGGATTGTTGCCATATAAACGCGTGGCGTAATTTTTACCTCCGCGTGTAATCTGCTTCAAGGGACCAAACTGATGATGTTTTGTTTATGATTAATAGGTGACGTATTTAATTCAGGGTATTTAATTTCTCTCTGACCATGGACGTAGGCAAATCCTTTCAGATTATGATAAAGATATGGAATAATGAAACTATTTTAAATTTAATTTGTGTGTAATGTCATCATAACTTATGGGAAATGGGTATACCAAATATGTCCAAATTACGTAGATCGGTGTTCCTAATGTGAGTCACTGGTTTGTCGGGTCCAGACTCGATTACGTACACACTGCCGTATAGCTGGAATATAGTTGCAGCGTTAAACAGCAACAAACAAACCAAATAATGGTGGGGTTTAACTGTCTTACAAGCGTGTCATGACGGAGGAAGAACTTCAAATTGAACCATAGGATGTCTGCCACAATGTTTTAACTCCTTTGTAAAAAGATCCACTCACACCTCCACATAGCATCACGGGTTTTAGATAGTATTTAACACAGCACTGTGTCTCTGTCACAATGTACTTGTTGTATAAAAGGGAGAATATTAAAAAACCGAGCGCTCGCGAACGTTCGCTGTCTTTCGTCAGGAACTTGGCTATCAGGCGTCAATAACTTCCTGTCTCATTCATACTATTAATGTACACTAATTAGTGTTCATAGACTTTATCACACACAACACCAACGACTATATACAACATGTCTAAACTACATGTATTTTATACACTGGAGGGTTGCAAATAACAGGTGAGGTGAAATTGGGTTTAACGTCGCGTCCAAGATTATTGCACTTATATAGCGACGTGCATGCACGTGTGTGTCTGTGGCTGCTTGTACTAGTCCAGACTGATGCCGATTTATAGTGCTAGCTCACTGAGATACCATGCCGCAGTTTAACATGAATACCCCACTCAGACACAGTATACTGACTCCGAGCCGTCCAGTCCTTGTTTTAGCCCCTTAATGTCGAGCGCCAGACAGGGTAACAACAAGTACCATCTTTTAACGTCTTTTGGTATGACGCGGCCGGGGATCGAACCCTGGACCTTCCGCTCTCCGGGCGGACGCTCTACCACAAGACCACGGAGGCGGCGTTGCAAATAACAACACACGTAAGATGTATCTGAACATGAGTTTATTTTGTACATTAAAAGGTATGAGATAACACATCCATGTCGCTTAGTAACGGGATTCAGCGATAAAACGCCCTGAACACAAATCGTTTGCTTGAAAGAATTAGGATGCTCAAACAACATGCAAAGTTTCTCTCTGAACAGTTTTAACTTTTAACGACACACTTTCATTGAACACTGTATGAGAGATTGTCAGCAGAAAAGTACTTCATCATGGTTTTGTTCTATTGGCTTACAAGGAGGTTGGGTAGCGTAGTGGTTAAAGCGTACGCTCATCACGCCGATCGCCTAGGTTCGATTCCCCACATGGGTACAATGTGTGACACCCATCTCTGGTGTCCGCGCCGTGATATTGCTGGAATATTGCTGAAAACGGAATAAAAACTATACTGATACTATACTCACTCTGTTGGTTCACTTGTCTGGTGTCTGGATTGACATACGTCTTAGAGTCAAATCCCGTGTACAAGTCCAGTAACATGACGTCACAGTTGCATGTGCGTGTTTGTTCACATGTAAGACGGAATCAGAGTGACCCCAGTTCCATGTAGGAGCATATAGAACATGTTCACCTGGGCGGTCGGGTAGCCTGGTGGTTAAAGCGTTCGCTCGTCACGCCGAAGACCCGGGTTCGATTCCCGACATGGGTACAAAGTGTGAAGCCCATTTCTGATGTCCCCCGCCGTGATATTGCTGGAAAATTGCTAAAAGCGGCGTAAAACCATAGTCACTCACTCACTCACATGTTCACCTTGGTTTCAGTTGACAGTACGCCAATGCCTTCTAGTTGGTCTAATGTGACGTCACTACACGCATGTGGCCAACACAACGCCCTACAGTATACATTCCTAGGTATAATTCGTTCAAAACCTCAAACTAGATATTGTGTTCAACATACATATTTACCGGTATTGTTATAGTTATAAAGAATATGCACAAAACAAACGTTACAGTGATCATCAAAAAACGTTTTGGTAAATGAAGATAAGACGTATGTCAATAAGGATTATATGAATAATAATAATGAGTTGTTATCATACTCTATCGGTGTACTAAGCAAATATCGTGCAAGAGAAAAGCTAGATCAGATTGATGCCATATGGCCTCCAAAAGAAACCCAGACGTCAAATTTTCATTTCCGATCAAACTGATATGCCATGTCAGGTATGAGATGAATAGAACCAGATGTTCCTCATTAACTTGTGTAAGCTACACAATAATTGCTGGACAATTAAATTTGACTTTGAATTTGTTAATGTTAAAGTTTATTTTAAAGCAATTTCTATGCAAACATATATTTATGTATTTAGAAAGATTTCGCCCAATTAAATAGTACTAGTTATTTCTTCTTCTTTGATAGGCATTTAGAATTTGGAGTATTAATTAAGGATAGGAATTTATGAATAAATAAATAAATCCATAAATTCTCAATATCCTTACTTAGTACTCGTTATATCTTCGATCTTCGATCGCAAAGGTATCGAGGAGGCTGGTGTAAAATGCTTCTAAAACTTAATATATGTGTAATATGTAAATAAGTACATGACAGTTGTGCCGTAGGAAATGCCATTATATACTCGGCGGATTCGACATAAAATCCATGAATAGTAACACGAAGTCTTTGACTTCGGGTAACCATGACCATCCTGTACAATATCCGGCTTTTGAATTTATGATGTACATAAAGTCATCATGAGACCATATATAGCTATCATATAAATGCAACTGGAATTCGGCAATGCCGTAGTAACATTATTTACTAGCATATTTCACGTCGTATGAGACATTCACCTTCCGTTTCTTGACGACAACGAGACTGACGATGACGATGATCAAGGCAGTGACACCTACCACAGTGCCGACAACAATTCCAACATGTAAGCCGCCTTGATTCCGACTCTGTTTCTTCTCCGGCTTCTGTATGAAGACGAAAAAAAAACACGATATGAGTGCAAACAATTTAAAGGCAACATTCGTCCTAACACCCGAAAATCTCATTGAAAGATCTATTTATATTACTTACCTACAATCTTCGGAAAAGTGTCTTTTCACTAAGATGAAACAACCTCTAATGACTTAGTTATAATTTCAGTAACATACAGCAGAAATCAATCATATTTGCAACATGTCACTTTTTGCAGAAGATTGCAAAACTTCCCGTCCAATATATCAATTTATCATATAATGGGTAGGTTTCTCGGCAGGATAAAGCCAACGGATAAAAACGATATCCGTTGGGGTCATATGCGGATAGAGATGCAAATGTCAAAGGTCAAGTAGGAACTACATTCACTGTTTATAATCAAACATGGCGTCGCCCTCGTCATTCGACGATCGAGTCAGAATCAAGTATCGGGAATCTGAATACTACAGGGATAATTGCTATCATTATCAAAAGAACAGTTTAATATACTGAAAATCAGTGTCTAACTGTGACGTAGCTAAGTAAGGCATTTTATAAGTTTTGGCAACTTTGGAGATATAAATTTCGAAAAAAATTTGCGAGGGCACGAGGCCTAGCCAAGCGGGGCCAGTAGCCATATCTGTGCTTGTAGATCTCTGCGACTTGAATCCTTCTCCACAAATTAAAATAGTTGGATTTTGCCGAAATATGTTTGAATTTTTACCTTGTTTCGTTTTGTCGCTGTGTGTACATCTGACTACACTTCTTAACGTTATGACAGGACAGACCGACTGTCAACAACGTCTGACCGTGGCCGTGACGTCTCATAGACTTGGGTAAGAGTAGCTTCCCTTTCACAAAGGGCAGTTACTCTAGCGGACAGACCGATGGATTGCCGCGAAAGGAAATTAAAAACAATTGTTGTTTTGCGTATATGTTGCTTCGCCACGGTGTAAGAAACAGATTTCGGTTGGAACTATATTGGCTACTGTCACTGTCCGACTGACACATCACTTACCCTGTGACGAAATAGATATTAATGCGCGCATTCCAGGAAAACTCAATGTTTCGGTAATGTTTGTGAGAGAGGGAAAGCGATTGTTTGAAGCACAGAATTAAAGAATGACATTATATGATAAAGAGGTTATCACGCTTGTGTGTTTGGGGATGGTAAATATCCTGCATTGAAATAAACACTATGTATTTATCTCGCCAAGGCTCGCTAAAAACAATGTTTATTCCTAATGCAGGATATTTACCATCCCCAAACACACTCGCGTGATAACCTCTATGTAACTTCATATTTCTGTTGTAATTAGTACCAACTTGTTCAGTGAAATATGCTTGTTGTAATGTGCAGTATTACTCAAGAAGTACGCGATACCCGCGATACCGGCCGCTTCAGACATTTTAACCACATGAGGATTGAAACCCAATTCGTCCGTGTGACGTCACAATCTCTACGCTTTAGAGCGATGCGTCATCATAAGGACAATTTCTACAATCATTTCTCTAGTGATTACTGAATTGGAAAAAAGTACTGGAAGACAGCATTGTACTGCAACAAGCCAAGGTAATGCCCCTTCTGGACCAGACAAACCAGTGATTGATATTATGAGCAATGTCAACGTCGACGGGCAATCAGTGTGCAGACAGCGTGGTACACAATGTTTGTTCGTACATATATATATGTATGTACGTACCTTGTCATTGCCAGTGTCAACAACGCATTGTCTCTTGATGTAAGCTCTCTCCGTGACGGAGGAGTTGGTGACAGGGACACCGCCGTCGGTCAAGCGGTTAATCAAACAGGTGTCGGAGTTGCCAGCCATGTCCACAACGTTAATGTAAGCCAGGGCGTTACAGCAGCTGGAGCTAAAAGACAACAGTTATAACGTATGTAGTGTACACAGCGCACAGGTCACAGTAGAAATCAGATAAGTTAAGTAGCGTTTGTCGCGGTGAGTACGTAGACGTGTGACGGTGTTCGCGATCGGCAGCTTAACCCTAAGAGGTTCTAGTCTTCTGTCCAAGTCTGAAACACATGTTTCATGTAGTGTCTCCCTAGGCAAGTGACTTGCTCGAAATATGCCCCTGTTCACCAAGCACCGAATGGTTACCCGGTCGGACAATAGGGTAATGGTATTTTTCACCTTCTGGCACCTCACAGGCAGCTTGCGTATACTCCCCAAGGAGTTGAGAATGAACATCGAGCGCAAACATTATTGACCGGTAAAAGAATGGTGTACTTTGAGCAGGTAATTTAAACATGGACCATTGTTAAAAAATCAAGTATACCTCGCTGTACTCTCTGTACCTCATTTCACTTTACTTATAACATAGCCTAAATGAGGATCGTGTGGCTAAAATTGGAGGCTTGGCTCATTGTGTGTCATCATATCCCGACCTTTGCTGACGGTGGCGTAAAACGGAGCAAGGTGTTAAGGGATGGGTGGATGAAAGAGAAGGAACTTACGACACACGAGCTGTTATTACGCCTTCCTCTAGGGTGTGGCTCATGTTGAAATTCTGAAGACTGAAAGTGCCATCATCCTCGCTGATAGAGGATGTAGCTTGATAGAGTCCGAAGCCCTCGTCCCACAGTTCAGCTGATGCCGACCATCGATTAGTATTACAGGTACACGAGTCAATCACTGTGAGGTCGCATGTTCCTGCTATGGAGGTGATGTTGCAAACGGGGTTGGTTGTATCTACCTTCTGAAAGGAATTATCAATATCAATACAACATATCTATGCGGAATAAATATGTCTAAGCGTAATGCAATAATCATTTTATTTTAGCAACGTATATTTATTAAGATAAATATATCTTAAAAGAAAATATTGAGGTTCATATATTAAGTGAAGACTGGTTTTGCAGCTGTATCTGAAAACAGTGTCTTATCTCAATGCAAATCCCCCCTCCTACTCTCTTCAGTCAAACTACTCTCTTGGAATCATGGAAATTGTTCCACGTGATCCTCGAGTGTACATCTCCTAATCATAAACGAAACACTTACTCGCACAACTCTCTTCGATGTGGACAGACGTCGTATGATGTATTGAAAACGGCCTGAATCACTCGATGATGCCCTCGCCGACACTGTCACAGTCCTGGTTGTGAGGCATACCAAACAATGGATATCTTTATTCAAAACTGACTCAGAACATTTGTTGGATAGTCACTATCATCATCATCATCATGACAAACAGCAGCTGTGTTCACAGATACATTGTGGTAATCACATCTTTGTTCTTCGACAGTGGTGTGCAAATACTTGTAAGCACTCTCGATTACTGCTACACCCCCTAAATCTCGAACTCAATAGTCTCGTAATATCGTTTATGACGACGTAATTAATCAGCACTAACGTCCAATGTCGACACACAGCTTAACTAGGGATAACCCGATGTTTATGTTATGTTTCCAGGCATTTCGACCTTTAACACAGTTTCACTGTGTATGTATCAGCAATATCTAACCACCAAAATAAAGGTTCACATACGTAGTAACTCCTTCCTGTGATCCTGCTTGCAGCCAGAACGTCCCCGATGCACTGTCACCAGGTCCTATATCAAATGTCTGTGTGACTGGAGTCTCGGCAAACCCTTGGTCGTCCTTGAAGTTGACGTCGATGGACGACTCCGCATCTCCTTTGTTGGTCACCTCAAAAGGGACAGCCAGTCGCTCATTGATGTAGAGAGTACCTGAAACACACACGTTTACTTTATCTGGACCATTTACTGATTTGATATCGATTTCAACATCTTTTCGTGTAAAAAAACAAATAGAAACCACGTTTCTTCTGTACATGTACTGTGTCTGATACAATGCAGTGCACGACAAGCGTCAATCTTTGTCAGAAAGTGAGTTCCATTCGTCACAACATCATCATAATGTATTCATAGTTTGAAATTAGTGAAAAAGATCAGTATCATGGCTTCGAAATTGTAGATGCAAATATAAGTATCTGCGTTTGTATTAGGAAACCTGAAAGAATCGCATAATTCGGACTGTGATGACAGTTAGGAGTACAATATTATTTGACACCACGATGGTGCTTGATCATGATTATCGTCGTAACCCCATATAACTTGTACCATTCCATGTATTACTGAGGCATACATTTGATATCCAAATTTGAGATATACATCTTCGTACATTTATGACCAACACGAATAATTTAAGAACTAACCAACTCACCCAAAGTATGTAGACTATTACGCATCTAACTGTCACAAGCTACGAATACTTTAATGTAATGTATATATGATGTAACATTCACTTCACTTTACATGAACTAGCTATTTAAATGTATATTGACTTAATACAAAAAAGGAACATGTTGAGGCATCATATAACTTGACGTCAAACACTGCAGTAAATGCATATATCTAAGATTAGTTGTTGACGTTCAGCATGCAACGCTGATGCGATCCGTAGTTGTCGAGAATAATTCATGATTTCTTTCAGCCACCGTACCGTTTATCGGAAGGAATTTCAGCTTGATGTGGACAGGAACAATTTGTTTGGAATGAAATCGTTGAAACTGATGTCCATGGTTGTCTGTTCCTATCAGACCTATCCGGAATGACTGAAGAAGCGAAAGGAGCACTATGAATAGATCACACAAGCAAAGAAGAGAATGATTAGCCCGCTTGTTATATGTCAAAGACATCTTAAGGAACAAATACTTAATTTGCTCTGGCCTCACAAAATTTTTCGAAAACCGGAATGTGTTTACTTGTCTTAGGAATAACAGAAAAAAACAGCGATAACTACAGTTATATGTATCTATTAGCGAGTGAGTTAGTGAATTCATTTGACAATATAACAGCTCCGTCATGGCGGCCTGTAGTTTGGCCAAAGACACCTCGTGGCTGAATGCATGTGTAACGATCCATGCAGTCGGGATTCGATCTACACCACCGAGCCAGACCATCCATTTTAGTCTTCTTTTAAGATAAGCATGGGTATTGTGGTCATCTTGTGTATACGCACATCAGCTCGTGAGATCCCTTATCCTATCCAGGTTGGACTATGCTAACAGTCTGCTTATTAAAATCTAACAAGATCTATGTAGCAAATTGCAACGTGTGCAGAATGCTGCTGCCAGATTGATATGTAGACGAAATAAGCGTGCACATGTCACTCCTTTATTAAAATCATTACACTGGCTTCCAATAAGATCTAGGATTGAATACAAAGTCGTGTGCATTGCATACCAGTGCTACTATAGTACAGCACCTTCCTATCTGAGTGAACTTCTTACCCTACACCAGCCAGCACGAGATCTCAGATCAGCACATAAACTCCAGTTTAGTGTCCCCATGGTCTCACTCAAAGCATTCGGCAACAGAACTTTTGCTCACACTGCATCTGTGCTCTGGAATTCCCTTCCAGTGGAAATTAGGCAATCTCCAACTCTGGACACTTTCAAGACAAAACTAAAGACTTATATCTTGAGATGTGTCTATGACCCTGTGTGGGGAGCTATGAGCGACTACGTAGACGGAAATGGCGCTGAGGAATGGACTTTATTATTATTTGTTTCTACATTGGACACCGCATATTGTGGTTCCAAAGTAACTACCTTTCAGATAAGTTCTATGTACATATTTGGAGAGTGGATATATGAACTGTTTTACACTGAACTTGTTCTATGGGCTTTTCAACTTTACCTGGCCAGGGAGAACAAATTCCTTTCTAAACATGGCTGACTCCTCTCGTCCCTTCACACGCTCAAACCCGTCATGGCGTGTGAGCTCAAGTCCATCCGAATTCAACAGGAGAAGGCTGTTCAGTGTTGTGAGTAGATTCATAGATGGTAATGTAGCAATCAATGTCACAGTGTCACCTGGAAATTGCATCACTTTATGACGTATTCAATTTAAGGCAGGACATGAGTTGGTTAGCGTTGTTTAACGCCACATACAGTCAGCAATATATCAAATGTACCGACAAACAAATGAACACACGCATCTCAAGTTACAGAGGCTGACCATAACCACCCGACCCTCATCTTTGCCGGGACTTAAGACAAGCATAAGTTAATAGGGACCAACTCTACCCCCTCCCGCCATCCCATGGCCACCACACCGAGGTAGAAACACGTCAAAAATGAAAATAAATAATAAATTCGGGATGATCTGTAAATATCATGGCAGAAAAAAGAAGATTGAGAGACCGGGCCAGGCCTTTACTGTCGGCTGAACATCGACACATATGCTTCTCCTCGGAGTAAGACGATAATTATTATCTTTAGTCCAGGGAGGTTTGCGATCCAACAAACACCCACAAGAAAAAAGGCTGAGATAAGATTCTGCTTTCCCTTAAGCATCTATGCTCACAACTATTTGTTTCAGCATATGACCTTTTGGGGAGAGAACATTGCAGATCAAACTTCAGCGGTGCTATCGACAAATCAGTATTGTTTTATATATAAAATGGTACAGGGTACCACAATGCTACCTGTAACAATAAACGATCTTAATGTAACTGATTTGTGATACTTGTGTACCTGCAATGGGTCGACCAGTGAGCTCGTAATCAAATCCAGTAATTTCGTTCCTCTGTACAAACTTGACTGATGCGTCCAGTATGCTCCTTGCTGATATTTCAATTTCCCAGTCATTAGATCCCAGGCGGGCTACACTCCAGAGTCCTTGCATGGGAGTCTGTAAAGTATCGATGAAGGTAAGCTATATGTCCAGGTTTAGATAGAAGGGAAAGGGTTGGGTAATACTATGGTTCACCTTAGACGTTGTCAGCAACATATTTTATCTATGTAACATTATGCTTCATTGCAGAACTCATGTTGAGAAAGACACCGTGTCTTTGGCGGTCCAACACCCTAACCAGAATATATTTACGGAAGCAATAGTGTTTATTCAGAAGGTGTATGTTTTTTGTGTAGCAATTAAAAGAAGTGTTGTATATTGCTTATTACAAACCTTCAACTTGATCAGTTTAATGCCGTTGCCAAGATCCTTAATAGTCATATTTGATGTGAAGTTACTCCCTAGAATACATGAAACAAACATGAAGGTATATGTCAGTAAACCAAAAGGCTTTCATATTTTGTACTTCTTCCTGATATATGTTTTAACCTTGCAATCGTCCATTCTTGTGATAATATTAAGAATTCGTGCTTTAGACCGTATATACTGAGTTGTATGGATAAACCAGACGTAAAAACAATATTGTGTATGAGAGTTATCAAGTTACGAAAATAAGCAAGACAAAAGGTGAGCAGGGTTCACAAATACCCGCGCAGTGTAAGCTCAAAACATGAAAAAGCAATATTTTCTCTGAAAATCCACTGTCAAAATTAAACTTTGCTCTGCAACTATCCTATTGGTATAGTAACTATACCCCCAAATTGGAAAAGAATCCATGAAGTAGTTTTCAAGTAGCACAAATGTTGAAGTAAAAATAAAACATCATATTTTTTTTCAGAAAAAAACACAAAATATCAAAATCAAACATTGCACTGCAGAAGATTCCAAGTTAAAGATCACACAACTGTTTGAGTAAAACCAATCTAAGTAAAAAAAAATTTAAAAACTCTGTATGTTTCCAGAAAATCCAAATATTAAAATCCAACTCTTCGATAGGTATAAAATGTGTTCAACAAAATTGGAAAGAATCTATGTTGTAGTTAGATATAGGCCCCACAAAAAATATTCCTCGGGAGGACGGACGGAATTTCTTGGTTGAACCATATACCCGCCATTTTAGGTCGGGTGTATGACAAAGCATCTTACCATCTGGTGAATAAATTTTCTCAGAAGGAGTATCGCCAACTGTGAGTATTTTGATAGTCAGCTGACGGACAGAGGAATCCACTGGAAATGTGATGTTGAGACTCCTGTTCCATTCCATGCTCATCTTGAGTACTGTGACTGATGACGCGGAGACAGACTCCTGGCAACGATATCATGACAACGACTAAACATTAGACTCCTGAGGACAATATTGAGTCTTCCATGCGACCAAGCTTGATGTCATGACAACGACTTAACATTAGACTCCTGAGGACAATATTGAGTCATCCATGCGACCAAGCTTGATGTCATGACAACGACTTAACATTAGATTCCTGAGGACAATATTGAGTCTTCCATGCGACCAAGCTTGATATTATGACAACGACTTAACATTAGACTCCTAAGGACAATATTGAGTCTTCCAAGCGACCAAGCTTGATATCATGACAGCGACTTAACATTAGACTCCTGGGGACAATTTGAGTCTTCCATGCGACCAAGCTTGATATCATGACAGCGACTTAACATTAGACTCCTGAGGACAATTTGAGTCTTCCATGCGACCAAGCTTGATGTCATGACAGCGACTTAACATTAGACTCCTGGGGACAATTTGAGTCTTCCATGCGACCAAGCTTGATATCCTGACAGCGACTTAACAGACTCCTGAGGACAATATTGAGTCTTCGATGCGACCAAGCTTGATATCCTGACAGCGACTTAACATTAGACTCCTGAGGACAATATTGAGTCTTCCATGCGACCAAGCTTGATATCATGACAGCGACTGAACATTAGACTCCTGGGGACAATTTGAGTCTTCCATGCGACCAAGCTTGATATCATGACAGCGACTTAACATTAGACTCCTGGGGACAATTTGAGTCTTCCATGCGACCTAGCTTGATATCATGACAGCGACTTAACATTAGACTCCTGGGGACAATTTGAGTCTTCCATGCGACCAAGCTTGATATCATAACAGCGACTTAACATTAGACTCCTGGGGACAATTTGAGTCTTCCATGCGACCAAGCTTGATATCATGACAGCGACTTAACATTAGACTCCTAAGGACAATATTGAGTCTTCCATGCGACCAAGCTTGATATCATGACAGCGACTTAACATTAGACTCCTGGGGACAATTTGAGTCTTCCATGCGACCAAGCTTGATATCATGACAGCGACTTAACACTAGACTCCTGGGGACAATCCATGCATGAGGGTTACCGTCATCTTTTCTCTCTCTCAAAACCATTCCATTTCGGCACAGTGTGTTGCCTCACTCCAGTATGATATTTGTTTTATATTACAATATTTCAATATTTCATCACTTATAAATCCTAAATACCTTTATCATATCTGCTACAGAAGATATACCACGTTTGTTGGTAACGTAGACTGATCCGCCTGTCGAGGCTGCGAGAGACCGGAAGAGATCGAGTCCGTCAGTTGAGCGCTTTGATCTCGGTGTATCCAGCTTTCGTATTCCTTGTCAAACAAAAGGTATTCTTACAATAACTTACAAATATATTAAAATTATGCATCTGAACTTTCATCTTATAATCACGCGCATGCTTTATCATAATATTGAAACATTTCGAAATTCTATTTCAAGTTACTTGTCTCCAAGTCTATATTGCCGAAAAATCATATTTATGCTATACGTGTATATATATTTATGCTACATGTGTAATATGCTTTACGTGTTTATAGGTTACGTTTTGTATCATGTTATGCATTAATACCAATGTATATTTAGCAATTATATGATTGCAACCTTTTAGATATCAAAACAATTGCTATTTACTCATTTGGTATGATCTTTTCTTCCTGGAGGAACAATCTCCTGTCAGAAGAAAATCAATTTTCACTCTCTTCTCCAATGCAAGAGTTCTCACAATAGTTGTTTTTTCCGGATCTTTGGCTGAAGCATCTGTGAAGGCGTACAGCTCCGAGTCGGGCTGACACAGTGTTAAGGCTGTGAAAAAATGTTCGACACAATGGATTCCTCCATTTATTTGTAATCAAGTTCCTCAATTTTATGATGCTATCTATGTTACCACACATCTCTCCTTTTTAGTTGCGACATGGGGCTCAACTAGGGCTCCAATCGGTGTAAAAAATACCAACTCTATTCAGAAGTAGAGCGTTGGTGTCTGGTGTGGAAAGGGTTTGGTGGGTGTAGTTTTAGTTAAAAGTCCATTTGACAATGGCGGTATTTTTGGCCATTCATTAATGATGTTGAGTCGGGTCATGAGAATGCATGTCGTGTGTTTGACCCAGAACAAGTGTTTGATATAGTTGTTTAAATATATGCGTAGAACTAGTTTACTTAGAAAGCAAAAATTCGTTTTGAACAATGTGAATGAACAAAATGTAATTTACACAAATTGAATCAGTGATGACATTGTCGGCGTGATCGTACCTTTAAGAAGGCCATCCATTGCATACTCAGGACAATCATCACCCCCATTCACCGCAACTGTTTGAAGGTACGTCAGCGTCTCATTACCGGAGGCGAACTGCACTACTTTGTTTAGTGAAACTGAAAATAAACACATTGTTATATCCAGATGTGTTCAATACAATCTAAATAATGTATACAGTTCGATAAGAAGGGTAACATATACTGTAAGGTCTTCCTCGAAAACTGACAGTCTACAAGACGTTTGCAATAACATTATTGAACATTTGTGTGTCCTGCCCGTAAAGATCCGGGCTCTAATTGATTTCAGCAACCCATGCTTGTCCTACATGCTTATCGTAAGAGGCGAATCCCGCGACCGGGTGATCAGGCTCGCATCTGCATGTCATTATATCGATGCTCACGATGTCAATCACTGACTCGATTATTAACAGATTGCCTTCATATAGCTGGGATACTGCTGAGCGCGGGGTTAAACAACAAACAAACAAATAAACAAACACATGTATCCACGGACACAACAACCAACGGACTATGAAACAAATTAAATAATGTTTCAAAAATATATAATTGTTTAAATTTTAAAAACGAAAAAGTAGATTGTTGAATGCGAACAAAACAAAACAAAACAAGAACAAGAATATGTGAATGAACGAAACTAACGTGGGTCATTAAACAGAGAGATGATGTAGTTAGATGGTTCGTTGATTGTCCCCGACACAGTGTTGATAATTTCGCCTATCTTGGTCTTCACGGCTTCAATTTCATCACTCATTGATCCGGAGTAGTCTAATACTAGGGCTATCGATTTTCCAGATTTTAATTGCAGCAGCTGCTCGTAGTTTGAATTGCCTAGCACATGCCGTAGACCATATTCTGGAAAGGAAATCGTGATCACAATTATACAAGTGTTTTATGCGATGACGAGGGAAATCCCCGATGACCCGTTTTGATCAAACAGTAATATAACCTATGTTACTGGTGTTTTCATCAAAAGTATTATCATGATTATATACTTATATATTATTTTACCGACGCACCAAATCAGTTATACAGTACTTCATAATTGCAATTCGATTATAAACACTTTTGTTCAACGAATATGTACAAAATGTTCAAAATACGCTCAGTAAATGAACGGAAATGAGCGACAACATGATTAGCAGTGTGTACTCTCGAAAAAAAAATCGCATATCAGAAAAATTTAACCGTTAATGGGTATATTTCAAAGCATGATTGGGAATGAATAACTGTTTTGTAGAACATCAATTTTTACATAATTAGCGCAACAAAGTTTGTCTATATGATGTTCCGGATTTCATAACACACGAATGTCGTGCAGATGGTCAGTGGCAAATTCAATATCTGTGACCACCACGTGCTTGCATAACCGCACGGTAACGTCCAGGCATTGACTTTATTAGTCTCTGAATTCTGGCCTAGGCAATCCTTCTCCAATCCTCCTGCATTGTTCGAGCCGCTTCACGAAGTGTTGCAGGCTGTGGTTGACATTGTCGTAGACGTCGGCCGAGTTCATCCAAAACATTCTCAATTGGTTTCAAATATGTCGATCTAGATGGCCAATGAAGAACATTCGGGTTGTTATTGGCTAAACAGGCTCCCGTGACGCGAGCCGTGTGGGCCTAGCGTTATCATGTTGGAACATCTAACGTTGGACGTCAATGGCAGAAGGAAATGCTGCTGCAAAAGTTACTGTCACTGTAACGTAAAGCAGTCAGATAACCCTGCACGTGAACAAGATTCGTACGTCATGTGTAGGATATTGTCCCCCACATCATGACACTGCCTCAACAGTATCTACACTTGACGTACACAAATACGGCTAAAGGTTCGTTTACACGCCTGAATACACGAATTCGGCAATAACGTCTTTGTAAGAGAATACGTGATTCATCACAAAGCCATATTCGTCCCCAATGTCGCAGATTCCAGATCTGAACGTTAGTACACCAACGAACGCGTTGAAGGCGGGGATGACGACTTCAGACGTAGCCAAAGTAAGGTCTCCTGGCTCTTACTCCAACCTGGCGCAGACAATTCCGTACAGTCTGGGCGGATATCTTTCGTAGTCCTGTCAAGTTGGCAGCTGTGTGTGTCAGTCCGATCACGTAAATGCAGCACCCGGATGTACCGATCCTCCGCAGGTGTTGTGACTCGTGGTCTGCCGAAACGTGGACGGTCTTTGGTTGACACAGAATGTTGAAATCGTACAACGAAACGGATAATTCTACTCTGGTTGATATTTAGACGAGTGACAACTGATGTCTTAGACTCTCCAGCTTTAAGTCGACCTATGGCGATATTGCGTATTGAGTCAAATCGTGGCATAGTTAGGTTCGTTTAATCATTCAACAAATTTCTAGACAGATGTTTTCTTTTTATAGCCAAGTTGAGCCTGTACGTTTTCCATAATTTGCACGTGTGAAACGTTTAAGGTGGCATTTTAGACATTTGTGAACAACGAACCCAAAGTGAAAATTTCAAAACCAAATGGAAAACGTTACTTAATACTCACATCCGTATGATCCATGGCGTAATTCAACAATTTTGAAGCCATTGTGGTGAAAAAAACAACATTTGTGGCAATGCAATCGGTTATGTGTTTCTTGTTTTAGAGAGTATATTTAAGATCCTCCGATTCATATTGCAATACACAAAAAGAGTCAAATGTCAATTGAATGAAGTGCATCTGTGGACAATAGGTACAAATTTAGAACAAAAACGTTCCCACATATCATCAATGTCTACAATTACGCTAAACATGTGAATATAAATGTACACACAAAGTTAAATCAAGAGCAGAACCTTCAATACAATACATACATACCCTTATCCTCGAAGAAGAATGCAGTGTGGTTGATGGCTGTGGCGACAGCAGCCCGATGCAGATGATAGTGGGGGCTGAGTGATGGAGAGGTGGCGTCCTTGTTGATACCTCCAATTGCTGCGCTGGTTGATGCAGAGTCGTCGAACGACCCACCATGGCTGCATTTTCCTATTTGGCTAAGTTTCGGATCCTCTGCAAATTCAAGACTTACAAGGAAATGTCTTCTTACGGGCGCATGTGCTTTAAATATAAATAATTGTTTCTTCAAACAAATCGGGTACGTATGACTCGATACAAATGCCGAACATGTAGTATTGTGTTGGTTACAATTGTGTTCAGTCCTAGTCTTTTATGAAAGATGCTGCTAGTGATTGGGAATATGTAACAGTGGGTAACACGAAAGCCTTTCTGACGTAACTGCATGATAGTCAACAGGAAGAGCGAACATCTCTCACATCTGTAGTAAAGTACTGTGATAAATATGCAGATGTACATTAAAATAATATTTGAAAATAAGGCTAATGCATTTTAACTAGTATACAATTATTGTAAATAATTTATAATAACCGAATTGTCATCGTTTTATGATTGTATGTATTTAATGCGCAAAAAACCTGCAATACATCCCATATATTATGATCATGAATTACATGTATGAGTTAGGAAGAGCATTTATGGATGTCGACTTTTTAATCAGAGGAACGCAATGTATCGGAGTATATACTTAATCCTTCATTCATATATTCTCTTCCTCGTGTGTATCACTTCTAAATGCCAATCGAAGACTTGATACCAAACTGAGCGATTGCAATTACTGTAGTTACAAAACGGTACAGATCTGGATGAAATCAATTTCACAGTCATGCCCGAGCGAGTTTGATTTTACGCCGCATGTTGGGAATCCAACCCTGTCCTTGGCGTCACGAGCGAACACCTTAGCCACTAGGCTCCCCTACTGCCCCTCATAGGTATGAAGTACTGTCCCTTTGTACATCAGAAGACGTTCCACAAAGTAAACAGTCAACCACTGCTCGGCTCGGGATGAACAGAGCCGGACTAAATGGTGTATTTTTGGATCTGTTGACTTACTGAATGGTTTCTGTACATCTTGGCCACTCCTGTATCCGCTTGTTAGTAAGGACCCCTTAATAATCAAGTTGTCCTTGCAATCGCCGTCGCCGTATTGTCTAAAACATATGTATATAGTTACAAATGAACTGCCACGTGCAAGAGTAGAGAGAGGGAGAAAAAACTCATTGTAGCTTCAGTTGTACATGTCACGTCGTTAAATGTTTTGACCACGGCATAAAGTGTACAATATGACAGTTTTACAGCACTACGTTTATGAGAGGTTACGCTCGTTATATACGTTTTGAAACACAATCATCGTTATAAAACAATCCAGATTCTGTAATCTATACATAAGACATTTAAAGCTATGCTAACAATGTGCCACCTATGTGTTTGTTATTATATTCATCCTCGGTTAATTGTCGTTCATGCTATCAACCACTTGGTTGTTTCTAGGACGCACTGGAACATTGCTGATTGTGACTTTATAGATCTTCCACCACTCAGTGATCATTTGATAAAATTCGACATGTGTTCCGGTATACTTCATTGACAGCTAGCAAGTTGTGTTGTTGTTGAGGAGTTTATATTAATATATTGCTCTGCAGCTGTATCAAAGATATATTTCGTACATATCTCTCATTCAACAATAAATATTTTGTGAAATTATTATGGTAAGATCATATAAATGTTCCGTGTGTATCCGAAACAGAGAACACGATCTGAACTTTGACATGACCAAACAATTAGTTCAAGTGCTGTGTGAAGAGATCACATGCTGCACGTTCTCAGGTTTACACACTTGCGCTGGAGATGTCGTATCCGGTGAAATGTTGATTTATGAAATAATTCTATTCTATAAAAATAATATAGCCAGGGAAGTGATTATTTTATCGGCGGTGACGATGAAAGAGTCAGAGAGCGAGGGATGGGGAAGCGTCTTAAAGGTTAAAACCTACTTTTTTTTCATGTAAGTGGACAACTGCTTCCCCAGATTAATTCTATTGGACTTATCGAAAAAAGACGTAGTGTATTCCCACTGAGACAATACAATATCCCGTTGAGTCCAACGCTAAAGGAGCCATCGGTTCGGGTTTACGCTCCCCAATCAGCATTCATGTACATACGTTTCCCTCTCTGTATCGTTTCGTAAGCATCAGACTGACACTGACGTAACGATTTTACCGGTACATGTTATGCTAAATCACTGACCCACATGATCGGCAGGTATCCATGGGAGGCGGGGCCTGACCGTACAGTGGTCTACCGCGCAGGCCTGTCACAAAGAAGGAATAGATATAATTACATTGTCTGATACACTCGATCAGGTACTGTAATGTTGTATACCTATGAGCGTAGTAATCACAAATCAAAATGTACTTGCAATTGTCTGAAGCAGCAGGTATGCTTTAGAGTATTCATATAAGAACATCACCTTCAGCGAACTGCACTACTTTGTTAGTGAAACTAAAAATGAACACATTGTTATATCCAGATGCCTGCAATACAATCTAAATAATGTATACAGTTCGATGAGAAGGGTGACATATACTGTAAGGTCTTCCTCGATAACTGACAATCTACAAGACGCTGCAATAACATTGAATTCTGGTGTATACTATCCGTGAGGATCCGGGCTAGAATTAATCTTCAGCAACCTATGCTTGTCCTACGAGGCAACAAGCATAGTCGACTAACGGGATCGGGGGGTCAGGCTGGCTGAGCTGGTTGATACATATTGATACATGTTATCTTATCCCATTTGCGTAGATCGATGTTCTTCAAGATGTGAATCACTGGATTGTCTGGTCTAGACTCGATTATTTCAGAACGCCCTCATATAGCTGGAGCATTGCTCAGTGCGACGTTTAACAACACATAACAACAGAAACAACTTAAGAACATCAAAGTATGTTTATGCATATTCATATTGCCTACATATGGTATGCATCAGATGTAAATATCCAAATTATGGCGAAACAAACTTTGTCCGCTAACTGGCTGTTACTTACCGAGGGAGTAGTATGGAACCGCCCCGGAGAGCTCCACCCAGTTGCTGTTGCTGTAGAACATTTGCATAATATGCAAAAACTGACCGCACAACTCCATCGCATAGTCTAGATTAGGATTGTCCTCTTCGAACAGTTGGATTATTTGTTCTCTCAGCTGAATCATTTGTTCATTCGCTGAAAGATAACGGAACAAAATGTGTGGAATATACATTCATCTGTGTTTAAATACATACGTTTGTGTATGTTGACAGCTGACAGAAAAGAATAAATATTTAATATTATCATTGCATCCGTTACGCAGCACAGCAATTCGAAATCCATCAACTTTGTGTCACATGACACTGATAATCAGCTTCAGAACTTCCACCCATGTGATAATCGATCCTGGATCTTTACCGTTACGGGCAAATGCTTGATCCCCTGGACCCCAATACCGCCCCGCCCTTACAGTTTACCCTCTTGGAACCACGGGACCATATATGAGTTCCTCACTTTTCACACCCGCTTAGTGCCACGGGACCACATATGGTCCCCTGAAAAGGTCCCCTTTCAACTGTAAATTTAGATGTCAAACACTGAGTGCTCACATTCAAAATTATAACCATCATCACCCTAATCATCTCAGCTTTAATATCGTGCAACTCATATTTTATGCAGTGCTACAGATTGCGAAATATGGCTAGATTAGTAAAGTTGTTACCGCGCTTCTCGACCTTTTTCCGCCACGTTGCACTTCATCTGATCAGACTGGCCGGAAAGATTTACTGTTCCCCACAGTACAGTTATTGGCGTAAGACTACTAACCTTTAGTCCGCAACGGAAGTTTTGTATCAAGTATTGCATATACTCTGTGTCGTGGTGGTATAGCACAGCGCTAGAGACGAAAGGACAGTGCAGATTGTCCTGTTTATGATGCTGATTTCCAGAAATTATTCAAATCTAAGATATGAAAATATAGCTATGATAGTTAATTAATTATTGTGGTCGTATGATGTATATTTATGGGCAGAAAGTTATGATCACAACATAGTTTAAACAAGCCCGAATTGATCGTCAAGGCACGTTCGCATCATAGCAGTGCCGCGATTTCTTGTCTACCAGTTGTCCTAGTTGCTCGCCCGTAACTACAGCAAATAGTCGGGACTATAACAGTAAGTTCGTTATATCCGTAAGTTCGTTATAAGCGTGTTCGTTATAACCGTAGTTTACTGTATTACTTAGTGTTCCTTGGGAGGCTGTATATTCTTGCCAACAATCAGTATGAGGAAAGGAAAGTGTAAATCCTGCTGGGGTTCCAGGCAAGCTGCAGAGTTTGAAACCCAACAATTAACATTCCACCCCAGCCCATCGTCCCCGGTCCATAGGAAAGTTACAATTGGTTACTTGCGAGAAATAGCCCAACTGTTATATCATTTAATTCCTAGCGAACTACAGCCCAAATGTTATATTTATGGTTTACAAGCTGACTATAGCCCAAGATTTAAAGAGTTTGGTTACAAGCGAACAATAACCTAAATTTCATATTGTTTGGTTTCTAGGAAAATAGGGGGCACGGGTGGCCCAGTCGTCTAAGGCGCCGCGATTCGCTGTGCAGAGTTGCGTCCCTTGGGCATACAAGAAACCTATGATTGTGGGTTCGAATCCCGGTTCGCCCCGATTATGTTTCTTGGTTTGTCAGCACCATACCCGTGCTCGTGGGTTTCACCGAAGTGGCAAACGTCTGAGACCTGCATCACTTTGGGTTTTCCTGCCATATAAAGCTGACACGCCGTGATATAACAGAAATAATGTTAAAAGCGGCGTTAAACCAAATTCACTCACTCACTCACTCTAGCAAAATATGACCCAAATGTCACACTATATGGTTGTTTGGCAGTTTTATCTTACTGTATTTGTAGTATTTTTTCAACTCGTTTGAAATGTAATTCTCTGACGTGTTAATAGTTATTAAATATACCGCCCTGTGTCGACAGCTTGTTGTTAAAATGTCGCTGGTATACTGTCGACGTGGATATTAATTTTAATTCCCGCACTCACGTCCCTCAGATGTAACAATCCAACCCACAAAACACATTTCAGCATAGTACAGACATCTTGTAAGGAAACACAACGACCAGTTCCCCCTCTCACCTGCCCGTATTGTTTCGCCCTGACAGTGCCACTTGGCGATGTTTAAGTAGTTTTCGTCCACGAGATTGTTTGCACTGGTGATTGTGTCGATGGCTTCTTTGAAACGCTTCTCTGAGGCGTCCTCTGCAGCAAAGATGAGTATTTGTCATGTCAATAAACAGTGTTTTTGTCGACCAATTTGATGAAATACTTATGAGAAAATTATGGCCATTAGTATTCCTACATATAGTTCGCACAGGACACGTAAACATGAACCTAATGACCAATTTGATTTCACATCGCTTCAGTATAGAAGTTACAAATAAACAACAGTTAGAAGCATCAATCATGTAGAATATTAATGTGCGTCTTTGTGTCTGCGTGTGTATTTGTTGTTCAACGCCTCACTCATCACGTGTCCAGCTACTAGTATATGACGACGAAGTATGGAAACAAGCAGACACTCCCGTGATGACAAAATGAGCAACTGTCCACGTCGTCAGGGTACGTTGAAACGCCTTCAACCAAATCTCCGAATTTGAGCACTCATTAAGTCGCCTCTTACGACCAGAATAGGTCGCTCGATACCAATTCCAACTCGGCCGATAATAATGCTGCATTACATGCAATTTGTTCAGACAATGATGAGACAAGTCTTAAAAATTTGAAATATAACTGTGCGTCGGTTTGAAGAGGGAGGAAAGTGATGCAGGTCTTTGACGTTTACCACTTTGGGGAAGTCATGAACACGAGTGTGATCCTGACAAACCTGTAGAACATAGCCAGGAATAATCTGGGATTCGAACATACGATCGTGTGTTTTAAGCACGCAGAAGAGATACATCTTAGCACGGCGGATTGTGGCGCCATAGATAACTGTTGCATTCATTCTAAAAGAAACCTTCAACAACCGTAATACACAACGCATAGTCGTCGCTTTGTTTACTTTGTGGATAGCACTCAATCTACCGTACTATCCTACGTGACTTCTACCGGTGACGATCCGGGTTAAAAGTGACCTTCTGCAACCCAAGCTTGTCGTAAGAGGCGAATAATGGGATCGAGTGGTCAGGTTGGCTGACCCAATTGCGTAGATCGATATCGATGCTCATAGTATCAATCACTGGATTGTCTGGTCTAGGTTCGATTATTACAGACCGTCGTCAATTATCTGGAGTATTGCTGAGTGCAGCGTTAAATAACAAACAAATAATAAATTTTGACTTCTTATCACCACCTCACACTAACGTCCCATCCCACTTAGTTTTGATGTAGTCGGAATCGTATGATACACATCAATTTTATGTTATTATGGAAAATGTTTGTCGCCTTTTTTTTCAGCCTCCCTCTCAACCCATCTTCCCTGACACCTACATGTACATGTATCTGCTGACATACGTCCACCATAACTGTATACAACAATAGCTGACGGTAATATTGCTCCCATGTGTTCCTCTGTCCTGCACAATTGACCATGCTAATAGATACATTTACTCGGCGTGTAAGCAGGATGCAGGGATTGCTCAGCTGCAGAGTACTTACCGCCATAATATCGGTCAAACAGTTTTCTGGCTGTTATATGCGCCAATCCGGTCAACTCGCCCTTGCCAACAGGAGATTCCGGGCGGGGGTTTTCCTCAAAATATGCCGCGACTGCTCTCAATATTCCCACCTCTGTAATATCCTGGTGTGTAAACGTTTCTTTCCCAAGGTCCAAACTTGACAAATGATTTGGAAAAAATCCGTTGACAAGTTTCAAATAAATGCAAATTAACGGCAAGAATAGTGGATGTGTCATGATCGCAATAGCTGTTTGAGTGACATGAGCCAAGTGATTTTCGTCACATCAGAGCAACAGTTCTAAATATACTCCTGTGTAATATCTGCGCAGAACATGCAAATAACATCCTCTATTACAGCGAGGGTTTAAAGGCCTATTGTCATGCTACGTTTGTTAAGTGTCCCGTTGAGTGTGAAGTGTTAAGTTTACGGTTGGGGGGGGGGGGGGGGGGGGGGGGGGGGGGCTTGTTGTTTAACGCCCCACTCAGAAATATTCAAGCTCTGTGGCGGCGGTCTGTAAATAACCAAATCTGGACCAGACAGTCCAGTTATAGACATCATGGGCAGCAATCTACGCAATTGAGATACGATGACATGCATTAACCAAGTCAGCGAGCCTGACCACGCGATCCCGTAAGTCGCCTCTTACGACAAGCATGGTTGCTGAAGGCCAACTTTAACCCGGATATTCATAGGGCGTTAAGTTTCCCTATGTTGTCCATATAAACTCCATCAATGATATGAGTCGAGGGCCAAATAAAGATCATATGTATGTAAAAGCTGTAGATGTTTTTCATATCGCCCTTTTGATAACTACATATCTCCGAGTGACGTCATTACTACAGGTGACAATCATCATAATAGTAATGGACGAAACCAAAAACAAACAGTTCGTTTTATCCGTCAGTTTGTTATAAGCGTGTTCGTTAAAAACGTAGTTTACTGTATGTTGCGCGTTTTGCTTAAACAATCCATACTATCTATGTCTTTTAAAACGACATCTGATACCAAAATACTTGCAAGAAAAGCTAACTGTAATTTCATGGTAATATCATCAACTTATATTCTACCCTGACACTTATTATAAAAGATGCTTGATTCTGATTGATCCAAATAGGACTGAAATAAGGTATCTAATTCGATTCGATATTTTACAACTAACAAGTATTTCTCATAAAAATACATCGGTCCTTCCATAGCCTATATATTGATGCACTTTAAAAACATTGCCAATTAGAACTGTGTACGTTCCATATTAGTGGAACATTAGATGTTTTGTCACTCACCGGTACACTACACAAGCATTTGGCCACAGCAGCTTATCAAACATGATAAGATCTATTTAAGAACAGAACATACACTAACCACTGTGACAGCCATCTCTCATGTCGCGCAAAGCCGGCTCGTCTTCAGCGAAAAAAGAGGCGGTATCCAGGCATGCTTCAGATTGGTTCCTATGGCAACGGTTATGTCAGCATAGTAGTAACTAGTAAATCATCAGGTTAAGGTGGAACATAAGTTCAGAACAGGATTGTTCTCAGGGATCATGCTATTTGCAAATAGGTCTGTCACCGGGAAAAACTAGTTTCAAATTATTGCACTTACAGTTATAATGCGACGTGTGTGTGTGTGCGTGCGTGCGTGCGTGCGTGCGTGCGTATGTGTGTGTGTGTGCGTGCGTGCTTGCGTGCGTGTGCATGTATGTGTGTGGGGGTAGGGGGGTGGGGGTAGGGGTGGGGGTGGGGTGATGCTGGTACTACAGCTGGTCCGGTTTCATAGTGCTAGCCTTTTGAGAGACCATGCCGTAGTTACTCAGATAGAGTACACTAATTATACGAGCCGACAAGCTGTTACTTGATCCCCTTAACGCCGAGTAAAAGGCAGGGTAACAACAAATACCATCTTTTAACATTTTTGGGTATGTCGCGGCCTTCTATGATTTATTCCGGACAGTCTCTGTTTGTGTCTTTTTATAAAGATATAAAGTGTTCACCTCCCTCATTAGGATCTTGAGAAAACTGTCATTCTGAAATGTCCAATTGAAAGAGTTGAAAATGAGAATAATGGAGACTGGTCAGTTGTCTTTTTGTCATATTACAATCTTCTTATAAGTTTGCCATGAATACTTAAATAGTAAACGTCTTGAGCCTGCATCAACTGCATACACATTTTCCTGGGGACAACGGCGACGACTGCGATGACAGCAGACACTATCACTACGAGTTACACACCGCTACCAATTATCAAAGACATCCCATTACTGGTCACGTCGGAATGACTTGTCGCGAACTCTGACTCACTAATGAAATGACATTGTGGATATTAGCCAATCAGAAAGAAGCTTTCTCGATCTTTAGGGCACGAGTTAAACTGGCGGCTTCCATTCCAAGCTACGCTATGAAAATATTTTGATAAAGTTCTCTGTTCAAAATTTTAAAACTGAACAAAATAAGATTCTGGAGGGTCTAAAAGATAGCCGAAATGGCAGTACCTCCTACGGGCTATGGAAAGTATCCTCCGTTTTAAATGTGTATTCAACTTAAGTGAGAGATAGACGATGATATTGATGGTATCAGTCGTGCAGTCCGTAACTGTATTCCAGGTTAACCTATTCAAGGTTACGTGCTTAGAAAACACATTCCGACTGTCACTTTGCCAATCTGGTAAGCGAAGCTCCGATCGGCCCGAGGAAAGGTCGTTCTGACGTGACCCGTGATGGTATGTCCTCGAATCTATGCTCTTGTCAAACACAGAGGGGGCACGGGTAGCAGTGCAGTGCAGAGTTGCGTCCCTTCGGCGCGCCAGAAACCTATAATTGTGGATTCAAATCCCGGTTCGCTTCGATTATGTTTCTAGGTTTGTCAGCGCCCTACCCGTGCTCTGGGTTTCACCGAAGTGGTAAACGTCTGAGACCTGCATCACTTCAGGCTTTCCACCCACATTAAGCTGATACGCCGTGATATAACTGGAATACTGTTAAAAGCGGCGTTCAACCCAATTCACTCACTCACTCAACGACAAGGAAGTATCTCTCAGACATAGGACCGACACGGAACAATCCTTTCACGAGATGTAAGTACCTACTTAAAGATGTCCGCTTGTATATACGCAGTGTATTTAAGTATCTATTTTCTATATCTATTTTCAACATGTATTGCGCTTAGTTCGTATTCAAATTCACTGGACGCTCTTAAGCTTCCGCGTCAAATTCAGACTTCACCGTTAAAGGGAACAATTCACTGTTCGTGGTGTATACAGGTTTGGATAAAAGTGTAGTTTACACTGTATTATGATTCTTTCCAAATGTATACACTTATCCCACAACGTGTTTCTATAGGACATCTTTATAAGTTCTATATGATCATGTACTAACTTTTTAGCAAAATTTAATGAACATACACGTTCGTATGTACGAATTTCAATCCAATTCCATACATCGCGGGGACAGGGATGACAGAGTCGTCTACAGCTTTGAAACCTATGATTGTGGGTTCGAATCCCGGTTCGCTCCAATTATGTATCTAGGTTTTGTCAGCACCATACCCGAGCTCTAGCGTTTCGACGAAGTGGTAAGCGTCGGAGACTTGCATCAGTTCCGGCTTTCCTCCCACATTAAGCTGATACATCGTGATAGAAATGCAGTACTGTGAAAGCGGCGCCAATCTCATTAAAATCAGATCTTAGTTCTCGCTACCGCTAAACAAAGATCTGAGGACATCCCATTTGGGGTCACGTCAGAACGACCTTTCATCCGACCAACCAGACTTATAGGTGAGACAGCCAGGACCCGGTGGCAAATCGCTGAAATGGTTGAATTGGTCAGATTCCGAAAAGCACAGATGACTTTAAATAAGCGAGTCTGAGTACTCTGATACATTTAAACCATGATCAACGTTTAAAGACAGTCAGCAACTAAAATGTTCAAACAACATTGTTTTTGGTATTACTAACTATATTTAAACAAATATTCAAGAACGTCATGTTTAATTGTGAGAACACTGTGTGCGTTGGCCCTGCGTGGTGCACGTGAAGTATGTTCCCTGTGACTTTGGCACGCGAATCTCGCTCTTTAACGATACGGTGCAGGAAATGCACGCCCGAGTTAAGTGGACATAAACATTATTTTCCCATGTTGATTTGTAATTTATAAGTAAACAAGAGTAACGCTGAACACATCACAGACACACCCTCCCGTAAACGGATTAACTATTAGCCTTGATATAAGTAAATATCACCGTTAATTCCACATGATTCTTCGATATCGCCCTCGGAGAAGACAACATTCGTCAACCCTCGATACGGAATCCTGCTGGGACCGCGCGTTTTTCGTGAGCACTATCAAAGCAACTTAGAGGGAAAGGGAAGATGTTATGCCATTGCCACGTGGTGTTTAACGTACAATTCAGTTAGTGTATGTACGGTCAAAGACAACGGCGCCATGATTTAATGTCTGTTAACCTTCTTCATCAACTGATACTCGTGGCGCTACAGTACTATTACCTTGGTAAATGGATCGGTTTCCCTCATACTCAGCTCACTTGGGAGTATACAAATCAAGCTGCATGTGAGGCGCTAGAAATGTAACAGATTACCATCTCATCCTACCGGGTACCCATTCACAGCTGAGTGAACAGAGTCATGTTACGAACACAGTCATGTGCCTAAGGTGACACCACATGTGCTTAGGGGGCACGAGTGGCCCAGTCGTCTAAGGCGCCGCGATTAGCTGTGCAGAGTTGCGTCCCTTGCGCACGCCAGAAACCTATGGTTGTGGGTTCGAATCCCGGTTCACCCCGATTATGTTTCTTGGTTTGTCAGCACCATACCCGTGCACGTGCTCGTGGGTTTCACCGAAGTTGTAAACGTCTGAGACTTGCACCACTTCGGGCTTTCCTCCCACATTAAGCTGACACGACGTGATATAACTGGAATACTGTTAAAAGCGGCGTTAAACCCAACTCACTCACTACCACAAGCGCTTCATGTGCATCAATGTGGAGCAGCTAGGGTAGCGGCACTAGAAAGTCCCAGGAGCCAAGCTGCTGAACACGATAACACATCCAGCTACTCTCCACGATCAACTTCGTCTGATCTGTGACCTGTACCATGATTATATTGTTGAGTAGTTACAACCAGATCAAAACACATTGTTACCTATACATGAATTCCCTGCTTCATGAGATACAACCACAGTTGAACAGAACGATCAGAGTAAAGTGCCCCACCTACCCACATGTTCTATAATGACACTGACTGCCAGCAAAACAGTGAGTGAGTGAGTATGGTTTTACGCCGTTTTTAGAAACATTCCAGCAATATCATGGCGCGGGACCCCAGAAACTTACGGTTCACAGTCATTTGCTTTTTCGTGGTCTGCAAATTTAGATTTTCACTCGAAGACAGATGCATTGTGGTGTCGTCGTATTCGATTGCCGCCATTGCTTGAGACATATTCGGTCCAATTTAGGGTAGCAAGAAATCTGAAGGCATTTGTTCTGCTAGGACACAGATATATGTTCCGAGTATGATCACGTACGTGAAGATGAGTTTGCATTTTCGTTTCCTGTCTTGTGTGGGGCAGTGGTGTAGCCTAACTGTTAAAGCGTTCGATCGTCACGCCGAAGGCCCGGGTTTGAATTCCCACATGCGAACAATGTGTGAAGGCCATTCCTAGTGTCCCCCGCCGTGATATTGCTGGAATATTGCAGCGTAAAATTATACTCACTCACACACTCCCTCGCTCGCCCCTGTCTTAATTTTCAGACATGGTTCTGTTTGTGTTCTAATTATAATCATCCCTTTCATTTCATCATCTTAGGGTGTGTTACTTGAGGCTGCATGGGTCACAGGGTGAGTTGGGTGTACATTGAGTGTAATGCATTGTGATTTTACCATCTATACTCGAATAGTCAAGTATAAATGCAAATAGGAAACACATCAATAGCATGTGTTTATCTATTTTTGTTTAATAAAAATTAGATGATAGGTGCAAAGCTTATATTTGACAATGCATCGTTTAATTTCGGTAATAGGCCCTTGGTAGTTTGACATCTAATGGTAATTTACCATTATAATAATTATACAGTTGTGCAATTACGGAGATTCGTTTTTTTACTGTTTACGGTATTTCTTTTTCAGGTAAAAAGCACACCTGTCGGTAATTTACCCTACAAATTTACGGCAAAGTTTTACAATGCACATAAAAAGCACAAATCTTTATGAACGTCTTGAGCTTCCATCAACAGCATACATGTTCTCTGGAGCCTTTCTCCTGTAGATGACGACGGCAGCGACCACCATCACCACGAAGATGACACACCCACCGACTGAGGCTGCGATCACAATTTCCTTATGGGACAGTAACCCTGTAGTTTCTGGGGCAACCCACTGTTAAGTACAAACAGTATAAAGTTACGATATTGTTTCAGGCTACTCGAGTACATGTATAATCCTTTTGGAGAATGATTTGATAAATTGGTACACAAAAAATGGCTTTTTCTGTGCGTGTTGTTGATTTTGTCCTCATCAATGGCTTATTATATATATATATATACATTGTTGATTTTGTCCTTATCAATGGCTTATATATATATAATAAGCCATTGGTGAGGACAAAATCAACAACATATCTATATATACGATGTTTTACTTATGTGCGCAAAGTAAATCTGTCTTGCCTGCTTCTTTATTTATGCTATGCTAGAGACAATAGAGCTTCCACGTAGAAATCAGGTGGTTCTTTCCAGAGAAAACAAGCATAGTAAAATATGTTCTATATTGTAACAATAATCGCTATGACAGTAAGTGCACACACGTTTAAGGTGTCTAATGTACCTTAATTGATTTTGCTGTTGTTGATGTTGTAATCGCAGTTGATGGTGTTGTTTCACATCTGTGTAAGGATCCGTTCCATCCTGGGAGGAGATCAAATACACACAGTCCGGTGTTGCTGGCCAGGTCGACCACAGTGATGTAGGACACTGGATGGCAACAGTCGCCCCTACAGAGACATTACCACACTTGGGGAGAACAAGGCCATGCGTCCATTATATCAACATTACATGTATAGGCAAACGATAGCATGATATATGTTCCCTATTCCAGCCATGATGGACAACAACTGATGAATAAAATACAAATCTGAGAACAGAAATGTCTTCGCCATGTCGCGTTTGTTAACACAATAGGGAATTAAATCATTTTGATTGTCAAACCACAACTAATTATTTTTACTTCATTTTTCTGAAGACTATTATTGGAGATCAATGTTACTTTTATAGTCGCTTCGATCACCAACATTATGGTCATGAATCAGATAATGAAACTCGATAACTAAAGAGCATACTTATTGCATACCGAACAGAAGCATGTATTGAACCGTTGTTCCTGGTTTGGCCTACGAGGAAAGGGTCGTAAACCAAGAATGTTTTCTCAGATGCAGATAACAGATATAGGCCAAATCCTTCATCCCATATCTCAGCTGTTCCTGTCCAGGTGTATTGGCGACATACACAAGGGTCAAGCGTTGTGACGTTACACTGTCCACTCACCGAGGTGACGTGACATACTGGATGGACGTTATCCACTGGCTAAATAGATAAACATAGATGTAAATCTGAGAATATGACTGAATAATTGTTAATGTGACAGCGGCTACTTTTTTTAAGGATAAGTAGCAGAATGAAGTGCACTTTTTGACATCATTGCGACTGCATTACATACTTTTTAATATCTAAAACTACCTATTTTGTTCACAAATTAGAAATAATGAAATGATCTGACAGACAGAAACATTGAAGTACATGAACATAGGTTATATATTACCCGGGTTACATGTCTCTCGGTCGAGATATGTTTCACTTCATACTGAAAATTATCTCCCCTGCCGGATGTAGATTTAGCGGAGATGGTGACGGTACTGGAATGAAAATGTCTCATGTACCACATATGTTATAAACAGCTCTTGTCACCGTAAAACTCTACTTTAAGAGTTACTCACCGAAAAGTGCTCTACTCTGAACAACGTACCTTGTCACGCCCTCAGTCGCCCCTGCCACCAGCCGGAGGTCCCCTGAGACATTCTGGTTCGGGGACATGACATAGTTGAGGGCATGCGGTGCTTGGGCAAACCCCTGGTCGTCCTCCACAGACACAGTGATGTTGGTCGTCACATCGCCCTTATTGGTCACCACGAATACCAAGGTCAACTCTTCCCTTACATAAAGGCTTCCTGACACAACAATTGAATGACATGCATTATTTTACACAAATGTTGCTTGAAACAACAGTTGAATTAAATGCATGGATTTGCATTTAAAATTAGCAACTGTATCGATTTGACATTGATCTCGTGCATTCATATAAGACGCCGATTTTGTGTCAACTTTTTAACAAATGTAAAGGAATACTATCATTACTTATGCATACAACTGTGTGCATAGTATTGAACAAGGCATATTTAGCTGAGATATCTGATTAATCCTTGACCCACCAAGCACACCAAGCACAGCTCTCTAGTGGTTAATTGGGCAGGGTGTTTCCAGAGAAGGTGCACTGTCACCATCCTGATGATCTTCATTTGACAACTGATACTTAGAGGGTACATTATCCTCAATATTGAACATGTATCTGGTATATCGACTAGATCCAGTATAATCCCAATGCAATATAAAGAAGGTTCAACTTACCATTTAGTGGAAGTACGTGTAACTGAATAGCCACCGGGATAATACTCCGAGCCTGTAGTCTGGTGTACCGGTTCCCCAACACATCATTGCCAGAGACAGATACCCGGAATCCCTGCAACGCCACCCGTCTCCAGCATATATTATTACACGGCTGCACAGGCATAGCGTAATATCTCTTTGGTAATTATACTTGTATCCTGAGATGTACATGTATATTGACTATATTGCAGGCTGTCAGTATATGCCTGAATTATTACACACTCACTGATCATGAAACAATAACGTCCCAATAATATCACGTTTCTTAGAATTGATAAATGTTTCGATGAGCTGTGAGTTTAAATATATCTTACTTACTTAGATTTAATAAATGTGCGCAGGAGTGGTAACTTCGGTTACACTGAACATGAAAATGTGAAGTATTCTGGCTACTTTTTAGATTTTAGTTCTTTACAGTCAATAATATTCCAGTAACACAACAGCAGTCTGTTTACACTTGACTCAAGTAAAACTTCAGGAATAACGCCCCTCGCCGTTCGGTGACAAGCCGTGAACCAGCGAGGTTTTACGACGAACATGAAATATTTGGAACATATTTAATCCGGAATCATAACAGGTTTATAACCCCTGATGCCCGCGTTTAATGTGACCTCTTTTTCGTGATCATGTACGGTGTAGTATAATGTGATCCCTCAGTTATACGTAAGCATGTACTGTATAGCATAATGTAATCCCTCAGTTATACGTGAGCATGTACGGTATAGCATAATGTGATCCCTCAGTTATACGTGAGCATGTACGGTATAGCATAATGTGATCCCTCAGTTATACGTGAGCATGTACGGTATAGTATAATGTGATCCCTCAGTTATACGTGAGCATGTACAGTATAGCATAATGTAATCCCTCAGTTATACGTGATCATGTACGGTATAGCATAATGTGATCCCTCAGTTATACGTGAGCATGTACGGTATAAAGTATAATGTGATCCCTCAGTTATACGTAAGCATGTACTGTATAGCATAATGTAATCCCTCAGTTATACGTGAGCATGTACGGTATAGCATAATGTGATCCCTCAGTTATACGTGAGCATGTACGGTATAGCATAATGTGATCCCTCAGTTATACGTGAGCATGTACGGTATAGCATAATGTGATCCCTCAGTTATACGTGATCATGTACGGTATAGTATAATGTGATCCCTCAGTTATACGTGAGCATGTACGGTATAGTATAATGTGATACCTCAGTTATACGTGATCATGTACGGTATAGCATAATGTGATCACTCAGTTATACGTGAGCATGTACGGTTTAGTATAATGTGATCTCTCAGTTATACGTGATCATGTACGGTTTAGTATAATGTGATCTCTCAGTTATACGTGAGCATGTACGGTTTAGTATAATGTGATCTCTCAGTTATACGTGAGCAGGTACAGTTTAGTATAATGTGATCCCTCCGGTAAGTGTGAGCAGGTACGGTATAGCATAATGTGATCTCTCAGTTATACGTGAGCAGGTAAGGTTTAGTATAATGTGATCTCTCAGTTATACGTAAGCAGGTACAGTTTAGTATATTGTGATCCCTCCGGTAAGTGTGAGCATGTACGTATACAATAAGTTGATCTTTCTGGTATACGTACGTATGTACGGTATAACATCATATGATCCCTCCGGCATACGAGAGCACGTTCGGTATAATATAATCTGATCCCTCTTGTATGCGTGTACGGTACACGTTAATGTAATTCTTTCGGTATATGTGAGCATGTACTGTTCACGAGAATGTGACCCCCCACCCCCAGTATAAGTGAGCATGTACGGTATAACGTAATGTGGTCCCTCCGGTATACGCGAACTTGTACGGTAAAATATACTGCGATGCCGAATCTGTAGGGTGTACGTTAGTGTCATCTATCCGGTATACGTTAACCTGCACGATATGATAGGATGTGATCCCTCCGATACAGGTGAGCAGGTGCGGTCTAATATAACGTGCTGCCTCCGGTATATGGCATCATGTACGGTATAATATAACGTGCTGCCTCCGGTATATGGCATCATGTACGGTATAATATAACGTGCTGCCTCCGATATATGGCATCATGTACGGTATAAGAGAACGTGGCTGCTGACACTCACCTGATCGGGCAGGGGGAACTGCAGTCTGTATTCGGCAATGCCATCTCGTCCTGGTATTCGTCTTAGAGAATCGTACTGTGCTGACTCTGAACCATCTGAGTCCAGCAGATGAATAGTATCGAGTGTTGCGATAAGATCGGCAGAAGAAACGCTTAAGACAAGAGTAGTATTTTTGCCTGTCGAACATTCAAACATGAATGTTATCATCAACCAGTCTTGATACATATATTGTAGATGGCACGCTACACATTGTCCTCCATTGTGGACAGTTTATGGTTGTTGTCATGGATATGGTACATCGTTATTTAATACGTTGTAGGATGTAGAGGGTGTACCACTTCACGGGAATCATAGCTGGGACATTTGATGGTTCTAGCAAGCTTGACTCATATCCTTCTGACTGAAGTGTGAGGGTGTAAAAACACCAAGCAGTTGATATTAACTATAATGAAGCAGAGAGTATATCTAACTAACATGCATGTCGCACCGTGAACCTACACAGCATGCAACTTGATATAGCATTGAAATAATATATAACATACATTATTCATAATGTACCTGCAATAGGCCGTCCTCTGATCTCATACTCAAAGCCAGTGCTATGGTCCAGCTTCACAAAGGTTGTAGATATATCCAGGGTACTCTGACCAGTCACCTCCACCTCCCAGGAGTTGGAATCCTGGCGGACCACTCTCCACCCACCGGCTTGGGGGAACTTGACGGAGATGTCACAAACAGTTTCATACGAGCTATATGTTTAATCTTTATGTATTTATCAACGATGCCCTTATGAATGTAAATTGATATTTGTAACAGTGTGTTACTCAGTCGGTAAGACACGTTAACTCAAGCAATGATTCATGACCCGCAGCTTACGACAAGTGGGAGGGTAATAAACAGATTATCACGGGGAATATGCATACATTTGCATTAAGGCTATTCATGAATCATTTTACCGTCATACAGGTGCTTCAGACAGCAACAATTATTTTCAGATCTAATCACAAATTACGATTAACAAATTGATGTTAAAATCACCCATATTAAAAAAATATATCCTTTAGCTTACAAATTTACACTTACGTCGATCTTAATCATTTTAATACTTGAACTCAGATTTTCCACTGTGTAGTTGTGTTGATGTGTTGTTTGAATTGTACCTATTTCAGAAAAAAGAAGTTCATTTATTTTAGATGAACGTTGCTTGATTTCCTTACAGTATTCGATATATGCTGCCTCATAACGTCTGTTACAACACGTGCAGCATATGCGTGTGGGTGGATGGGGGAGGGGGCGTTATTTTGCCGCAAGGTGACGTTGCGTCTCGGCATTTGCAAAAAGGGTAGAACATGATCTCAATCGATATTGATCCGGAAGAGTAAGCCATTCAAATGCCGCTAACAATGATGAGTTGTGTTCCACCCGACACGATTACACTCCCTCCCACAAACTGACGACAAAAACGTTCTCCTGGACCCTGCTTACATTGCACGACCATAAGAGCTGTCCAGATGAAACCTGGACTCATTTGTGACGAGTGTACTGTCCCGGTGGACGACCAGCTCGAGGCAACTCATGAGTGTTGCCCTGTTGTACATAACGTGAACATAAGAGATGATATCGTGTTTCGGTGAAAATAATATGTCTGGCAAATTCGTTTTGCGTCTTTCCTGTTTGCAGCATACCCATGGTGAGTAGACGTTGTTTTACAGCAAGGCGTGGCATTATGTTCAGTTAGTTAGCTATTTACGATTACAACGGTGTTTTAATTAACACCAGATAGCTGAACATCTACACTTCATAATAAAAAAATACAAGTCTAAATAATGTCTTAAATGTGTACCTTGCGGGTTATATATTGTTTCTCTGGCTTCACCGCTCGATATGATCATGATAGTGAGGCGTTCCACGGTGCTATCGACTGGTACGCTGATGTTCAGTGTTTCTGAAGAGGGGACTGTTTTCTTGAGAATGGTTACCGAAGAAGCTTTTGCCGATTCCTGATTTAACAGAACTGTGAGAATGAAGAGCTGCTCAGGAAGAACAACAGTCTACGATATTATTGTTACTGCAGGCATACATCTAGACGTTTCTCAACATTTTGTAGGCAGGCCAAATTTTATCTGAATCTTACACTTCTGAGTAATCGCCATCAATAAATGTATGGTTCCTTTAACCTCTGATTATTTTACGTCGAACAGATCATGAAGACAATGGGTAATAGTATGTTTGGTATGAATGTCCTTATTTAATGTGTGTAATTGTACCCCGACGTGAATCGCCGTTCATGTTATCAGACGTCAGTTTGTTTTACAAAGACGCAATTATTTGTATTACAGGCGACCTAATAATAATATCTCACTATATACAACATTCGTAAACTCACGCGTATGACCGCGGCCACTCTGTGTATAGCTGTCTTGTCTGTGACGTACACAGTCCCTCCCGTGGCCTCAGCTAGAGACCGGTACAGATCCTCGCCACTTGCAGAACGTCGAATTCGTAGAGTTTCCTTGACACCTAGGGAATTCAAAATGTTAACAGTAAACCAGTTAATAGATTCAAGTGAATCATTGCTGCCCAATGAAGTTTTATGTGCTCCTATTAAGTTTTGGTCATCCTTTTAAGTAAGGATGCCATCCTATATCTGTTCATAAAAATCAACTACATTGATGTCGTAAGCCTTTATTGTTACCCGCGAGCCTGCAGTATGACATAAAGGATCATAAACGGAACGAATTCGTGATACGAAACATAGACTCTGGCAGCTTCATACTTTATTCTGGGAAGTACATGTACTGATTCAGAAATGTCTGTTTATTCTCAGTCTAACAGGAGGAACCAAACTTGTTAAGTTAATGCCTGTCTCACTTCCGAAAGCCTAATGGTGCCACTTTGGTAACATCTGTATTTCTTTACCTCGAAATTTCTCGTTATTTTAATGATTTGTTTAGTTTCTAAAAATTTCGAGTTTGTTATATTAAGTTTATTTCAAAAACTCGAAATTTCGTAAAACTATATTTTCTCGTTGCTTCAACTATTTACTCGTTATTTAAATTACGTTTTTGTTGCTTAAAGTTTTTTTCTCATCACTTCGATTAGTTTTTCGTAATTTTAATTAGATTCTCGTTATTTCAAGTTTACTTTAAAAAAAATCGAAAATTCGAGGTTTTTTTCTCCTACGAGACTTCGATAATAGAAACTTTGATAAAATAATTGAAATAACGAGAAACAAATTCCAAATTTCGAGATTTTGAAATTAACTGGAAATAACGAGATTATATTTGATGTAACGACAAAAACACGTTATTTTGAGAAACAAATTGAAATGACGAGAGAATACGAAATTTATGTTTCCAAAGTTGCATCATAAGGCTTTCGTGCAAACGTACATTTGATTCTGTAAACAGGCGAAACTATTCTCTTTTACTGGAACCCTGTTTTATGGGAGATATCTTATAATTCAATAAAGCTTTCAAACTGTTTAGTGGCAGACACGTGGAGGACATTTACAAATTTGACGTGTCAATGACCAAAGGTTGTGTCTGAGGCTCGCCTTTCCATAGATTTGTAGCAGGTGCGGGCTGAGCTCGTTTTTTCGCGAACACCTGGTGTCGTCACTATTTTGATGGTCGCTTTTATTTATTATGAGAGATTATTCCGCTTCTATCTATATTTACGTTTAACTAACACACTCATTTGAGTGAGTGAGTGAGTGAGTGTGGTTTTACGCCGCTTTTAGCAATATTCCAGCAATATCACGGCGGGGGACACCAGAAATGGGCTTCACACATTGTACCCATGTCGGGAATCGAACCCGGGTCTTCGGCGTGACGAGCCAACGCTTTAACCACTAGGCTACCCGACCGCCCCCACACTCATTTGATCTGATACATGTTGGATAAATGTTGTTTATGCAAGTCATTCAAACGTTACCTTGATTACCTTCCGTTTCCCTGCGCCGCCTTGAACAATCACTGGTGAGAAGAAAGTCTATCTTCACCTTCTTCTGGTCCAACAGCGTCAGGATGCGATCTACTCTGTTGAAGTCTTTAGCTGAGGCATCAGTGAACACGTACATTTGGGAGTCCGGGTTACAGACTGACAACGCTGAAAAACAAACGATACTGCTTGTCATGTTTCCAGTTAAAGAAAACCATGACCGACAAAGCAGGGGCGATCTAGTGTATGATTTCATCTGCAAATATTCTCTGATAATGGCTCTTGTTTAAATAGGTTGAATAGCAAAGTTCTATCGATCCTTTTAGTCATTGTGACGGCACAAACCTGATGTCATACCACACGGATTGTCAAAGACACACACAGGTGTCGGAATTCTTGCCATTCATAATCAACGTTTACGGTACGTTGACCTATTCAGTACATTCAACCAGCACGTCTTAGAAACCCCAACATAATTAACCACTTTTGTCATGATGTATGTTTACTTTAACTAGATTCAGAAAAAAATAGTTACTATGAGTAATCCTATACCTGAATTGTCAAATGACGGATCAGGTGAGCTTCATTCATTATGGAAGACAGAGGTATCTCAGTGATCTTGCATTATAAAATCGGCTTTAGTCCAAAATTGGACCAGCAGCAATACACACCCACACACGTGAATGCACGTCGCTATTGAAGTGCAATAATCTTTAAAGCGACGTTGAACCCCATTTCCTCTCACCTCACTGAATAATCGTGGATAAATCAGTCTTGTCGACTTACCTTTTTCAATACCGTCCAGGATATACTCAGGGCAGTCTCCCCCGCCATGTACCCTGATGCTTTGGATATATATCAGGGTCTCCGTGCTGTTTCCTGACTGGAAAACCGTTGTCATGTTGACTGGAGAGTATAATGATAGCATGTACACCTTTTGTTCAAGTTGTAAATACGATTTGGTATGTCATGTGTTTAAGTAGATATGCTACAGATACTAAACCAGAAACCTTTCAAGGAAGAGAATTTATGGATGTCAACTTATTTATTATGAGGAACACAAATAAGTTAAACCTTTATACTTACTGAAGAAGGAGTAAATATATACTCCGAATGCGTTCCTCATAACAACGAAGTCATATATTATCTTCACGTCTATCACTTCTTGTGCCATTCAAAGACCATATATGTTCTAAATTAAAATTATGAGCCTGAACATTTTTTCAAACCATATTGCAACTATGTACTTTTTTTAGGTGGACATTCCATCATTCTGAAGCATCATTATTTCCTAACAGAAAGGGTATAGTCATGCATTTTAATGGATGAGTACTAGTATTTAAAAACAATGATAATCTCAACTCAAGTTGCAGATTCAGGACGGGTACAGGGACACATTGTCGCATTCAGTATTATGTTAAATCTTGTATATTGCTAAACAAAGAGTTCCCATACACACCGGGGTCATTGAAGAGTGACACAATGTAATTGGCGGGTTCATCTGTCGTCCCCACAGCTGTCTGTATGATGTCCCGGACCTGCGCCTTGACCGCTGCTATGTCGTTACTCATAGAACCAGTTGTGTCGATCGTGAAGATCATCGAGTTACCGGACTTGAGTTGGAGGAATTGTTCATATTTCTCTTTACCAATAACAGCACGGAGGCCATAGTCTTAAATAAAAGAGCATTATTCAAGTTGTCTATTACAATAAAAAATGGGGAAACATGATCGAGATTAGGACAGAGATGAATTTTTTTATTCGACCTGACAGGTTCCAGCATCTGTGCCAAAACGTCGTATTGTGAAAAAAAGTTGAAATCCATATGTAAGCTCTGTCTTCATTGTTGCCAACTATAATGCCACGTAGACATTCTGAAACATGAGTTTACAAGATTATATACATTATGTCTTTAACGTAGGCGAGGGCATATAGAGTTCAACGTCAATGTGAACATTATTTCAGTAAAGGCCATAAATGAATACGTTTCAGTTTAAGGAGGGGGGATATCATCTAGGGATGTGGGCTGTTGATGTTTACACCTTAGGTAAGTCCTGACAAGGGACCCGTTAAAATGCGGGATAGAATAGGACTTCAGCAACCCATGCTTACCGTAAAAGGCGACTATGCTTGTCGTAAAAGGCGACTAACGGGATCGGGTGGTCAGGCTCGCTGACTTGGTTGATGCATGTCATAGATCCCAATTGCGTAGATCGATGCTCTTGATATAAATCACTGGATTGTCTGATCCAGACTCGATTATTTACAGACCGCCATCAAATAGCTTGAATATTGCTGAGTGTACATGTGGCGTTAAGCAACAAGGAAACAACTCCTGACAAGGTTCAGGGATTCACTTCTCCTCGTTACCCTTCTGAATGGATTGAAGGAAAGTACCAATAAAAGAAATATCATGTTGATTTGATAAGAACACATTTTGAAACTTGTAAATAGGAACTCAGGTATGCAACACATGTGTTTTGAAATTAGGTTACCCGTACAATAAATGCGTGGAGTCACCACAATCTTTCGTGAAACAAAATCAACATTGAATTAATTTGTAACTTCGCGCGGCTTGTACATGTCGCTAAGGCAGGCTGTCGTGACTTTAAACTGGAAGACGCCATATATGTAAATCATATATACACTGAGGAGGTACGTATACGTATACCTTGGTCTAGGAAGAAGTAGGCAGTATGGTTGATAGCAGCCTGAGCTGCCATTTCGTGGAGGCTGTGGTGCGGAGACAGAGACGCGAGAATCGAGTCCTTGTTGATGCCACCCAGGGCTGCCGAGTCATTGCCTGAAGCATCGCGTCGACCACCATGGCTGCACTTCCCTAGCTGGGTCGTACTCGGATCTCCTAGTTATTCAAAAGTCAGGAATGGGTGAGTTGGGTTAAATGATTTTCAGTTATATATCACCTCTTAATGTGTGTAGGAAGCTCAAAGAATTCCATGTTGTTTACATGTACATTTTCTTTCAATTAACAAACACGGGTTTTTTGCTGTCATACCAAGTCTCATTATCGGACGAATCGGTGATTCGAACCTAGAATCAGCCGCTCCTGGCAAGGCAGAGGAGTGCCAGAATGTATAGCGAAATACGGTGCTCAATTAATCAGCATTTGTCCCTGGTCATGTGAGTGGCGAAGGTAATGCAGCATATGATTAAAAGTTAAAACGAAATATTATTTTCACATATAATGCAATGAATTAACGTGAAACATATTCCGGTTGATAATAACATGTAATGCCTACTGTATGGTTTTTTAATGTCCTGGCCGCTCCGATATCCGCTTGTGAGAATGGAATGGCCGACGATGAGTGTGTTGTCACACGATGTCATCTGATTCCTTAACAATGAATGGGTAACCGATTGTTAGGCATTACAGCATGTTTGGAGCACAGAGGAGAAACATAAGGTATATGTCGTCAACTAATTTACATCAGGCGATATTGTGCGTTGTTTAAACCTTTTTACATGTTTAACTATTTCAAAATTTAAAGTAATCCATCGGAGATCTTTATTAATATCACTACAAACTTTACCATGCTAACAAAATAGGTAAGAACCATTCGAACGTTAATCAGAAGCAAATTTGTTTGTTACATAAAACAAAAAATGTAACCCTTCTGTTCTTTTGACAGCATAAACTATCTCGGATAGGGGACTTTATGGAAATGAGAGTCAGATATGCTGTCAAGCAATATGATGGTAATTGATTTTTCTTACCTTGCAAACATGTGAAACATTTGACGACATATATGTCTGTATCACACTACTGTGAACTTATTCTGTCCGATCGCATAATCCGACGTTCATGCAGTTTGGCCCTCTCTCTAAATGTTCATATATACTCCATTGAAGTTATGGAGAGTGAATGCCAATACTTATAAATTTAGACATCACTATTTTATATTACCAAGGTTGTATACCCAGTGCTTGTGACGTCATATTTACACTGACAGTATTTCATCAACCAGCTGTATCGCGGAATAAAAAAGGGAGAGGTTATATGAGCGTTTGTTGCGAATCCTCTAATTGCTCAACTCAAACATCTTTTGTAGTTTCAAATAACATCACCATTAGATGAGAAAGTCAGTAAATCAGTAAATCAGTAAATCAGACACAGTGACAGCTCGTAATACATTTACATCAGGTACTGAACGGTCAACAAGATCAACGTGACGGGAGGGATTTCCCAAGTTATGGAAGAACCTAGGGCGATCATCATTGATCAATTATCTGATCACTGAAGATGATTACAAAAACGTGGTAGATACATACTGGGGTAAATTCATAGATTGCTGCAGGCTTTTACTGTCAGTCCAGACACGAATCGTGTCTATAATTTTAATCTGCCTTTTTTCGTTTCATTCACTTTGATGGATCGTAGCGACGATATTTGTTAATGGGCATGCAGTCTCTATGATTTTCCCCTATGTAAGAAAAAAACGTTTTTGTATTTTTTAATGTATGGGAATTCCCCGGTTTATTACCAAGAATGTGGGAGTCGTCGTTCAGTGTTTAAATCATTTAAAAGATACAGTCCCTGGACAAACGTGTGAACGTCAAACTGTGTCGTTCAGACTCTAATGAACGTCAGTTTCGCGGTCATGTGACCGGTCTCTCGTCCAGTGGAAAAGCCGTATATTTCGTGTAAATTTTACATTAAAAAATATTAAAAATGTAGCGGGTACATCAATTTCCTCGTTAAATTTAACGTCGGCGGGAATGCTAGAATTATTGCATCTGCTTTAAATAACTTTGAAAACACGTATCTACACCTACCCACACGATCTGCAAGTTGCCATGGCTTGGGGAGCTTGTGCATACAGGGGTTTTCCTCGAATACCTTCGTTTGTAAAATAGAAGGAAGCGTGTTATTAAATTAGGACAAGCTATTATCACATTGAATCTCTGAATGTAACATGTCGTGAGTCAATAAAGATCATATGGATATTTATGTAGGAATGTATTGGTATGCAATGCCACAGATCACCTCAAGTCTTTGATGATGTTTACATGCAGTGCATCTGTATGATATTCCTACATTGTACGTCATTCCTGGTTGAGTATATTTTAGTCTTGAGTATAATGTAGTGTCAAACTTCTCTTGCACAATGTCTATATTTCAAAACGACATATGGCCAAATGACTTACCTTATACATATAGTATCGTATATTAAGTGTTCAAGTTATAACCATATGTGGATATTTGGAACATCGAACTGAATATCTAAACTACAGATCGTGTACATATGCATTCTTTTGTGTTCCTATCCAGCAATTTTTTCTTTACCATGGAAATCAGTGATAATTTACACACATGTATCGTGACAAAAATGTGCCACCGAGCTCTAGATGCTTGCGTTATGTCCGTGTAGAACTTATTTCGGAGTCCCAAGTATCCAAATAAAGCATACTTTCTTGCCAAAGTCTCAAACCCCGGATAACTCGAACTTTTTTCAGGTCCCCACGAGTTCGACACAACGAGGTTCAACTGTATTTACCGAGCTCGTAGTAGGGGTCTGCTCCGAACATCTCGACCCAATTGCTATTGCTGTAGAACATCTGCATCACGTGGAGAAACTGGCCAATCAGCTGTCTTGCTGAGTCAAAGTTGGCATTGTCCCTTTTCAACAACTGTATAGCATGATCTCGGAGGCCTGCCATTTTCTCGTGTGCTTTTCAGAAAGAACACGGACACGTATTAGTAATCAATTACAATCAGTGACAGATATCAGAACGATTGTGCTGTTCTTCGTTGGTAGCGAAGCGTAGGTACATATGGGACAGATTTTAAGGAAACATCCATAAATGCCTTCCTTATGTGTTTAGATTCTGGAATATGCACAGAACAATAGAAATATCCTTATTATTGCAGCTATTTGCAACAATCAAATTACCCCTCGATTAAAAGATGAAATACATTCAAAGAAGTTATACAAATAAAAATCTAGATCTACAACGCTATGCACATGTAATACCTTCCTTGATGGTTTCGCCACTACAGTGCCATACAGCTTCGTGAAGGTGATCCAAATAAACCAGATTGTTAGCTGTTACAATGTTGTTGATGGCAGCCTGTAAACGGCTCCCGGAGACCCCATCTTAAACAAACGAAATGACTGCAATGGAACCGCTTGAACTGTATCTACATGAAGTCAATATACTAATACAACTTGGTGGTCTGTATCTGTATCGACATGGTATTGCATCCGTTATTTACTTTGTTTCGAACAACTGATAACTCGATTAATCATATTACGGTTAGGTTTCTCTACAGGGTAAAGCCAACGGATGGCGGTATCCGTTGGGGTCATAAGTATGCAAGTAAAGACGTTCAGGTAGATACTACTTTCCGTGTTTAAAACCAAACATGGTGTCGCCTTATCTGTCGGCGGTCGTATTAGAATTGATCATCGGGGTTCTAGACAGACTACTGGGAAAATGTTATCATTATGAAAGCAATAGTGTGATATAAGATACCGAAAATCCACATTTGAATAGCCAATAGACACGGGAACGTCAACAAATAATTTGAGTAATTATGCTTATAGAACCACGAGCGACACATCGGCGGAGTACCCATGATTTCAGTCCACACTCATTCTACTGAACCATTTGTGATGAAAGTGAACACACTCAAGGCCAAGACTTAGCCACTATGTCGTCGGCAGCGTTTTCCACAGTCGTCAGAGGATGTTTCTTCCACTCCATCCTTTGTATATGTCGACATGCACAGACGGAAGGGCTGGCTAACAGCACAAGGAGGACCCTGAGGAAGGTAGTGATGAGGCGCGCTGCTAGCTATAGGCTGCCTTCTGTTCCACGCGACAAGGGAAGATGTGTGGCATTCTGAGAATAGGACTGTCACCCTACACCGAACTTTTCTCCGAATTACGTCACTTTGACTAAACCAACTGAACATTGATACGAATATGTCGACTTATATAAATATCCACGGTAAATGTCTATACTTTATACTTAGTTATCTAGGGTAAAGAAAGAGATGACTTTTAACAATTGAAGGCAGCATTGAGACATAAACGAAACAATTTACCGACGACGGTGGTATATCAGTTTTCACACCTGTGTCTGCAGATATCTGCGGCTTGGTTTCATTTTGTCGCTGGGGCATCTGACGTAATTTGGTATTACAATGACGATGCAAACTTGTGATAATATGAAAAAGCAAAGCATTTATCAACTGTTAAACACTTAACACTGTTAATTCCTAGTCCATCATTGAAAACATAGTCCTCCATTACAAACACAGCATAATTTATTCTCAACACGTACCTCCGTAGTAACGTTGAAACAGTTTCAAAGCGGTTATGCCCTCAATTCCTCTCAACTCTCCCGCTTGGATAAGACTTCCGTCTCTGGGATTATCCTCGAAGTACCCAGCAACGGCTTGTAATATACCAATCTCTGTGATGTCCTTGTGAGTTAACGTTCCATTCCCTAGCTTAGTTGATGTGAGCCTATTTGGAAAAAAGGCGTCAATATTCACAAGTACCGCAAGAAGTAGCAGTAAGGGACTTATCGCCATGTCGAACCTATAACTTCAGAAGTCTTCTCCCGACAGTTCGCAGCTCTCTTCTAAATCGGTTCCGCTGATGGGCGTTGTTCGTTTTAAGAAAGTAATGATTATTTATGTTGAAACACATCGCGGGAATAAACAAAGTGTGCTGATCCGTGTTTGGAAATATGATCTTTATATTATGCGTTCGAACAGGTGCTCGAGGGGTCATATTGCAAGGTAATTATTGCGTTACAGACTAAGACATGCACTACATGACGATGACGCGACTGAGTATCAGATGACTACCGGGTAGTTGCAATAATTCGATAAGCGTGAAACGATGCATGTTCCACTCAACGTAACTGTCCATTCTCAGGCAATATATCAGTGTTATTCGCATGCATGTTTCGTTGATACTGAAAATGTTTACTTGGTACCTCGTGAAGTAAAGACGTCTGTTGTTGAAATGGTTCACTGCTCAGTGACCAGCCGGATTACTACTGCGGCGTAACACGATAATGCACTTTCGATCTTGAGCCTGTCCATCAGCTGTAGGATGATTTAAAAGTATTGATCATACTATATTCTACTTACCTTGATAAAAACAGAGAATATCTAATTATAATAATACTTCATCGATCACTCGGTGCAATGAATATATATTAAAGGGAAAAACCCTTGTGGGATTCAGAGGCAGAGCGAGTCACAAGTATCAAAAGAGCCGACTAAAATAAGGATTAGGTTTCAATATGTACCAGGATTGTATGCCGTGACACGCAGGATCAGGAAAACTGTCCCCGGAAAACTGAACCCTGGAAAACACTCGCACCTCCGATCCCACACACCCACTGCAGTTACTGCAGAATCATCGTGCACACTGGCAGTGGCTCGTTGCTACACTGTGTCTGTTTGTCAAAACACGATGACATACGATATTGAGGAGGGTGGTTTCAAACAACAACAAACAGTCACTCACTCAAAGGGGATTGATTTGTTTTTCTGTTCAGTTCTCAATAATAATGTTATTACCGCGAAGATGATAACTAAATGACCCATAAACATATAGTGGTATCACTTCAAACACACTACTGAAAGTAAGTTCTTTACACATTTGATATAAATATATGATTTTGTTTGTGAGCAATATTGTCCCACATAGCCAGGGGTAATTGGATGCGCACTGAATGGTGTTGTTACTAGGCTACTCGATCGCTTGCCGATTTTTAGTGCTTGCCCATTGAGATACCAGGCCGCAGTTTAACAAGAATACCCATCAGTTTCCACTTTATTTGATTAGTGTGGGTATTGATGTTAAAGTATCAAGTTACCTTGACTGAAAATATGTTGTCTTTAATGTCCCCGCGTCACTGTTAATATGCCTTAATGTGTACCTCCGATTCCATGCTATAATAATTGGCCAATTTGGTGTATTGACTTCAATGGGTTCAAATGCGTGTCCACGTACTATAAGTGATCATAACTAAAGTCAAAATACATATCAAGGGCTCTCAATACAAAGTGAGATGAGGTGAAATGGGGTTTAACGTCGCGTCCAAGGTTATTGCATTTATATAACGACGAATGTGTGTGTGTGTGTGTGTGTGTGTGTGTGTGTGTGTGTGTGTGTGTGTGTGTGTGTGTGTGTGTGTGTGTGTGTGTGTGTGTGTGTGTGTGTGTGTGTGTGTGTGTGTGACCGATGCCGATTTTTAGTGCTTGCCCATTGAGATACCAGGCCGCAGTTAAACAAGAATACCCATCTCGGACACAGTATACTGACTCAGAGACGACCAGTGCTTGTATTAGCCCCTAAATGCCAAGCGCCAGACAGGGTAACAACAAGTGACTTCTTATAACGTGTTTTGGTAAGACGCGGCCGGGGATAGAACCCCGACCATTTCTACCACTAGACCACGGAGGCGGTCCTTCGTAGTACAAAGTAAAGGGTGGCATAAATATAATGTTCCTTCCCAAGCTTTAATATCCTCCTTAACTGACACTACTCCTTAACATGGTGCCGGGCTGTATGAGTGGGACATGTTTAATTTGTTTTAAATTTGATTTTAACAAGTTAGGGATCCGTCATAAGCTGAATTAAACACTTGGACACATTATATGTTCAGAATAAGAGTTTAAGAATATAATACAGGCATGTGGTTCTTAAACATATGACGACAATAGCATGACCACTGTTTGGTGGTGACACGTGGTCCCGTGTACAACACACATTCCACAAAGCAGCCGAAGTTAAGCAACGTTGTAGATGGATTCGTGGCCGTGTTCTGTAAGCTTGACTCTAGGGTTCGACCCTGCCACCTACCTAAACACATATTAATAATCTTGGGATATACACTCCCCAGGGACCTGAAAATGAAGTTCGAGTGCACATGATCTTGACCATTGATCCATGAGTAATGTACCGACTTGGGCATGGATGTAGATAAGTGTAGATATGACACATAGTATTATTATTTACAGGTTAAAATAAAAAATGCAGCAATGTGGGTTTGGGTGATCCTGGCACAGTCAGGCTGGTTAGGCTCATCATCAGCTCAGGGCCCTTGTCCCCTCTACACGCAGCCAAGACAGTGAATGGGACTTCTCCCAGAAAGAGCTGCCTAGTCAAACCCACCCAAAACTTTTCGAAGAATGTGAATACTCCCCAACACTACAGCCTTCTGCATTACCCAGATTGTCAGAAAGGCTGCATTCCTGGTAGCAAACCCGGCTACTCTCCCAATGTCAGTCAACAGATTGGGAGGTACCAAACCTAAAGCACCGCGAACAACGGGGAGTCGGACGACATGGTACTTGGGATGCAAGCGTGATATTTCGAAAGGTCTGTATATTTGCCATGTTTTTTCCTGAATCTTGTTAATCACACTAGTGTCACAAAGGACAGAAAAGTCAATGTTGTTAATGATTTCATTGGATGTATCAAAAAAGACAACGTCTGGATATGTCTAAGGCTGTATACGGACCTATTCCAAAGTATTTTCTATAAATCATTTTCCATTGCGCCCTCGACATATTATGGGTCGTACCACAAATATGGCGATGACGGTAATGAAAGGATCGAACCACTCTATCATGTCGCTTTAGATACTGTGTTTGTGCCAAAACTGTGCATCCACTGATCATGACAAAGTGTTGGACAGTCTGATTAAAATCATTGCATGATCTGCATTTTATATTAAAATTTTACATTTTGATGCCAAATCACATATTGAGTTTCGAGTGGGAAGCGTTCTGTTTCTCTTTTCAGGCCAGACGACTTCATCCAATCGAAGGACTCTGCGGGGATGCTGATCTTATCAACGCACTGCACATAAACTCGTTGCAGTGGTCGTTTAGATAGCCTCTCCTTGATAAACTGAGTCTGGGCCGATTTAATGTGTCACTTCGCTTGGTTGACACTCATTTCTGTGCCGTCCAGCAGTACAGAACCATCAACAAAATCAACACTGATATTGAGTCCCATATCCTTTCTCGCCTTAGAAATCTGTGGAATGCCTTGTTTTCATCATGAGTCTTGACAAATAAATCATCATCATCAGACATATAAATGTGTGCAAAAGTGCACATTCAATTCTATCATGAAGAGCCTCCACATTAATGAAACCACGCCCTCCCATTATGATTGGTAAGTATGAGCGATTGAGGGAAGAGTGGGTGAGGGTGGTGGGATTTATTATCGGACATGCTTCCTGGTGTGGGGGTGTACATGTGAATACTTTGAATTTCTTGTTTGGATCATTCAACAACACCAAAAGAATATGAAATGACGGGTACAGCATAAGTATTTGTGGCTTTAACTTTATTGCGAGCGTTCAGCTCTGAACTACAGATTTTCGTTCGTCTTCGTTTGTATTCTACATTTGAATTCTGTATTTTAATTCTATTATCATCACTATTATTATTATTGTTTTTGTTGCTATTATTCTGTTCATGTGCCTTTCATGATACATGCAGATACAGAACCACTTAATTACTATCGAGTGTATTGATTACGCAATTGATTGTAGTGGACTTGTATAACCTTGTCCGACTTTATCGGTTTTCCAAGAAAAGTCAATCTAACCTGAACACGTCACCCAAACATAAACTGCAAAGCTATTTATCTAAAAGTATTTCTGATCATTACACAGTGTGGTAGGCGTGTCATTGTTTCCGACGTAAACAATTGGCTGGTACAGTTGATAAGTGGCCCCACCATGATCAGGAAGTAGCACAAACAAGGGTGAAAATAGGCCAAGGGGCTGACACAAGATCCGTATGTAAAGACAATCACATGTATCCATAACACGACTAGGGTTGGTACAAGCCGTTGCCTCGTTCGTTGACGTAAGCCATGAAATATTTGATATACTTTCTCTTATAATTTGCATAATGACATACAGTTGCGTCAGTTTCCCTTTCACAAGATGCACGGTGAGAATGGCTAGTGTATTCCTGGCTCAGAACAAACTGCAACAACAATCGCGTGACCTCATCATGATGGCGTAACTTACATTATTCCGTACACTGATCCAGAGTTAGTCCTGAGTCGTCCTTGCTTGTAACAGTTGAGAGTTGACAAAAGCAGTCGGGTGTTGGCGATGTGAGACCTATATGAATATTTTTCTGTGAAAACTTGGATACCGTACGTACGTCTGTCATTCGGAGCTAAGCACTATAAAATGATTGTTTTTACCCTTTTCAGTGAGTTTAAAAAGTATGCACTGTAATGTATACAATAAAAGTCATATATATTTCCTTCTTCTCTGTGATTCTCAAACTCCCGACATCTTATATCAAAGGTAATAGTACTCACTTGGAGTCCTGTTGGATCTGCGTGCGAAAGTGCAATATTCTTTTTGGGGGACACCAAAGAAGGAGCTTTGCATACAGTTACATAATTTGAAACCGGATATCGATGTTAGGCGTGACGATCGACTTTTGTAACTATTAGGCTACCCCACCGCCATTGATTCGTAGGAAGTATGTACAAGTATAGTATTCAGGTTTTGTTGACATGAAAGCTTCTTTATTGCCCTCGAATTCTTGGCATACGAAATCTCCCTGTGGGGATACCATGTCATGATATGCCCCCAATGTCTCAAGCAGGCTGCAAGAGCCGACTTAAGTATAGACCGGTGGTCAGGCTCTGTGACTGGGCTGGTAATATGTCATCGTGCCCAAATGACGAAGATCGTAGTTCATGTTTTCAGTCCTTGGTTTGCCTTGACCAGACTCCATCATTTACTGGCCGCCGAGACATAGTTGCATATTTCGAAGCAAGGCGTTAAACATTGATCAACTGTTGTACAAGCATTACGTTAACGCTTATAGTTTCAGGGGCAGCTGTGGTCCATCCAGATCCGTGGGACGGATGTGGCGTGACACACAATTTCAATTTTAGAAGGGGCACGGCGGCACAGTTGTCTAAGGCGCCTCAATTCGCTGTGAAGTGTTGCGTCCCTTGGACACGCCAGAAACCTGTGATTGTGGGTTCGAATCCCTGTTCGCTTCGATTATGTTTCTAGGTTTGTCAGCACCATACCCGTGCTCGTGGGTTTCACCGAAGTGGTAAACGTCTAAGAACTCCATCACTTCGGGCTTCCCTCCCACAATAAGCTGAGACGCCGTGAAATAACTTGAATACTGTTAAAAGCGACGCTAAACACAACTCACACACTCAATTTTAGAAGGGCTATGAAATACCCTTGTTTTCTTGTGACCCAGTATTTAGGTACAGCAGGGAGGTACCTCAGTATTTGAAATACTTCTGTCAAACAAATGTTATTGAGTGCAAAAGTGCCTCATCGTTCAATACTCTGGTTATCTTAACCTCTCATCTCAGCTACTCGTTCCCCACAGGGGCGATTGCTTGCGCACATTATCGATTCTACTACGCCCTCGTCAACATACTGAGTACTTAGTAAATTGCTTCTCGTTTACCGTAGTAGCTAGATCAAAAAGTCATTGTTCAATTTTATTTCAAAACACTTATTTTGACGGTTGCAATTGGTTACATCGACACACACTTGTGATAAGTCGTTCGTCTTTGCCCAGTGGGTGTAACGTTCAAGCATGTGCTACCTCTTGCCAATCCCCCAATTGTGTTGGACTAGACATGTCAAATAAACAACGATTATCTGAAGCTGACTTTAAACAAGGTAAACGAAATAATACCGTGTGTGTGATAAATGGTACTAATCTATTTCGCTTTTTAACAAGGAAGTTGATTTCTTTGCTTGGTAAACATAATGACATGGTAAATAATGACATGGCTCCCTATATATTGTGTGAGCGGGACAGACGCTGTGTGAGTTACAATAGGATCATGTCTATGCTTCTGGTATGTATGCTGTTCCTTGGTAGTGTGGACGCATTTCTACCAAACAGACTCTATGATGGTGACATAGGGCACGGCACTTTAACACACGAAGACATCACACGAATAGGAATTGTAAAGGCAGTAGCGTCGTTCTTTGACGACAATCCGAGGAATGGTTCAACTCCGTTAAGACCGGGACATTTCGCCAGAACTCCGGAACTTACTGCCAGAAAACTGCTTCTGATGTATTATGGAGGTATGAAGTCATTGTTTGTATAATTGCTCTTCAAAGAAAATTTAATTATGGTCACATTTGACCGTCGTTAGAATCAACATTAGTATACTCTTATTGTTTCATATGATCTCCATCGCCAATATATTATGGATTTCATAAACGTGAACTGGGATTGAAATTAATTGTCTAATTGTCACAGCTGTGTAGTGTATAGGTACACAATATTACCTACGTGATAAAGTGTTCACGTTTAAACTGTTCAAGTGGTATCACATCGTGTCATCATTTAACAAATAAATCAACGCTCCCTTACCGTAACCATGCCTATTAGGCCGCCTCCGAGGTCTAGTTGTAGAGCGTCTGTCCGGAGAGCGGAAGGTCGATCCCCGGCCGCGTCATACCAAAAGACGTAAAGATGGTACTTGTTGTTACCCTGTCTGGCGCTCGGCATTAAAGGGCTAAAAGAAGGGCTGGCCGTCTCGGAGTAACTATACTATGTCTGAGTGGGGTATTCATGTGAAACTGCGGCATAGGCTAGCACTATGAAATCGGAGATAGTCCGGGCTAGCACAAGCACACACACAGCCACGCACACACACACACACACACACACACACACACACACACACACGAGCATGCACGTCGCTATAAAGTGAGTCTTTAAAGTGAGTTCAACCCCATATGACCTCACCATGCCTATCATGAAATAATGTCCGTAATCTAGTCTTTGTTCGTGTTAAAGTCGGAGCCTCGGAGAAGAGGCTGGTGCAGGTGATAGCAGACATCTCCAGCGCCAACAACCGAGTCGACCAGGATCACCATGGCAAGGCGGTGTGGCACTTCCACGGGGAACTCATCCACGAAGGTACATCTTAAATATCTTTGAAAGCAGGACAACGAAGGCCAAAAGGAGTTGATTCGAAGATCGAAGTACATGGAAAAGAACATATTCATTTGGTTTTCTATTTTTCAATCGAAATTACGGCAGCGTCCAGTCATTCAAGGAGTCAATGCTGGCTGTGCAGAGTAGCGAACCTTAGGTGAACTGGGATCCTATGTTCAGGGGTTCGAATTCCATATGTTGGCCGAGAGGGGACATGCTTTCTCGTCTTCCAGTATGGCCGCGAAAAATACGAGACGAGAAAGCGATAGCACGTGACGAGAAAGATATGGAAATGAAATTAGTGTAGTGATGAACTCATGGTAGATCATTGGGATGTCATAACCTTGATCTCTGTTGAGGGTTGTTGGAGTCTTGTGACGTGGGTGGCTTCTTGAAGCATCCTGATCTCGTATTTTCATCATTTTTGGTAAGTACGTTGATGCTCTTCCAATGGATGTTGTGGTCTGCACGGGCTTGGATATGGTCCGAGATTCGGGATTTGGAGTCTTTCTTCTGTATTGAAGGTTTATATTTCAAAGGGTGTTTTACTGTGTGTATAATTGTAGCATTTTTGTGAATCATTTGTAGAGGGCTGCCACGGATGTTGCACAACAATATTTGTAAAGATTATTTCATTTGATTATTGTAAACTGGATGTTACATACCAGCAATCGGGGAACTTTTTCTGTTGTACTGTAAGAAGCAACATGTATTTAATCCCGTCATTTGTATTGAATCATCATTTCATTTTGTTGTAGCACATTCGAAAATGATCTCCATCAGGGAATTGATCCTTGGTATGTTAAAGAGAGACAACCCTAATCTTGATGCTGTAAAAGAGCTGATTGGTCAGTTCCTGCACATGATGCAGATGTTCTACAGCAACACCAACTGGGTGGAGATGAAGGGTGGGGTCCCGTATTTCCAGCTCGGTAAGTGACAGGAGCCGACTCTGCTCTTCCTATGCTGTCTTTAAATAATATGCGATACCTATACATCTACCTGAACAGCCAAGCAATCATGTCGTGGCAGATTAAGAGTTATCGAAAAAATAGAAGAAGTTAAGCAGTGTGGATTATCATTTATTTCAATCATCTTTTAAACATCATCCATCTTTCGCAATTTATTTTATACCAACATCTCAAAAGATTATGAAACACCATCTTCCTATTCAACATAGTAGGGACGCGGGTGGCCCAGTTGTCAATGTCACCGAATTTAGCTTATCTGTGGATCACAGTCCGTGACTAGTTTATCAATAACTTCCGTTTCTAAGGCCCGTAAAATGTGTTATAACCTCCCTATGTCTTCATATTCTTCTTCTTGTTTCTTTCAAAATGTATTGTCTGGAATATTCAGCTTTATCTTTTGTAACAAAAAAGATGTGACATTGATATTTTGATAAAAAGGTATGTTAAAGGAAACTTCAGATCACAGCCCGCCAAATCCGAACATTATCCAAAGTCATGATAAAATACAGCATCTTACGAAATTGGTAAAATTGAATTTCGCGAAGGCGCAGGTTGATCATTCTTTAAGATATTCAACACATCGGATTATATCCAAAAGAAAAATCAATTCCTATTTTGTTTTTCAATTCAGGAATAAAAGATAAACCAATTTATATCCAGGCATTGCCGTCAATGGACACATGCAAAACATGCGGGTAAGTCAGTTGAATTTCTTATTGATATGGTGTGACGTTTAAAGAAGTGAATGCATTGCGTTCATGGTACATGTAAACTTATAAATGGTCAAATCCATGATCGCTCATGTAACCGGCGCCTGCTATATGTAATATGATTAAAGTATCTATGCCGACACACGTCGGGAACAATCAATGTCAGGGATGTCGCCTTGTGTTAATGTGTAAATAAGTTTATAAAGATCGTTTTGGGGGATCGATTGAAACATTTGAATATAGGACGGACCAGGAAACAAATATTTTTATATTATAAACATTTGTGTGTAGTTGTCGTAAAGTACACGTTGAAACGTACATTATCCCTGCCTGACACGCAGGGACGTTTCACCATCCCTTGTAATTGCTACTTAAAGAAGATCCGTGTTTGCAACACCGTAAAAAATATAAACAAAAGTAACAAAACATATTTGAGGGCAATACAATTCATTGTCATATATTTGGATAATTTTATGATTATATGCAAAATCAACTTCAACTAAAAATATTTTTGAAATCTAGGAGACCATAGTTGGGAGCGAAAGAATACAGGCAGGTTAGTTAAATAACAAAAATGGCGCTTTGCGAAACGAACAGTCTCGATTGACGAGTTAAATGAGAAATTTACAGTTTATAATGAAACATTTTCAAGAGAATAACAAACGGCAAGAAGCAGTATTAAGTCCATAAATGACCAGCTGTCGATATTTTGTCCTTGTCCATGTTGAACTAACGTAAAAAGGAAGTCAACAGTTGGTGTACGGCTCGACACTGATAAAAGGGGAGACAGTTTGCGTCGAGGTAACTCTTATAAGACAAAAGTTCCGTTCACTGCAGTGGCATATCAAGTATTGTGTTCGCTGCAGGGAAATATCAAGTGTTACATGTATGTTCACTGGAATGAAAATATCATTTTTTCACGTCTTTCACACTAAAATATATGCTAAAAATAAACGTGTACCCTGTGTAACACCACCAACGGGCATTAATCTGTTTTGAATAATGTAAAAGAGGTCCAAATGACCTGTAACAGTGGAGTGTCATCCGTTGCTAGGTAGATATGTGTTAAATACGTTTTCTAAATGTGTTCTTTTTATCAGTGCTGATTTATAGCACGAGTGCCGAGAAACGCGCGACTACCCTTTGGCCACTGTTTAATAAGTGCATGCAGCAACGCTGACAAACCTGATTCATGAATTGTGCACGAGATTACTAACCTACTTTATCAGATCCCATGGAGATCTCGATAGATCTCGTGACCCGAACGGGATAGTATCTGACCTTGAGGTACCTATCTCGCAATCAACAGAGAGGAAGTCGAGGCCAAATGATACTATAGAGCCAATCAGGGCGATATACATATACTACTCAAGGGATCCAAGCAACATAGTTTTGAGCAGATCTTATTGACAGCTGGCATTTGTGTTATAATCTTTAATGCATTTTTAGACATGCCAGTGCATGACGAAAATACTTGCCCAAAGAAGTTAATAAGTTGCACTGAAGACGACTGGGGTCATTTGATAAAGTCACAAATGGCAGAGGAGGCACGGGTGGCCCAGTCGTCTAAGGCGCCGCGATTCGCTGTGCGGAGTTGCGTCCCTTGTGCACGCCAGAAACCTATGATTGTGGGTTCGAATCCCGGTTTGCCCCGATTATGTTTCTAGGTTTGTCAGCACCATACCCATGCTCGTGGGTTTCACCGAAGTGGTTCACGTCTGAGACCTGCATCACTTCGTGTTTTCTTCCCACATTAAGCTGACATATAACTGGAATACTGTTAAGAGCGGCGTTAAACCCAACCCACTCACCCACAAATGGCAGAAACACTGGTTCACTGGTTAATACCTGGTATGACCGCCTCTGTTATTGATGCATTCGAGACAACGTTGACGCATCAACCTAACCAAGTTTCTGAGGGTGATCTGTGGAATGGCTAACCATTCTTGTTGCGGGAATCCCTGTTTATCCCTGACGTTTCGCCCAGAAACCTATGATTGTGGGTTCGAATCCCGGTTCGCCCCGATTATGTTTCTAGTTTTGTCAGCACCATACCCATGCTCGTGGGTTTCACCGAAGTGGTTCACGTCTGAGACCTGCATCACTTCGTGTTTTCTTCCCACATTAAGCTGACATATAACCTAACCAAGTTTCTGAGGGTGATCTGTGGAATGGCTAACCATTCTTGTTGCGGGAATCCCTGTTTATCCCTGACGTTTCGCCCAGAAACCTATGATTGTGGGTTCGAATCCCGGTTCGATACCTGGTATCTACCTGGTATGACCGCCTCTGTTATTGATGCATTCGAGACAACGTTGACGCATCAACATAACCAAGTTTCTGAGGGTGATCTGTGGAATGGCTAACCATTCTTGTTGCGGGAATCCCTGTTTATCCCTGACGTTTCGCCCCAACACGTCCTACAAATGTTCAATTTGTGCTAAATTGGGAGAAAAGGCTGCCCAGTCAATTCCGTCGATCTTATTCTGCTGCTGACAGTTCCTGACAACGGTAGCTCGATGTGGACGTGCATTGCCGTTCTAGAGTCTTGCATGTGGACAGGGGGCACGGGTGGCAAAGTCGCCTAAGGCGCCGCGATTCGCTTGGGCACGCCAGAAACCTATGATTGTGGGTTCGAATCCCGGTTCGCCCCGATTATGTTTCTAGGTTTGTCAGCACCATACCCGTGCTCGTGGGTTTCACGGAAGTGGTAAACGTCTGAGACTTGCATCGCTTCGGGCTTCCCTCCTACATTAAGCTGACACGCCGTGATGTAACTGGAATACTGTTAAAAGCGGCGTTAAAACCCAACTCACTCACTCACACTCACTGCATGTGGACAAAAAGCTGGAAGCACCAGAGGCTGTAAAATCTCGTCTCTGTAGCGCAGAGAGTTCAGATTACCCTGAACATTGTACTGTGGGCTTATGTGGTTGAAACTGAATCCGCCCGAAATAATCACTGATCCACCTCCAAACCTTTGGCTTTCACTGACGATAGCGTCAACAATACACTTACCAGGACGTCGTTACATTCGGATACGGCCACCATGAACTGCAAACTGAACCATGACTCTTCTGTGAAGACAAGGTACTGTTTCGCTGGTGCCTATTCCACTGAAGATGCTGCTGACACCACATCAAACGTGCATCTCGGTGGTGTCAAGGACAGCTTGACGTTTTGATCGCAAGTTTGCCTTTCGAAGCCTATTCCCAACCTTGAATTCTTCAGGGAATCCACGCTACAGCCCTCCCTCTGTCAAAATTACACATACGTCGTGTCTTAGGCATGGTGTTCAAAATGTGATTTCCCTCTGTGCGCATTTTTAACTTTGTAGGGAATGATTGCATGAAGATGACTTAAGTGAGTGAGTGAGTTAAAATTTAACGTCACATCGGCAATATATCAGCCATATCGTGATCCAGCACGTGCATGATGTATAATAGTTTGTCCAGTACAAACGTGACGACGTTATAACTCGTTAACGTTGGACATTGGCACAAACTCTCCCAATGAACTGTTTAAAAACGTTTAATGTACTAATTGTTTTTCAACTTTCTTCTCAAATTTCAAGTAGAACTGTAATAATACGTATGTTTTTTACAGTTAATGTACCAAGGTATATACGACGAGGGCTGATTGGGAATATGCGTTCTATGTTCTTCCCTGTACACTAGGCCTTATATAGTAACTTATTTTCATTGCTCGTGGAAATGTTTCAGACAAACTGCTTATGATGGATGTGAGAACACGTTACTGGTGAAGAGCAACATCCTGACAAGTGGTTACCGGAGTGGCGAGGACATCACAAAGCCTTCACGTATGTATTTGATTTTCAAAATCTCAGATTTACAGACCTATATAATCATTGAAAAACTTGTGTCTTAGAGAAGGCGCCCATTTGCATAACGATCGGCCATATTGATGACTATTTGAAAAATAAGCGCGTAAGACATAAGTAGTTGACATTATTATACACATGATGGGCACATGTTATTATGGTCAGATGTGTCACCTTGGTGTGGAAGAAAAGCCCCAAGTGATTCAGGACTTCTACCTGCACCACTTTGGTGAAACGGTTGTACAAGAACGTGAAGAAGCGGAGCGTGCGAAAACGCAACCGCGTGTCGTCCCCCGCACGAAACTCAACCAGTTATGTGAGGGCGGCCTGTAAATAATCGAGTCTGGACCACACAACGGATAATACACGAATAATGTCCGTTGGCGGCGGGATACGATAACATGCAACCAACCAAGTCACCGAGCCTGACAGAACAAATGCGTCAAGTTGATGAGTTTTAAGTATGGGAGAAAACACTTCTCCTCAGTTTCGGTTGAAAATGTAAACACGCTGGAAACAGAAGAGTCCGAGGAATTTCCTTCTCCCATTTTTCAACTACAACCGAGAAAAAGTTTTTTCATTTCCTTATGAACTGATATATCCTTTGATACACGCATTAAACAAATATTTTGTATTGATTTGATACCTTACCTGAGCTTGACTAAAGCTCATTTACAACCTTCAAGGTCATACTCGAAAGTCAAACCTCCCTGCTTATAATCAAAATCACTCGGGACTCGGGTGTGCAGAGTTGTGTCCCTTGGGCATTCCAGTAACCGATGATCATGGGTCGAATTCCGGTTCGGCCCGATTATGTTTCTAGGTTAGTCGGCACCATACCCGTGGTCGTGCGTTTCACCAAAGTTGTAAAACGAGACATGCAGACTCGATTATTTACAGACCGCTGTCATATAGCGGGGAATATTGCTGAGTGCTGCGTTAAACAACAAACCAACCAACCAAGCAACCAAAATCTCTCCCGGCTTTCTACTTACTGAAAGGAGAAACATTGAAAATGACGTTACAGGAGGTTTATAAAATGATGGTAAAGCAAGTAAATAATTAAGTTAGAGGCATGTGTCCTGTCATTTAACAATTCTGACGAGGTACTATCATCTTTAACGTTTCTCATTCAACACCATGACATTGTTGTTTTCCTTGAACTTTAAATACATGTATTTGTGTTTAGTATAATTCATTACCTCCCACGTTGTCTTATACTATCAGGCGATCCATTGGCATATGTAACTGGAAAGTGTAGCCACGGTGGCCCCCGGGACAACAGCGCGACCGCATCAGCAGCCCTGGGGGGTATTAACAAAGACTCCACCGAACCCTCTCTGTCCCCCCACCACCATCTCCACTTGCAGGCAGCACAGGCCGCCATTCATCACACCATCCACTTCTTCAATGATAAAGGTACATCTTGAACATAATGTTTGGGTTTAATTTTCTGTTGAGTGTAGGTTCAGACATACGGCTACGACCATCTTGTCAGTAGATGTCAGATAGCTTATACACCCAACCACTATTGCTATTTTCACACAACAAATCATCAAACAACGTTTTGAGGTTACAATGGTTTGTATTGTAAATATCTAATTCATCCTGGTCGTAAAATTAGAGTCATGATTTTATGACACCAGCATGTAATGTTAGCTTACTATAGCAATGTACACTCGGTTACCAGGTGTGGAACTATTCACAACGCGTTAACGTTAGGTGTATAGTGTTTCCACAGAATGCATTTATGTGTCCCTGTGTCGCTTTTCACATTATATATATGTTTACCTTTCCTTTTGTCAAGAGCGTTTATTTAGAAGAGCCGAACTATTTTCAACCGCTTTTCTTACCTCTGTCGTGACGCACGAAGGCATGTTGTTGAGGAGCAAAATATACACTATATGCAGCGGTGTGCGTCAATATGATGTTAACATTCTATTATAACAGTTGATGGGATTCGCGGACACATCAGCAAGGATAGGTACGAAAACCTGCTTCAGCTAAAATCTGGGAACTCTTTGGCTTTCGTAATTGACACCACTGGATCTATGGCGGATGACATAGAAGCCGTAAAGAACGCTGTCATTAACATCGCAGCATCTACTGTAGGAACTGTTGATGAACCAGCAAATTACATTGTTGTTCTGTTCAACGATCCAGGTTTGTACATGATGATTGATCTTTCATGTTTTCTTGGAAGAGTTTATTTCGATTGATAAGGAGTGTCCTTTACGAGGTCAGGGATGAGCATCTGCATAGCCGCAAACTACAATACTTATTGGTTATTACACTGGTGTATCTATCTAATGATTATATCATCATAAAATCGATTATTGAAGTAGTAAAAGGTATCAGGTATGATCGCGTGCTCGTTGCCTTATTTAGGCACATAAATTAATAAATATTATGTTTAGAATACCTTAAACCTTTCCCCCCTCCATCAGCTTCGTCTGAATTTTCATTAAAGATAAACAGTATCTTTCCCCTTTGTCTCCCCACATAAAGCGTGGAGGTCGTATCGAAGGGTTATATATAGTTATTCACCCCAATGCATTGTTCGTTGACCACCGTGTTAAGTCAACTGAATAGGACTCCCAAGAACCAACATACATGTTCAGAGTGCTGAAAAGTAATACAAATAACTTTGTAATTCGTGTGTTTTCCATACGTAATTGTTGCATTCACCAGCGTCTCAGCTGAAAAGGGTAGACTCTCTAAGAACGAAAGTACCGCGTTCAGTAAGGTAATACAAATCACGTTGTAATATGAGCTTATCCGTAATTAAATGTTACTGTTGTTGCATTCACCAGCGCAACTAACTGAAACTCATCAGTTCGAAGATGGACAGAAAACAATTTCATTCCTGAAAAGCATCACAGTACACGGAGGAGGAGACTGTCCAGAGTATTCCATGGATGGTCTTTTGAAGGGTAGAACAGATTTAAAATATTTCAAATATTTGTTTTGTAAAACTGATTACTGCATTCAACCTCGTTCGTGCCTTCAGCTTCTTATTGGCGCCTTCATTGTTTGAGCACATCAAAAATACAGATAATTGCACGTTTGCTAGAAGTCTACTGATAAAAGCAATACTATTTTGAATAATTTGAAGACATTTCACACCATTTGAGTGTATGATATAAATGTCAATAGTCCTGTGGTTAAGTTCTCGACAATATCTTTGTATGGTTCTGCAACGATTTTCAACTACATGCCTATCCATAACTACCAGTGATTATGGTAACCGTCATATTTGATATTTCAAGCCTTGGAGATGTGCCTACCATCTTCAAAAATATTCGTGGCAACGGATGCCTCACCAAAAGACGCAGAAATGCAATCGACAGTTGCGTCTCTGGCTCTTCAAAAGAAGATTACTCTTGACTTCTTTCTCACTGGACGATGTACGCGTAGGAGGAGAGATGCAGGTAAGAGACAGTGTATGAAGAGCGAGACAATCCCTGCGTTTACTTCAACATTTGCATCTGTCTGACTAGACGTGCGGGATACATAATTCAGTCTACATTATACACAGAAGATGTGTATGTCAATTTTGTGCTAGCCTGGGTGGTTGAGTGGGTAGATGACTTTGACTTTGTGGGCTGACTATCAGGTGCCTCAATCGGAGAGTGTGGGTTCGAATCCTGGATGGCACTCAACCGCCGAAAAAGTACTCGAATTTGTACTTTTACTAAGTAATATATGACAATATTTACATTGGATCACTTTCTGAAAGGCATTCTGTATTTACAGTCCGTTTTTTTGTGCATTGTATTTACAGAAGTACCCCTGTATAAGCGCGCTGTGCCTGGTGGGGGCAGTATATATGACATGTTAGCAGGGGCATCCGGTGGTTCCGTTCACACAACCACGAAGGCAGGGATAGGTAAAGTTGCTCAAATTATACAGGTACGTTTCTGAGGGGTTTCATGTGTTCAAAACACATGAACAACATTCATACGCCTGTGCTCATGTTTTGCAAACGCCAGTGGCGCGTGATATTTGTTTATGCTCTATACTTATAAATACGTTATAAATGTCTTTTTGTGCGTAATTGAAATCTGTGTCACTTATGGAGGTAACGGTTCTGTATGTCAAGATGCTGTCAACAAAAAACAGCCATCAAGTGTCAAATTACCGATCATAGTTAAATTTATTATATATGCAGCACCTTTCTTCTGTGCCTTAAAGTATCCCCATGTTTGTAACACTATATACCTGGTTCAGGATTCTGTGTCTCATTGAAGATACTATCACTTTATACGTACCACTTTATTTCTGTGTTAGGAGTTTGTGAGGTGAGGTGAAATTGGGTTTAACGTCGCGTCCAAGATTATTGCACTTGTGTGTGTCTGCTTGTACTGGTCCGGACCGATGCCGATTTATAGTGCTAGCCCACTGAAATACCATGCCGCACTTAAACATGAATATCCCACTCAGACACAGTATACTGACTCCGTGCCGACCAGTCCTTGTTTTAGTCCCTTAATGCCGAGCGCCCTTAATGTGACCCCTTGACGATGTTATTACTTTTGACATACCGCTATATTTTGGTTAGCAGTCTGTGGCCCTTGACGACGCTATCACTGTATACTATATAATTATGTATATACGTACCACTATTTTTCCGTGTTAGCAGTCTGTGACCCCTTGACGATGTTATTACTATAGACGTACCACTATATTTTTGTTAGTAGTCTGTGGCCCTTGACGACGCTATCACTGTATATTAATATATTTATATACGTCATATAAATATATACGTACCACTATATTTCCGTGTCAGCAGTGTGTGAACCTTGACGGTGTTATCACTGTATACGTACCACTATATTTCCGTGTCAGCCTTGTGTGAACCTTGACGGTGTTATCACTGTATACTTACCACAATATTTCCGTGTCAGCAGTGTGTGAACCTTGACGGTGTTATCATTGTATACGTACCACTATATGTCCGTGTCAGCAGTGTGTGAACCTTGACGGTGTTATCATTGTATACTTACCACTATATGTCCGTGTCAGCAGTGTGTGAACCTTGACGGTGTTATCACTGTATACTTACCACTATATGTCCGTGTCAGCAGTGTGTGAACCTTGACGGTGTTATCACTGTATACTTACCACTATATGTCCGTGTCAGCAGTGTGTGAACCTTGACGGTGTTATCATTGTATACTTACCACTATATGTCCGTGTCAGCAGTGTGTGAACCTTGACGGTGTTATCACTGTATACTTACCACTATATGTCCGTGTCAGCAGTGTGTGAACCTTGACGGTGTTATCATTGTATACTTACCACTATATGTCCGTGTCAGCAGTGTGTGAACCTTGACGGTGTTATCATTGTATACTTACCACTATATGTCCGTGTCAGCCTTGTGTGAACCTTGACGGTGTTATCATTGTATACTTACCACTATATTTCCGCGTCAGCCTTGTGTGAACCTTGACGGTGTTATCACTGTATACTTACCACTATATGTCCGTGTCAGCAGTGTGTGAACCTTGACGGTGTTATCACTTTATACGTACCACTATATGTCCGTGTCAGCAGTGTGTGAACCTTGACGGTGTTATCTTTGTATACGTACCACTATATGTCCGTGTCAGCAGTGTGTGAACCTTGACGGTGTTATCACTGTATACTTACCACTATATGTCCGTGTCAGCAGTGTGTGAACCTTGACGGTGTTATCACTGTATACTTACCACTATATGTCCGTGTCAGCAGTGTGTGAACCTTGACGGTGTTATCACTGTATACTTACCACTATATGTCCGTGTCAGCAGTGAGTGAACCTTGACGGTGTTATCATTGTATACTTACCACTATATTTCCGTGTCAGCCTTGTGTGAACCTTGACGGTGTTATCACTGTATACTTACCACTATATGTCCGTGTCAGCAGTGTGTGAACCTTGACGGTGTTATCACTGTATACGTACCACTATATTAGTCCAGTAATTAAAAGGTCCAGGTTCAACAAAATTGACGGAAAAGGTTTTTTGCTGGATTTTGGTGCCTTGGCACCTATACATTAAAATAAAAAATAGTTTACCAAAATCGGACATGGGGAACCATCCGAAAATAGGTCAAATCCAAGATGGCCGCCAACAAAAGTAATAATAGTCATAAACGTGGAACCAATAACAAAAAACCCATTTATGATGAGTCTGTCTATATTAGCTTGCCAGGATAAATGCAAAGGAATGTATATTTAACAATTTTGAAAGGAAAATTCACATAGAAATTTAAAATAATGCTTCAAAATGACGAAAAAGTACATAAATTTGTTAATATCAGTAATTCTTGCAGAACATGAACCGATTTATTATAATGTTGACGTTTTACATATTAAATCATGCAGTTTATTGTCTTCACATAAATAATCAAGTTAGAAACAAATATAATTGAAACAACCCAAAGTATTCCCTTCTTCAAAATGGCGGCCGAGCATACAATGTTTTAAAGATAGACCTCAAGAACATAAAGGTATGTATAAGCTATTTTTCTTTTATAGCTAAAATGAAAACTTGTATAATATATAGTTGATTGGCTCTAGAGAGGAATAACTGATGAAAATATGAACAAATATAAATATAAAATTTGAAACAGAGCCTTAAAATTAACATCAACATTTGTTTAAAGGAAAATCAAGGGAGATATTCCTAACTCCGGGAAGCAGTTATTTTTCTCAAATGGTATTAGCTTCTCAGAAACTTTATTAAAAGTTAATTCAGAAGATATAATCAAGACATTTAGCACAAAAATCATTTGCTATAATCGGAAAAGCAACATTTGTATCTGGACACATGTCAACCATATTTCTATCAACTGTTACTATTCGCAGGTGACTATTCTCAACTGAAGGTGTCCTATGTAGATCACAGATGGCGACTTGTTTGCTATGTATGGAACCAGTTAACCTGGACCATCCCCAGGATTATGTGAAGTTGACAGCAAAATGCTGCTGTAAATTCGATGCACCAGACATCATATACAACTGTAGCCTGTTGGTACACAGACAGTGTCGAAGTATGCATATAAATCCAAAGGCAATCAAAGTAGCTGAAAACTTTTTGATCATATGTTTAAGCCTTAAATTTAAAACTCACTGTTTTCTATGTGGTACTTGTACAAACATCCATATAGAAGTGTACTTCAGCCGTGCGATGGCTCTTCAGTTACTCAACATATGTCTGCAACATACTGTGTCAACAGGCAAGATGATTGGGCCAAGATGGTACAGTCAAGTATTGTGCCCATATACGATCTACCAGCTGAAGAAGCTATCCATCACCATGCTTGTGATAAGAATTTTCGGAGAGGGACAAGTATACCTGCAGCTTATATTGAACATGGGGAGGCTCCACCAAAGAAACGGAGACTTGGTCGACTGAAGTGTATGTCCTAGATGACAGCATTTGAGATTGCCATTTATTACTTGGAAGAGAATGATGATGAAACGATTCCTTTGGACAATTTGCGTCACATTATGAAGTCAATGAGTGCACTGAGTAATAATCAACTACACACTACATCTCAGCTGAAAAGGGAATTCATGAATCACTATGGGAACAAGGTATTCATAACTACAATCAGGCAACAACCTAACATTGCATCTCTTACGGCATATGAAAATGTTGCAAAGGTGGACAAATCCGACATGGACAGTTTGATTAAAGTTGGAGGGGGATACATTCATACGCAGGTAGAAAGCATGTCGAAACATGTTGATGTGTATCTCGACAATGAGCAGATGGCATTGACTGACACCAATCTTGATTACCTCCCACATGCATTACGCATCCTCCTTCAAGCTATCATCAAGAGCTGAGCTGCGTCATTGGGTCAGGCAATAATGCATTCGAAATGTCCCCATCATTTCTGCCTCCTCGACAAGTTTGACAAAGTATCACACTTTAACACATATATGGTCATCGTAATTTAGTGGATATGATAAGCCAACTCGGTTTCAGGTCCTCGTAAATTTAGAAAATTCTCGGTGACCACTCATGGTGTTCACCTAATCAGAGACATTGCAGATACATTCGTGCAATACCAGGCTGGTTATATAGATCATGCCAGCAAAAGGTTTGATGGGACTGGCTCAATCCATGCCATGGGCGAGATGGTGAGACGGAGGGTACCAAGAGTTAAGGTGGACTTAGATGATGTTAAAAAAATCAACAGTGTCAAACCATTCTCACAAAGAAATCCAAAGGCAGTGCTGGCGAACATTATCTATTCACCAATTGGTGACTTCTGTCTTGATGAAAAGAATAGCAAACTAGATAACTAGATACTTCTGTGTGTGTTGACCACTGTGTTCCGGTTGCATGCAGTTGCTCCATTCTGACATTCCATACCCCAGGAAGAGCTCTGAGATATTCTTGTCGATTATCAACGTGACACCAAGTGACGAATCCTGTGTCAGATCAACGCTGGAGTATATTTCCAAATATGCCAGACGACATGGAATCACACCGGTTATTACAATCGACCAGCAACTTTGGTGAATTGCATACATGATCATCGAATCACGGCCAGCTGAGAGCCCCTTGCATCAAATAGCCCTGGTCTTAGGGGGGATTCCATACTTAGATGAGTTTTGTGGGCACAGTTGGGAATCTGATGGCTGGATCTGGGTTAAAGGAGATCATCACTCAAGTATATTCAGAGGGTAGTACAGATCAGATGTTGTCCGGCAAATCAGTGTCACAAGCTGTGCGGGCTCATTTCTTGAGGAACCACTTCTGCAATGCTCTTATCGTGTTTGATGGTTATTGTGGTGTTTTTTTACAAAGGATGAGACCCATCAGAGAAGAACTGGAAGTGAGATTGGAGTGGATGTGGATTTCACACCAGACTTGATTCTGAAAATGAAGAAAAAGCCCTTTTGGCAAATGAAAGAAACAAACAGAAATTCATCACTCTGTTGGGGTCAAAAATCGAAAAAGGTGGGTTTTCAGATTAAACACTCAACCGGAGATGCTGACTATGACATTTCAATGTCTGCCTGTACATTGGCTCAAACACAGCCTGTGGTAGTGGTAGGGAATGACACCGACCTTCTCATCCTGTTGCAATATCACTTCAGACCCGATACCATGAGGCCATCTTTCTTCAGACAAGTACAAAGATCACTGACATCTTCATCCTACAGATGATCCTTGATCCTAATCTCAGCCATTCTTTGCTCTTTGTACATGCATTGTCAGGGACCGACACAGCATCGAGGCCATATGGCATAGGGATGGTCTCAGGAATATTCAAAGGTTTTCATGGTGACAGGTGGAAACCATGCAGAAATCGAGCAGGCTGGTAATCAGGCACTTGCAATCCTCTGTGGCTGTATGCCTGGCTTGGATTTGAATTCTGAACGTGTGACAAAATTCACTGAGAAGGTATGTATCAAGCTCAAATTACCTACCCCTTCGACACCTTCCACCGACATCAGATGCTGCCAGATTGCCCAGCCAACGAGTCTGACTCCAAGTGCAGACCTGGCTAGGCAACAATATGGATGCGACAGAATGGGGCTGGACGTTTCACAAGAGCAACAAGGGCACTACATTGAAACCAATCACAAGGCACCAAGCTGTCACTCCTAAATTTCTGTTGAAAATAATCAGATACAATTGCACTGGAAAGTGTAATGAAAACACATGCTCATGCAGAAAAAAATTGTCTACAATGTACCTCAGTATGTGGACAATGCAAAGGGATGACATTTTCAAATGGACCAAGTCATGACTTTTCTGACATTACTGAATAATCGTCTGTTCATGTCCAGAATATGAGTGTGAATATAAAGACTTTCTTGAACTTTAGACATTTAAATTGATAGTAAGTTTGACTTGTAAACTGTAGTATTGCAGGGTTATTCCCTCTTTATAAGCCCGTGTTAAGTATTTTGTAGTCCGATATGGAACAATTGCATTTTTTTCACATTTCGAGCAGCCGTAATTTATTTCTGTGTAAGATTTCACTTTAAAATTGTTAAATATATATTCCCCTGTCTTAATCCTATGAAGTTGATTATAAATAGAGTCATCATCCATGTTTAGATTTTGATTGATTCTTTTTTTTTTACTTTTTCGATTTTCGTTTGTATTGATGGCGGCCATCTTGGATTTGACCTATTTTGGGTGTTTCCCCAAGTCAAATTTTGGTAAACTATTTTTTTTTTTAAAGTAGACCTATCAAGTCAGTGAAATGTGTTAAAAAACCTTTTCCGTCAATTTTGTTGAACCTTCATGAAAAATAAACCTTTAATTACCGGACTATATGTCCGTGTCAGCAGTGTGTGAACCTTGACGGTGTTATCACTGTATACGTACCACTATATGTCCGTGTCAGCAGTGTGTGAACCTTGACGGTGTTATCACTGTATACGTACCACTATATGTCCGTGTCAGCCTTGTGTGAACCTTGACGGTGTTATCATTGTATACTTACCACTATATGTCCGTGTCAGCAGTGTGTGAACCTTGACGGTGTTATCACTGTATACGTACCACTATATGTCCGTGTCAGCAGTGTGTGAACCTTGACGGTGTTATCACTGTATACGTACCACTATATGTCCGTGTTAGCAGTGTGTGAACCTTGACGGTGCTATCACTGTATACGTACCACTATATGTCCGTGTTAGCAGTGTGTGAACCTTGACGGTGCTATCACTGTATACGTACCACAATATTTCCGTGTCAGCAGTGTGTGAACCTTGACGGTGTTATCACTGTATACGTACCACTATATGTCCGTGTTAGCAGTGTGTGAACTTTGACGGTGTTATCTTTGTATACGTACCGCTATATTTCTGTGTTAGGAATCTGTGTCTCCGCTGCTGGTGACTCTAATGAAGGTCTACATGCCATCATCCCAGACAACTACCACGATCTATGTAGACGAGACCATCACAGAAGTAACCGTAAAGATCATGAGCAGAGGAGGATCCGAGCCACAACAGACAATAACCGCGCCAGGTGGGAAACTTTTCTTGAAATAAAATATACCTTGTCAGTTATGATTATTAGAGGACATCATTGCATACGATAGATTCTTATTTATTTTAAGATTATAACTGTATATGTGTAACTGTATAATTTGGGTCACTTTGATGCAAGCTTCAGTAAATCATTACATTAACAAGACCAAAGTCAGTGATGTCCTTTCACTGCAATATCGTATACCTAACTCTAAACCTAATCAACATTCGATTATGTACAGGAAGACCCCAACTCAATGGAATATGAGCTTGGCGTTTAACAAACAAAACAGTCCATAATATATATTCAATCTGACAGGGGCAGCGGTGACGACGAATGTAACGGTTGATTATCTTGGTGGAGGGATTAAACTGGTCAAACTACAGGTGGGTGATGTGTACATGTGGTCTGGTTAATTTGGTCTCTTCCAACAGTAACAATGGAATACTTCTTTTAAATGTCAAACGAAAACAATCCCAACAACTTGGAACTATTATTGGGGACTGGCCATTTATAGGTTGGGAGTGAGATTGGTCTCAGGACTGAATACTTGACCTGAACTGTGTAACTGTAATCATACCCCCACCCCCTTTAATCTCACTGGCCCACCCTCCCCTATCATAAATGACAAGTCCCTTAGTATATATTGAAGTGTATGTCATTTATCTTATCTCGAGGGGGCACGGGTGGCCCAGTCGTGCAGAGTTGCGGCCCTTGAACACGCCAGAAACCCATGCCCAGTGCACTACAAGACTTTTGCACCTTTTTCCAATAACATATAGAAACCTACTCCGGGTGAATGGACGTTAACCCGATCTGACTCTTACGACTGGGATGTTGAAGTCACAGCTGAAAGTTCTTTTGATATTTCAATCAAATTTGTGAAGACAGATCCATCTTCAGGATTCCAGTATGAAATACAGGGAAGACCCATTGCAGGTAGGTGACCAATTTTAACAGATAGCAGACTTATTAAACGAATAACTTAATGTGGCAAGTATAACAAACAGAGCGAGCATGATCAGATTGAATCCTCATTCAACATATTTAGGTGACGATGTGACAATAGTGGCTACCGGCAGCTCCATGGACAGTATTCAGAGTTTGAGTGAAGTGTTGTTTCTGGCTGACGATGGATCTGAACTTGCACGTCATCCAGGCCTAACCCGTGTCCCTGGATCGGCAGATTCCGCTGTGTTCAAGCTGCGCATCACTCTGCCTACAACCGTAAGTCGTTTTGCTTATATCAAAACAGCACTACGTGATCAAAACAGTGCAATTTGTTATTCAATTTTCTTTTGAACACATTGTCAAAGGTATCGTACCATTAAGTTAATCAGAAAAGATATGGGTGAGGATAAGAAGGAACGCTACACAAAAGCAATCAAAAGTGTTACTTAATGTGAAATGGTATGTTAATTTTAATAATAATAGGACAAATGAGCATTTTCAACAACAAAAACAAGGACTGTAATTGGGGATAAATAGGTAGTACAAGGTAACGTTCAGGACTGAAGTGGACAGGTCAACACGTACATATCTTAGTAACCGTGTACCCATGTCACAGTTATGTGATCAACTGTGAAAGTCAGTGTCTGGTGTAGCTACCCTGAACACGGATAACATCCGCAAGACTTCTCCTCAAAATCAGACGCTTGAGCTAGCAAATACACTTAAGATTTGGTGGTCTGATACATTTGACGCGATGGATATTTAAATTCATCGATCTGTTTGGATATTGGTAACCTGCCGGTAAATCCCAAAATGTCTGTAAATGCGTCGTATATGATAATTATGCTATGCCACTTTTTTCCAGCCCTTCAAGGTAGCGGTATGGGGGCGTGACAAATCTGGACACCAGCTGATAAGACTTCAACCAAGTCAGATTGTTCCTGTAGCCATTGATCTGAAAATGTTGCCAGCAGAAGGTAGCATCATCACAAATATCACATTGCAAGATACTTTCGTACGACTATTTAATGACGGTTTGCAATAAAGAAGTTAAGAAAATATAGAGAGTACGTCCAAATTGTACAATGTCAGATGAAGATATAAATTGAAGTTATATGTTGAAAGAAATTAATGAAATATGTTGATAATTTTTCATGATCGTGACGCGTAGTCACTCTTATTCACAAGTCAGCGTGTGTTCTGCTCTCCACAGTGTATGATGCTTATCCATATACTATCATTTGACCTTTATGTTCTCTTCGTCTGTAGGCTTTGTCTATCAGAATGAGAAAATGAAGATCCCATTCATGGTGACAAACAAGGGTGGAAGCCAATCAGTTATAAATGTGACCATCAAAGATGACCAGAATTTCGCTCAGACACCTTTTTCACTGGCATTCACCCTCAATTCAGGAGAAAGTAAAACTGGAGAGTTCATCATAACGGCAGGTCCTACTGAAGGAATTACAACGTAAGAGCCGTAACCATGTGTAACTTGCAAAACATAATTTCTTGCATAATCACCATATATGTTGGTGTCTAAAGACGATCAGGCTGTAAGAACCAGCCATGACTGTACTTGGGCGATGTCGACAGTTACCCGATGACTATATTATTGACACCCCAGTAACTTACACAGTTCAGGAAAAGTATTCAGTCCAAAGACCAGTCTCACTCCCACCCTGTAAGAAAAGAATGGATCCGATGGTCAAGGTCTGCTGTGTCTTAGTTCCCGAATGTTCCTAATATCAACCACTACTTGTCTGTCCAGGACATTTTCACGCCGACTCGACTAAGACAGATATAAAAAAAAATTCATAAGGATGCAAAAACAAGAACAATAACAAAATCTACTGTTACTTTGCATTTGTATTTTCAGAACCATCACTCTAACTGCTACAACTGGAGATGCTGCTGACTTCCAGTATGGCGTGAAGAGAGTATCAACAGGAACAAAGATTCGACAACTGAAGGTTACCCATTACGAGAGTCACCATTAACGTCTCTTAGACCTAACCAATAATGATATTTGATATATTTCATGACTATATATATTTATATCTCCTTTCGGTACAGTTTCCTGTAACTCAGACAAATATGACAGGTCATTGTGAAGTTGTAAGTAAAGTGATATTGATCTCTGTGTTTTCATAAAGGATACGGACAAGGATAAGCCGGAGTGTCACATCACATCACTTGTCGGCACGTGTGACGAGGACATGCTGGAACCCTGCACGTGTCACCAATACACGTGGTCAGCCTCGGCGGAGATATGGGACGAGGGAACCGGTTTATTCCAGATTACCTCCAGTATGGATGAGACAGGCTCGTTCGAGGTCGACACATTCGTTGAAGGCCAGACGCGGGTCAATGGATCTGTCCAGACAAGTATTAGGTAATCGTACATGTCTACTGTTGGCTACATGTGTAAACAAATAAGGCTTTGTATCGCATGCACCAAAGATAACATGCATTTGTTTATCCTAAACCACTTGTTATCTCAGCGTATATAAGATAACATGTTGATGGAGGGGATTAGTTAATTCTAAACGTTTTGAAGACATCAAATATGGTTAGAGGGGGAAATATGCTACTTCTTGTGAGCTTGCCTCATTGAGGGGATAAAACAAGGACTGGTCAGCTCGGAGTCACTGTACAGTGTCTAAGTGGGGTGTTCATGTTAAACCTCCGGCATGAATCTCAGTGGCCTAGCACCGGACAAGGACAAGCAGACACGAACGCGCGCACGCACACACGCACGCAAGCAGGCACGCACTCGTATTGAAAATGTTTGAGTTCACAATTTTGCTCTAAAATTATATGTCCCGTGAGGCTCTAGCTTGGCAAAAAGGATCACAGCTACGGGGTCTCTTAAAGTACTCTCAAAATATAATGACTTGATTTTGAATATGACCGCCACGTCAGCCATATTGAAAATATCTTCTTCGTCTATTTCTTCCATTTCTGCATGTATCACTAGAGTATCAAATGGTGGATTCTTATATTTCATTTGATTGTCTGTATATATCATTGTATGATGTTTTTATCTTACTAATATTTTGGCAGAAAATAAATCTAGTTACAGAGTCGTGTTATTTATTTATTTTCTAATCGACCTCCTGGTGTAACATGAGCAACATGAACCTAATACTTTGTTCTTTGAACTTCAGGGGCAGCTGCTGCACGTCGCTCGTCCACGTCCTTGTAGTCGATGTTGCAGGCAACACCGGGGAGTGTCAGATAGATCTGGCCCCTGGGGTACCCCGGCCAGTGTACGACTGTGTTCCGTCCGAGCAACAGGATGCTGTAAGTGTAGTCTCACAGCTTATTTTTTAAACGGACCTCAGCTTGTGAAACTATTGAAATCCACTCTTATTTGTACATTCTCATGTTTAGATTTATTTGGAGCATGCCTTTTTCGATCTATTCTTCGTGAAAAGAACATATAATTAATGATTTGACTGGGGTTTAGTGTAAACCAAGGACCGACTTTCGTTGTAATATACGGCTATTTACTTGGGAAGATTTCTACCCAAACTTGAATATGTTGTTTTGATCACCCAGGAGAGAGACTTCACCGGGGTGATTGTCGGATGCTGTGTTGGAGTTGTGGCACTTGTCTTCGCTGTGGCTACTGCTGTAGTCATGAAGATTTGTCATAAAGCCCCCGTGAAGAAGGTCTAAGGAGTTTATAGCCTCGATATTTACACAACATTGTTAATGCTGGCATCCAACTGATTGACCTACTGGTCACATAAGTCATGCAACATCAACACTGATATACAGGAGATCGTAATGCATATTATTAACATATTCAAAATGTGTCCATACACTACCAGCAGAAAGGGATCTTTTATTCACATTAATTGTATTACCGACCTGACCGTTGGTTTTACTTTAAGGACATTCAATAATTCAATCAATTGAATCGAATAACTTAATGCACGTAATCACGTAATGCACAGGTGATGTGTCCACAGTGCATGCCGTGTGTGCCTTAACAGATTAATAAAGGGTGTACAATGATGTATATAGATGTGCTGAGACTGGTGTTTTAATAAATATGAAATGCTTGCGGATCAGTAAACATGTGTGTACATGGATGGCACCAATGCCCCAAGGCACCAATGGTTTTCACTAATGCCATGCAAATTACATGCAGATTACCAATCAACAATATACACATAACTTATAGTTAGCGGATTCATATGTACCAATATCACTGAATGATATGAATAAAGTGGTCGTCAATGTTATTAAATATCAAACGTAAAAATGTTGAAATGTAGTTTCCTGTTAATGTTTGGGCATCGTGTTCCTTCATTAAATCTACGAGAGTGATCAGGAGTTTGCTTCAGTGTTTCATTTTGTGTTTAATGTATACTACAACTATTGTGCTCAACATTACATGTACCAAGGTCAAGGCCTAATATAGGACAATAGACTAAGCGGGTGTCATTGAAACTAACCACAGGGAGTGAATAAGTTTGGATTAATGAAACAATACGTCATTATAAGATGTTTTTTTCTTTTAAATAATAAGGCCAATACTTTTAATAAAAAGACCTGCATTTTTAAATAAATACCAAGACTACATACAGAATCCAAACACACACACACACACACAATAAAAAATTGATACAAATTTGAGTGGGCTTCGAAGCCTGGAGAAGACGGGAGATGAGGAGGGCCTTCCCAATTTCCCTTTTCCCCGGGGGAATTACATTCTCAATCAAGACCGAGGAGGAGGTTTTCTTCCAAACTATTAACCGATGAAATTATCTGTCAAATCATTTATCAATAATTTTATGTTTCAAACCGTTATGTAATGTTATTACAATCAACCTCAGGAAACAGACGTAAAATATCTCTTGCTGGCGTACACGTAAGAGATTCCTGAAAGTATTATGGTTTATCGGCGCCTCTGTGGCCGGGTGGGGTGGTTTCAGTCGTCTCTGGCTCCGCGGTGTTGCTCGATTCCCAGATTCGCCCTTATTATGTTTCCATGTTTGTCATCTCCATACCTTTGCTTATGGGTTTTACCACAATTAGGTAATCGTGTTAAACCTGCATCACTTTGGAGTTTACTACCGAGGTGTGTGAGTTCATTTAACGTCGCTTTGAGCAGTATTACAGTTAGGCAGCTAATGTTTAAAGAAAGTCCGAAATGATTCAGGTCTTAGACGTTACCACTTTAGGAGAATCACTGGGCAACTTTACACAGATTTGTAAACATGGATTCATTTGAAATATGCATGGCAATTATTTACAGATATCGAGCGCTGTGTATCGTATGACTCATGACCCGCATCCTTCTGTCTTCTACTTGAATCCAAAGGAACCGGGTTCGATTCATAATACGATTACGATGCGCGGAACCGAGGACTAATTGTTTTACAAAACAAGTGTTGAGATGCAATACAGGATCACACAGTCCTCCTGCAGTAGAAGCAGCGACTTTATTTTTGTCCAAGCATCATTTTACTATCACAGCCATGTTGATGAGACATCTCGGGAACTCCACGCTTGTTCATTCACGTTCAGATAAGAGCTGCCTTTTCAGCAGTAGCCATCAAAACGAAATTATACTGACATTGTTTCAATGCATGGAGACGTTACAACATTTGCATTGTTGAAAGGGTTGACGAGGGACACACATACACATGTACACCATAAACACATTGTTCATAATTCTAAGCTTGCATTTGCCTTAATATGTTTGAGATTTAATCTCAACACTCTGAACGTGGTTATATGAACACAATAGTCCAACATCTGCCTTGTGCTTGAAGAAAGAATCTCACAACACAAGAGTAATCCTGGAAAGAGCACACTGCACAGAGTATGTTTCATCATTTGTCACAGTGTTTCCTTCCTGGAAGCTCCACCTCATCCCGTTTCCATTGCAACCGCATCTTAGGATTATCTGTCCAGCCGCCGGCACTGCTTGATGAACTCATCCAGAGTTCTGTGTTTGTACTCTTCCCATTGGAGGTTAGCATCCAGACGGTCCACCAGCTCTTCCTCGGACGGGAAAGGTTTGGCCTATAAAATTAAACGCAGTCAGTTCAATGAACCATCCTCTTTTTTCTTTTCTTTTAAACAAATGATTAAAGTTGATTCGTTAGTGCAGGAAACAAATGTGTTAAAAACAATATTTTCCAATGCGAAAAACGTTATATTAACTATTTTTAATGTCGATTGGTCAGTTGAGGCTATATGACTTCTTGCATCACTGTTGAGCAAATTACCACATGACGTCATCCAATAGTCATGAAGTCACAAAATAGCAACATTTAGTAATCTGAGGGTTGACGTTTTATAGGATCTGGGTTTACATTGTTCGAAACTACCTTATAGATGAGATTACCGTAAATCTATCGAAAGGAAATCCTACACAGTCATAGCCTATTTTCGAAACTATCGAATACCACAGATATCGTAAAAATGTAATATATCTTAAGATAGCTCCTCCATACGTGTCCTCAGCATATACATTCCCTCTGCAGCCAAGATGGCGGCATATATTGACATGCATAAAAAATATATTTAATGCTGCTGCTGCTGCTGCTGCTGCTGCTGCTGCTGATGATGATGATGATATATATTGATCAGAAAACCAAGAATATTCCGAGATGGAACTCGTCATCTCGATATACTGGAGCTTTTCTCATGCTATCGAATGCATCGCCAAGCCATATTTCATCAATTTTGTAACTTTGCGACACACAGCTGATCGTCCATCTCCCCGCACATCCGAAAGTCCAAGTGCTAAGATCACTGTAGACTAAAATCACAACTTGCAGTTAGTCCGTACCAACTTAGATCACTGTTGTCCCTAAATATACGTGATCCATAGCTATCGGCTCGACAGCCTAAAAATATGTTTTATGCGAGTCGATGCTGAAAGAAGTGTGAAACATCATAATTTTATGTATAACTTGCGAATGATGAAAACGGAAGGTGTATGCAGTCTTTATCAATGACCTAGCTATCTACTCAGTGGTAACTAATCTTAGTTCATACTCTAGTTTTGAGTGGTGTCCTTTATATATACAACCAAACACTTAGATGGTCGGTACATGTAACGTGACAACTTCTAAATGTGCTCCCTTGTGAACGAAAGTCAAATTAGTCACATTCAAATTTTGCAATTTGAAAGTGACAAACTCCTGAATTAGCTCTATTGTCGCAAGGGAGCTAATTAAGGAGTTCCATGTTCCATGTACAGAATATCTAGTTGGTCGGTTGTATGATAAATGCATGGGATTACCCATATAACTACATCACATTTCTTTCTGTTATGTTAAGGTGGTAATATCATCATTTATGATGAGAACTAAACGTCTACATATGTGATACATGTAGGATTGTGCAGAACGTCACTCAAACAGATGCATGTTAGACCATGTGACGTGATGAAAACGATCAACCCATCCTGAGTACTTCTTGCTTTTCTAGGTACTATTATTGTTTTTGTCCTCGTGAAATCCTTGTCCTTGGAAAATACTCGTGACGTCATTGAGAAACACCCCACTATTTCAGTCTCGAGTACAATTGAGCTGCGCTACCTAGGTATCATAGCTATGTACGAAATGCTTTGGTTTACGTCTGCACGAATAGGTTCACGATTTATTGGAAAATGTATATTATCGTAAACATAAGATATATTGTCTCTGAAGTTGTTAAAAGATTTCTCACTTAAGATCGTTTCTAACATCTAGACCCTGATATTTTCTCATCATTTGCTCATTCAAATATAAATAATATTGAATAGGAATACCTTTAGTCGTATCAGTCCGTAGATTGCATCATCGCAGTGCTTCATGAAGAACTTCTTATTAATCTGTAGAATTTCACACTCCCCGCTTACCTACAATGACAGATAATAAACTAAAACAACTAAATTCATTATTCAACTTCGTTAAGGAGGATTTACTTGACGGTAGGGGCGTAGGTGGGTAAGCAATGCAATGCTCCTCGCTCTTTAGACTTGCCAGTATCCGATGGTCGAATGTTCGAATCCAAGATTCTCCTCCATTATGCTTCGTGGTAATCAGCACCATACACTGTGTAGATGTGTTCGTGCTCAAGTTCTACACGTGTATGTGTATACGCCTGCATCATCTGGGGCTTGCCTTTCTCATTAAGCAGAAATAATTCATAAAACTGAATGACTTTCGAAAGGGTAAAACTATTTTAAAACATATAATTAATATATTATTTACTCACTTCATTGACATATGGAATTATATATTACTTCATTGTATATGTTACGTATAGGATATTTAGTTATTGGCGTATTAATTGTGCAGTTTAAGATGCATGATTTGAAAATTGTATTGACGTGACGTGTTCATAAGAGCATCTGTAATGTATTGAACTCACTAGACTGACTGCAGGTCCTCTCTCTTCTGCATCCAAGCATGCACGTAAACCCTGGAAAAATGGACAAATCCAATCATTACGTCACACATTGGTGAGAATTTGGATTTGGATAGCAAAATGTCATAAGCCAAAAGTATTTTAATATAATGTTATTAATATACTGAAGTACCAGCGATCATATTCGGGAGAGTTGGGGGGGGGGGGGGGGGGTTATTGTTTTCGGATAATGAGCCATGACAACCTTCTTTTTCTCTGAAAGTATGAGCCCAATTTATTTGATTCACAAAACACCATGTCCTGTACATTTATTTATATTTTTCAATCTGAGGCAGTGTTTTTTTCGAATCGAATTCAATTTCCAAACACACACACACACACACACACACACACACACACACACACACACACACACACACAAACGCACGCACATGCACGCACACACACACACGTAGCATATCAAACGGTCGGTTTTTTAATTATCTATTTCATAGACTTTAACATGTCACACATACAAACACTTGTCCTGGATGCAAAGTCTCCACTTGGACGAAGGCAGGAAGAGTTGTCTTTCCTATCGTTATCTGGCCGCCCTTTGAAGAACACCGACCACTTCCCTGCGAGCGACATGTGCTCATCTGACGTCCCAAACCTAGGGAAACCCTGGACTGTCTCCTGGAGTCTTGCCCTTTCGCTGTTCCATTGCTCTTCGGAACTCGTCCTTGTCTGACCTTGTCACTGAGGTCAATAACCTCGACCCCATTTTCTAAATTATCTTGACCTTTACTGTCTCCCTCGTCACTGTCGTTGCCTCCACAGACAACAATTTGAGGTAGTTTGTTTTCTGGCTGATTGAGAACAGACTGTGTGTAATTGTTCACTAGGGTCTTTTCAATTGGGTCTCTACAAGGGGGCGTGGCTGGTAGACTAAGAAAATCGCGGTGGGTCCCTACACAGGAGCGTCGTCCTGTAGGGGGTGCGGACATCGCCCCGTCCCGGCGTCCAGGGTGGTAGGAGGAGGGTCTGTAGGATGACTTAACTGAAAGAGAAACAAAACATATCCTATGATGTAATGATGTATTGGATTTGGGACCGACCGTAGTCCACACAATCCCCAGGTCACCCTCCTCTTATAAGATATAGGCGATATATTGTCGTCAGAAATCGCCAGACAGTAGAATGTAATGATAAGTATTAAACCTGTTTACTTTCTTGATAATTTGGAACATTTTCTCTGGATGGGAGATATAGAACTTCAGGGACGTATATCAGTCAAGAAAGAGAACTCAAGATAAGACACAAACATATACACACATGGATCGTACACCAGGAGATCAATTGTTTTCTTTGTTTGGTTTGGCAATTAAAACATTTCAGCTAAATGTAGGATTAAAGCCCATTATCATTCATGTCGTCGGCGTCTCCCACTTCACTACCATTCTTGTCCCCTGGGGGATATGTACAAGGGGATTAAAAGGGTCCAGTAGTCGGGCTCGGAGACTTGGCTGATTGTGTGTCATCGTACGCCGAGGGGAGTGGAACCGCCGTCACATATGCTGGAACATTGCTGTATGCAGCGTTCAACAAACAAACAGACAAACAAAATGTAAAACCAAGGAGCACGATCACAGAGCCACCATGACCAGGACGAGTGTGGGAATGGAACAACGATCAGAGCAACATAACTCCTTAACATTTGGAAGAGATGTAGGTATAAATTGTCTTCCTGTGTGCAATGATTACGAGCGTAGTGTAAATAATCTTACCTTGAATGTGATTCTGATTGGCTGAGATCGATTCTATTATGTTCATGTTCCCGCAATATGTAAGGTGCATTTCTTATGTTCCAGCCTGAATTGCCATAGTAGGCATTTTTGCAATTGCAACATACCAACAGAACTAATAATCTGGATATAGTTATGTAAGCCATTCTCCGAATATTTACGATACTTTCCAAATGAAATAGATCAACGGGGAAGAACTATATATTTATTTACTGTCGTTTGTTAGTTTTCGATGAATGTGACAACTGAAAGATATTTAAGTGTGCAGAAAGAAACTTCGACGTAAATCGGTCCCTCAGTTGACATGGCTCGATGTATCTTTGTTCCTCTTCGTGCCCGGGTAACATAACCTAACTAGCATCGGTCAATACATTATCACTCGTTCTCCATCAAAAGAGTTTGAACAAGCCTCACTGTAGTCGCGATCTTCTATGAAGTTGAGTATCTGCTTCTTCTTATGGAATGACGACTGTGCTGCCAGAGCCGATGCCACCTTCCTCCTTCTGGCCTTGAGGTCGATGTTGTCTGGCTCGAGATACTTCAGTATTCTGGCCTCTCCCTGCAACGTACATAGCGGAGGAATCAGGATGAAGGACTCAAAACACGCACTTATTGTGTGTTTAAACGTTCTCTAGTCTCGTTTTGCTAAAAGCGCTAAAGCTGTTTAACTCCCCTCCAACACACTACTTCACTATTTACGTCACGATCTCACAGACCAACTACGGAACTATTTACGTTACGATCTCAAAGTCCAACTACGGAACTATAGTTCGTCATCCATAATTTTGGCCCCCGTTTTTTCACAATTATTTTCCATTAAACATACAATCAGCCGACGAAAATGACTTTTATCGAATAATAATCATTGAACAAACCAAAGTTACCAGTTTTGTAAAATTTCACGTCCAAAAACATATTTTGTTCATTGTTATCATGTCATTTTGTGACCGTTGACATGACACTGTATTGGGGGTGAGAACAGACGATTTAACTTCTCACAACAATGACATATTGTGTGTCAAACATTCATGCTGCATGCATGACCCAAGGTCGCCCTACACCTCAGGTCATACCAACAGTAGTGTTATAGGTGAGGAATCCTGTACATATGTTGTCGAAGAATGCCCGTGATATTATTCCTGAGGCGTGTGTGTAAAAGAGTAACACCCTTGGTATCTCTTCGTTGTTTCACAAAGACAACATTGCATGCAACCAGCATATCTCGAAGGACTTTATAACGAATTATCTCCCCTTGATAAACGTTTGAAATCTGCAGATGTGGAACCAAAGGGGGCCATCCCAATACCAAAGAAGAATTAAAAGCTAAGACAGTTTTGAGAAGCGGGTACCATTTGTTTTTGATTTACTTCTAAACAGTATGTTGACAAAGACATTGGCCTCCGATCTTCTGACGACTGCGCACCTGATGTAATGTATTAATTTTCAACTTCGGGGATTGTTTTAATCAACGGTTCTAGTAAATCAAGTGTTGATGATATGCTGAGGTAGTTTAATTATATTTCATGTTATAACCCATTTTAATGTATTTACATGTCTTTGAGACATCTCTCATCATCGGTCTTGATATCAAGGTGACCTAGGGTCATGCATGATGCAAGCATGTTTGACACACATCATGTCATTGTTGTGAGATGTTAAATCATCTGCTCTTTTCCCGCACTACGGGGTCATGTCAGCGATCACGAAATTACATGATAACAGTGAACAAGTGTTTTCGGACATGAAATTTTACATGTGTAGTATAACTATAACGCAGAAATGTATGCTATGTGTTTAACATGGCTTTCCGTTTCGTGCTACACCACACAGAATGCTACACTAACTTGTCCCTCTGCAGGGTCCGATCCAGATCTCTTCACAATAACATTCAGTGAAACCCGGATCAGATTAATATCCTTCCTGTAATCCCTATCGGGAGGGCTATACAAAACGTGTGTTCAGATTAATATCCTTCCTGTAATCCCTATCGGGAGGGCTATACAAAACGTGTGTTTTCGAATCATTAGTCAAAATCTTGGGAACCGATAAAGGTATTAACATTTCATCTAATAACAGATACATTAACTATGTTATGACAGTATAGTTACCCATTTTCCTCACACTGCTACCTTGTAACAACATGTATATTACCTTCTCTGTTTAGCAGCATAAGCCATGGCTTAGGAGCACATAAGCAGCCTACTACACATCTGTGTACTTCTACTATTAATATCACCACTACTATGACTACAACAAGTCCTGATAATTCTACTTCTACTATCACTACTCCTACCATCACTACCATATTGACTTCTACAACCACCACTACTATCACGCTGACTTTTGCTACAACTACTACTACTACTACTACTACTAGTACTAGTACTACAAGATTGATCTTTACTATTGTTACGACAACAACTACTACCACCACCACTACTACTTTGACTTATTACTACGACTGCTACTACACCGACTTCTATTATTATTATTTACAGATTAAAATAAAAAATGCAGCAAAGAGGGTTTGGGTGATCCTGGCACAGTCAGGCTGGTTAGGTTCATCATCAGCAGGGCCCTTGCCCCCTCTACACGCTGCCCAGACAGCCAGATTGTCAGAAGGGCAGCAAACCAGGGTACTCTCCCAATGTCAGTCAACAGATTGGGAGGTACCAAACCTAAGGCACCGAGAACAATGGGGAGTCGGACAACTTGGTACTTGGGATACAAGTGTGACATTTCGAAAGCGAGGTCTGCATATTTGCCATGTTTTTCCTCAATCTTGTCAATCACATTAGTGTCAAAAGGGACAGAAAATTCAATAATAAAAAAGACAAGATCAGGTTTGTTGGCCTGGTAAGGTCTGAGGCTTATTCCAAAGAATTTTGTATTGATCATTTTCCATGACGCCCTCTACATATTCCGGGTCGTACCATGAATGGACCTCTGTATCAAAACCACAAGATTTGAAGAGACTCTAATAAAATGATCAAGCCACTCCATCATGTCTCTTAAGATACTGTGTTTGTGCCAACGCTGGGCATCCACTGACAATGTGTTGGACAGTCTAATTAAATTCATTACCTAATCTACAGTTCATATTTACATTTTGGTGCACATTGACGGTTTCGGCTGGGAAGTGACTGGTCCTGAGCAGCAAACAGAAAGCCTTCTGTTTCACTTTTCAGGCCAGACGACTTCATCCAAGCGAAGGACTCTGCAGGGCTGCCGTACCTCTCAACACACTGCACAGAAACTCGATGCAGTGGTCGTTCAGATAGCATCCTCCGGCATCTCTGGGCCGATGTGATATGACATTTCTCTTGGTTGACACTCATTTTCGTACCGTCCAGCAGTACAGAACCATCAGCAAAATCAACACTGACATTGAGATTATGTCCCACATCCTTGGATCGTGATCATCTACGAAAACTGTGGAATGTCTTGTTTTCATTATTACTGTTTTGTTATTACTATTATTATAATTATTATTATTATTATTATTATTATTATTATTATTATTATTATTATCAGATTAGAATTAAAATGTAGCAAAGAGTGTTTGGGTGATCCTGCATTTGCAATACGTTTGGTGACAACACAGATAATGCCGGTCACAGGTACATGAGAGCATAATATAGAATCTACATCCAACAACAGGAATTCAAACTGGAGATACTTTGTAACTGTGTAACATTTAACACATTTAGTGTGATGAATCAGAACAAAATACTGAAATATCTTACCGATTTGATGACGTAGATCCAATCGACGTCGTTGCTGTCGCGTGCAATTAACCTCCCGTATCTGTCAACACCAAGGTTTGATTTGAGATCAATGGCATGTTAATCAAGGTAATAGACACCCTCTATGTATTGCTATAGTATTGACACCAGCGCTGTAGTACTTGATTAATGTCCTATGATCAATACCACCTCTATTGTGGAAGGATTTACAACATGATGAGTTTTCTATAATAGCCCTGGTCGCAGAACACCCCCTTGCGTGCCTCTACTGTGTTTAGAGTCAAGCTCCAAAAGATTGATGTGAATACATAGGAAATGGGTAGTCACAGGCGACTAACGCCATCACTCCCTCGTGTTCGATTGTGTCGCGGCAGACGCTAAGTTGAATAACGTTGGCGAAAATGTCGCTACTGTCGAAGGGGATCGTGAAGTGAGAACCGAGATAAACGTGTTTCAAATGTTCAGGTTAATCTGTCTCACAGTCCCTGAAGGGGGCACGGTTGGCCCAGTCGTCTAAGGCGCCGCGATTCGCTGTGCAGAGCTGCGTCCCTTGGGGACGCCCAATTATGTTTCTAGGTTTGTCAGCACCATACCCGTGCTCGTGGGTTTCACCGAAGTGGTAAACGTCTGAGACCTGCATCACTTCGGGCTTTCCTCCCGCATTAAGCTGACACACCGTGATATACCTGGAATACTGTTAAAAGCGGCGTTAAACCCAACTCACTCACTCACAGTCCCTGAACCATATTTTCCCTTCGGCCCAGCCCTTACTGAACTGCAAACGCCCTAAATGAAGCTAGTCTATATTTCTGATATGAAATAGCGTTTTGGGCGGGGTCGTAAAATTGTAACAAAAATGGGTAGGTTTACATGCGTCTAACGTGTTTCGTGTTATATAGAAACGCGGCATTACATATATTCCACCGCATACTGGCCCCATGGACTGGGTGGTGGAGAAACGCAGTGTGGACAAATAATTACATTAAACTTCCATACTTCCCCAAACCAACGGAGTCCAGCATGAGGAAGAAAACTGATAGAACTCACTTGTATCTGAGAGCGCTCCACATTCCTGGGTTCTCCGCCAGCCGAGCCATGGGGAAATGTTGAAACACAATATGCTGCCTGCAAACAAAGGAAGCATACTTTAGTTATCTGAAATAAGAAATAAATCGCTTTCGAAAAGATAACTATGAAGCGATGATGAACCCGCGTTAGAAGTCCAAAACTTGTATTTTTGACAACGTCGCCACATAATTTCCGAGCATGTCCTCCGTACCACTGATTGCACACTGTTGTGTAAGTTGAGTTCCTAATCGTGCAAGGATCTTCTGATCCTAGATTCTAATCTCAAACGAATCAAATTTGCAATCAGCAATATTCAAGTTTTGTCATACATAATTGTGTTTGGACCAGGCAAATCAAAGGTTGACAGCACGAGAAACGATTACACGCAATCAGTCAACCACATAGACCGACCGATTTTCCTTCAATACAAGCATACGGTGTTCAGGGCCCATTCCGAGGGCCTCCGTGATCCAGTGGTAGAGCGTCCGCTCCGAAGGTTCCGGGTTCGATCCCCGGCCGCGTTAAAAGATGGTACGTCTGTCTGGCGATCGGCATTAAGGGGCTCGAACAAGGACTGATCAGTTCGGAGTCAGTATACTGTGTCTGGGTCGGGTATACTGCGGCATGGTATCTCAGTGGGCTAGCACTATAAATCGGCATCAGTCAGTACAGGGGGTTAAGTTTGGTATTCTCATAAGTTGCACGTTGATTTTCACCGGATATCGATTGTCATATCTCTCCCACCTGTGGGTACGATCGTCCGGCCACTGCGTTCATCTGCGTTGCCCAGCTACATCTATGGGGAACAACTAACCAGACGCTTCGTCCTACCTCTCAAAAATAACGTCGTCCAATTTACGACGTTATCAAATATTGAACGCATGTTCGAATCTCCCGAAATCACGTCATGATAAAACAATGTTTATCGTGAAATAATAAGCTTTATCGCTTTTTTTAAACGTCGTATTTTGTAATTTATCGCTTAGCTATCTTATATTCGTCAATAGAAGGTAGTAATGATTTGTAAAATTATAATCGTTTTGTTACTGTAATATACATGTACACTGCAGTCGCCTTGAGAGTGTTCGATCCCCCGGCCATCCCAAGAAACGTTAAAAGACGGTTCTTATTACCCTGTCTGGCACTCGTCAATATGAGGCTAAAACAAGGACTGGTTGGCTCGGTGTCAGTATCGATGTTCATGATAAACTGCGACATGGTACCCCATGCAGTGGGCAAGACCGGCTTTAGACTAGACCTGGACAAGTAACAACACACACGTGCTTTAGTGGTTTTCAATGCAAAGTACGATACTCTTCACCGCGACGTTAAACCCAATTCCACTTCACCACACCTACACTGAGGTTACTGATCAATGAACAATCTTTAACAATGCACTTTTACCCTGTATACGTGTGTTGTACAGAGAAGCTGCCACAGACGCATCGCGTGGGGCAGACAGCAAGTGATATTGATGCCTCTTACACATGAAATACAGTCAAATGACGTGACCAATGTAGATCAACATAAGACAAAGTATGTGTGTTGACACGCTTCTTAAACAAGTTACTTACTTGCATATTTCGAGGTTCTTCGGGCTGTTAGAGTCATCTGACATGTCGAATATCTTCTTGTAGTCCTGGAAACAAAATGTCACCACGCTATTCAGGGTTAAATCAATATATTGCGGGCTATCATGTTCCAGTACACATGCATAATTAAACCCACACGACTGCAAACACGAGCCTGACTGATGTGTCAACACTGAAATGGACAATACATTCGCCTGACCATGCATCCGTCTTGTCATACAGTCCGAATGAAATGTACAGCATGTGAAATACACTTCCAAATATAACACATTCAATAAAGACATAATTCCGTCGTTGTTACGTAGAACCTGGATCAGATAAGATTACATTCACAAATTGAACAAAATATTTACCTTTATGTACGTATATCAAATTATGAAATATCAGCGAATTAAACCGCGCAATGTATTCCCCGCGCCGCGGTGTCGCACTGTCGTGAGTCCCCGCCTTGTGAAATGTACATGCAATATACATGAAATGTAGCTTTATTCACGGAGCGCTATCAATCACACAAGCACGGATCATTACCCGGTCAACAAAGGTCCCGTGTGGATCATAGCGGTAAGTCAATGAACAACGACAACATGTCAATCAAATGATTGTCTGGCATATAAATGAGGCTTCGTAAGACCGTAACACGGTGTACATTTCTTCGTGAATATGCGTCGACACTGTTTCGTTGTAAATAATGTGTATCACCTATTGTGTTATATTTGAGAAATACATGTCACAAGTAGCACTGATTGAAAAAAATGATGACTTAGGTTATTGTTTCACCGCACAAAAAAATATTCAACTCATGCATTTACATCACTATTTGTGTTTCAGCCGTTACTTCATCGTTGATGGGTATTTTATTTTTTTAGAATTCTAATTCTATTACATATTTCCTTATCCATACAAAGGATAATAGTATCTCTTATACGTATGAACCACATCATCCACATCCATGTTCATATTAAAACGTTCAAATTGCGAACATAATTAATATAAATGTTGCCACTTTTAAGATGCGGTAACCAATTAAAGTGAACGCATTGTTTCATGTGTACATCAAGTGCATCCAGGGGGCACGGGTGGCCAAGTCGTCTGAGCCGCCGCGATTCGCTCTGCAGAGGTGTGTCCCTTGGGTACACCAACAACCTATGATTGTGGGTTCGAATCCCGGTTCGCCCCGATTATGTTTTTAGGTTTGTTAGCACCATACCCGAAGAGGTTAGACATCTGAGACCTGCATCACTTCGGGCTTTCCTCCCACATTAAGCTGACACGCCGTGATATAACTAACTTAATGTTAAAAGCGGCGTTAAACCCCACTCACTCACTCACTCACTCACTATCTCAATTCCATTCAGGTAAATTACAGGTCTACATAGCCGCAACAATTTGATGCAACGCCGTAGAGACGGATTAATGGCCCGTCTGCATTTGTACGTGCTCAAATAAGTGTCCGAAAAACCGAGTTTCTGGATTAACCAGGTTCCGATGTATAATCCATATATTTCAACTCGTTTCCGGCAGATGCAGTAAATAAGTAGAAAATTGTATGAAACCAACATTAGCACACAAACGAGTCACTCCAAACTGTAGCTCTTTCATATGACCCTGTGTGAAGCGCGGCACTTGTTGATGTGGGATTTACACATATTGATTCTGTGCCAACCCATCCGTGATCGTCAACACAGGCGAGGGATCAGCTCGGTGATGGCAGCGATTTAGGGTATTTCCAGTGATACAATACCGACGTTGATTGTCTCAAAATTGATTGTCAAGTTCTTGACATTCTATATCGTGCTTTTCACGTAGATCGGTTTCGCGTTATCACAGTGCGGGTTTACTTCAAACACGACGCGATGTTATTGCATTATACTTGTTAAAGGGACATACCCTTTAATCTACTGTGTATTTTGGCTATGACAGGTTATTTTCTTCCAGCATTTTCGAGAACAATATCCTTTTTTCATCAGATTAAATATATAATGGTTCATCCCTTAAGTGGGTCCGGTTAGTGTTTCGGTTACCTCCCTTACCTATACCATGATCTGATGACTGTTTGAATACCAGATCCGCTATGATTATCGTTCCTACTTTTTAAGTGCCATACGGAGTTCGTGATCAGACGAAAGTGATTTTCCACCCAACGAGCATGGTTATTCACTTCACACATAATTCTTACGCAGTTTGTGAACATTAATGAGTATTTATATAAATACTAGGGGACCGTTGACCAGTATAAATCCCATTAAATGACATCTTGTGAAAAATACAAATGAATATTTCATTCCGACAAAATATAACTTATGAAAAGTAAGCATTTTGTTTGTGGATTTGTTTGTTTCAAATTGTTGTTTTTCACGTTACTCATGTATTTTCAAGATATGCAGAGCGGGGTGTAGTCAATCGAGACACGGACATGCCAACCAGTGGTCAATAGCATGATGATCACTCCACGACGTCGGTGTACGATATTAATCAGTCAGTTCACCGAGTCTGGCCATCAAATCTCCATTTAGTCCGACCTCACGATAATCCCGACGTACTAGCGTGCAGCCCCATCCTTATCACCCCACAGGGAGTAAGATTATCTTTAAAAATTATTATATCAAATTTTAAGGATTGCGAAGGGTTATATTAAATAGATGATGATAATTCAAACAGTTTGACGTGATGTTTATGTTCGTTTTGTTATTCTCTACCACGTTGCAGACAGACGTATATACGTGCTACTACTCACAATCCTGTGGATGTACAATAACTCCGTCTTCGTCCTCGTCAGCACCGTGTGTCGCCTTTTACACCCGCATATCAAGTCGTCCTCCTGTGTTGTCACCATAGCACATTAGTTATAAAAACACATAGTGGACTATTGTACATTAATTTTCAGCGTTATTAGAATACGAATAGAACTGTGGAGTAAACAGATTGATTTTGTGTTATGTGCGCACAGCCACTAGGTAATCCGAAGTGTAGGACTTGAATAAATGCAAGAATGAGTTTTGTTTAACTCAGCAATATTCCAGATATACTATGTGCATGTTGATCGAGGCAGCCTGTAAATAATCGAGATTAAACTAAATAAACCACTGATTGAAAGGAACGGTTCTCAGAATCAGGGCACGATGTGACCCTCAAATCCAAATCCATGAACATCCCCGTTCTTTTTATATAAGATAGAACGTAGAATATATTTAGTACCACGAATAGAAGGTAAATACTTCTATCTGTTCTATCACGATTCACACTCGATGTAGACCCGTAAAGATCCGGGGTAGAATAGGTATTCAGTAACCCATACTTGCCGTAAAAGGCGCCTATGCTTGTCGTAAGAGGCGACAAACGGGATCGGGTGGTCAGACTCGCTGACTTGGTTGATGCATGTCACCGTATCCCAATTGCGTGGATCGATCCTCATGATGTCAACCACTGGATTGTCTGGTCCAGACTCGAGTATTTACAGACCGCCGTCATTTAGCTGAATATTGCTTTGTGCGGCGTTAAACAACAATTAAACTAAACTAAATCATGCTCGGTGTATTGTGTCAGTATACAACGTTATGTTGGATGCCCCAGTTCAAACATCATAAGACACTAATGTAGTCCCCTTTGGGAATGACACTTCGTACTTACACCGAACTTCTGTCCCGATTTGATCTCCACTGGCTGCTTTCTGCCTTCTACTTTTTCTATCACTGAAAGTAAACAGGAGATTCCGTACACATCCTCATGACATAGCGATAGTTGAAAAACCAAGGGCTTAGGGAACAGTTCAACAGGCCATGTTAATGCCTTAAGTCTGGGGTTGGGGGTGTCAACATAATCGCAATCTTCCACCTGAGAAAATACATACACTTGATTATACACGCATAGATAACCGCAACAAACATCCTAGATCGAGGGTGCAAAAGCATTGTATATAATTTGTGAGGTGCGGTGAAATGGGATTTAACATGGCGTTCAAGATGATTGCACCACTTAAATAGCGACGTGCATCAACGCGTGTGTGGGGGTGCTTGTACCAGTCCTGGCTTATGTCGTTTAAGTGCTTGCCCATTGAAGTACCATGCCCAGTTTAACATGGACACAACGCTCAGACACAGTATACTGACTCCGAGACCATCGGTCCTTGTTTTATCCCCTTAATGTCGAAGGCCTAACACAAGTGTCATCTTCATACACAAGTTTTACATGATCACGAATTATAACCTGTAATAGTTTGACTAAATACTAATCATAGCGTCACCCGTAGTCCTAACAGTATGCCGCTTTGTCCCCATGTTAACGCTTTTACACATTACAATTTCCTGCCACATTTGATTGTTTTCTCATCCCCCCGACCCTACATCCTAAAACACAAAAAAATACTCATGAAACAATTTCCGACCAAAGTGTTTAAAACATACATCTGTTAACATGTTTATGATAACAGAAGACGGCTTGCTTCCCGGATTAAACCATAACCGGGTAAACATGTACACCACATGAAGACTTCTCTGTGTTCATGGTATGAAGCGCTTCTAAAATATCATATTTCTACGCATGATTTTAAGGCACTGTGTAAAATATTCAGCCTTACATGCCTTAAAAATGAGGATATTTACTATATATCCGCGTAGAAGAAACTCGAAGACATTACATCCTGAAATCTGAGATTTCAGGTCTGGTCGTACTACTTCATATCTCGAGTAGTGCAAAGTAACATACATGTACATGTCCATGCAGAGGAACATTTCATTTGCACATTAACAAGCGAGACAACTCCAGCTAAAAGAAGGACTGCTGACTGCAATGAATCTCCATTTTTAATAGTTTGCCTGTAAAAGGTCAGGGGTTCGACCCCCGACCAAATCAGACAGAAATACGTTAAAATACATTTCACCTCACAATTCTGCTGTATGCTTATCACGCATGAAGAAAACATGTTTGACATTAAATGTCAAACTTAAAACCGGAATATGGAAGACCTCTAGCTATGCATACACGTATGGACTACTCACATACTCCTGACAAGACGAAGTAGTATCCGTCAGCTGTTAATCCTTTCTTTATTATAACTCGATTGTAGGCGAAACTGGAATGGAAAAGAAATCGTAGGAAATGACACCCATGGTACTACTGTCTCCAGCCGGAGCGTCATGACGTCACATTGCCAAATGGTGATAAGAAGTATTGTCAACGTTACGTCATCTGAACAATTGGTTGACGTTACTGGTTACTTTGATTGCCTATTTAGAAATGGCAACGAGTAAACTATGGAATAACCTACCTGAAAATCAACTGTTTGGTCCATAGTGTTGGGTTTTACGCCGCTTTTAACATTATTCAAGTTATATCACGGCACTTAATGTGGGAGGAGAGCCCGAAGTGATGCAGGTCTAAGACGTTTACCACTTCGGTGAAACCCACGAGCACGGGTATGGTGCTGACAAACCTAGAAACATAATCGGGGCGAACCGGGATTCGAACCTACAATCATAGGTTTCTGGCATGCCCAAGGGACGCAACTCTGCACAGCGAATCGCGGCGCCCTAGACGACTGGGCCACCCGTGCCCCCGTTTGGTACATAGGCTTCACAAAAGAATAGCATTACGTTGTCCGGAAACTGGTTTTATTTCACTGAAGTTTGTTTGTAAGTTTGATATTTCACGTTTTGTCTTCATTCCATTGCCAAAATGACGTACAACTTTCTTCATTTTTCAGAAAGAAACACCAGTTAATACATATATAACGAAATTCAGAACTACTGGTTCCCCGCTCATCGTGAATGAATGCTGAAAGCCCCTTTCGTCTCGATGTTTATTCATCGTTCACTCATACGTGATTTCCGGATATGAACGTTGTTTTATGCATCACTCCATCAACAGGTTTAACATTTGGGCATTGAAGACAAATTAAAAGCGCTATAAGTAAGATGTGTTCTTGAAATTGAGAGGCATGGATATTGTTGACCTTAATGTACTTGTGAACGGAATATCGCATAACCCGTTAGGTTAGCTGTATGCAAACGGTCCAAACTGTTCAAGCTGCTGGCCTATAAACACCACTTCCACTTAGACCAATCAATGTGCAACCAATGGCCCTTGTTTATTTACGCTCGAGAAGTTTTTTTTAATTGATTTAAATACGGGGATTCCTTAAACATTATCTGATACTTCATTTCCTTGAACTAATGAAAACAGATGGCTGAGAAGAAAAATTGTCAAAATCATTTAACTTGCACTCACTAGTTTTAAAAATGTAGTGAAGATATATATACATGTATGTACGTCCTGATGACACCAGCAAGATATATACATTGTTACATTTTATTTACTGTTTTGTTAACAGATCATCGACGTGTGGTAATTAAGAGGGGCTGTGCTCCGCGGTCTAAAATTGTTGAATTGTGTTCAAATAACATTGTCTCTGTTTCACTATATAATATATTTAAAAATCAAATAAAAAATAACTTAGACGACAAACAAAGCTGCAAACAAGCGTTTTGCAGACAGGCTTGCAATTGGACCTGCCAGGTTGCAGAGACAATACCTCCTTTAAAAGCTGTGGAATTGTTGATTCGGCGTTAAGCATTATGTTCTCAGTCGATTTTGGGAGTTCAGATGTTCGACGTCGGATGATAAGGAAATTCCGAACGTTTTGAGACATACCCGCTGTAGCCCAACACAGGACGTAAAAAGTGCCGATCAGAGTATCTGTTGACTTGAACTTAAAAACTTTGGAAAGTTGACTTTGTCGACAAATTGGACACCTTATAATTTTCAACAGCAAAGCGTAAAGCGCTGCTTATTTCCCAAATGAGGATTTAATCTTTGTCCTCACTTAAGAGTCACTGGCTTCTTTTCCATATAAATCCCGACTGGAATTTGTAACAGTCGTGCCCTATGTGGAACGAGGCTCTCACTGTGATGTGTGTAGGTCACGTGTAACTTTATTTAACAACCTTAGGGTACAGGTTGATTGTTTCCTTTGAAAAGACCGAACTGTTGAACTGCTGCCTCATGAATTCAGAACAAACAAACCAATTGACAAATGGACGCTATATATTTCAGCCATGCGTCGCGGTAGGCACCAACAATGGACAGCCATGTGATGAGTGGGTTTAATAACTCCTGGACAAACACGGTGCTGATGTACAAGAAATGTGCATCACATATTGTACCAAAGTGGGAAGTCAATCGTGGGCTTTTCGCCACTCGTCCATTCAGTCTCGCACATTGAAAAAAATATGTATGAAATCTTATTCAAAATGACATTAATATTATCTGGATGTGATGTCATTAATGCATGATGCACAGTATTTCCTTTTACTTTTGTACTTTAGTCACTTATTCCTTGGGTACCGTTACTTTCATGAAAGTTGATTACCTTGTGATGTTGGACACAGTCACATATATTTGCGTCACACCATTTAAGATTGGAATAACCTTTACGAAGGACATGATTCCGTACATCTGAGTATGTTTTTCTATAGATCACAGAACGCCAGATGTTTGAAACAGAAAATGAAGTGGAAAACGTTAAATGTCAACACGACAATGAAAGTTCTGTGAAGACAACCTGATGTTCTGGCATGGTCCCCCATAGTGACAGGACACGATATGCCTTCAGTGTGTCGTACACAGCGATACAAACACTATAACCTGGACATGCCACTGTTACATCCACCATTGATGTATCATGACACAGATATGATAATTATACAATGGCTCAATGTAATTGTGCATATCAGTATCACACTTACTTGTCATAAAAGGCGACTTGAGCGAGTTGTTTCTGTACATACAGGGGGTAGTTGTCGAAGTCTCTCGATATCCCTTTCATTGCTCGTATAACCTGGCGGAATCAAAGAAGAGGTTAACCTGTTGGTGCGATGTACATTGTACCAGCCAGCTCAATGGTGGACACAGCGGGTTACGTGGGGCAACACGAAGGCTTGTCCGTTGATACTAGACATCGTATCTCCATCGATTAGTACTCTGTTGAAAGCACGCAATGGTTCAGGAATAAATGAGAACCTGATACTGGTCAATTGTCCCATAATTAAACACCTTTTTATGAGGTTAAAATGACCATTTTAGCTTTGAATCCACAATTTGCTTTAATCGCACTGAAGGGCCATCATTTGATGTGACGGGTGGTATGATGTGGGGTGTGGGAGGTTATAATTGCTTCAACACATATAATTCACAAGGACGTCCAGCATCTCCAGCGAAACTGCGGTAAAACTTCAAGTACAAATGTTCAGTATTTCCTGGACCATTTTACTCTAGAAGCCCAAGACACCATTCCCGATCATTCATTCAGTACCTCATGAGTGAGTGGCTCGGTGGAATTGAACTTTGCAAAGTAGTTCAGTTATATCTCAGCGTGTTCCCGTTTTGGTGAAACCCATGAAGAGTGGTGGCTCTGACAAACCTTAATGATTAATCTCGGATTCTAATATCAATTGTTAATGCAAGAACCAGTCTAGATTATCCTCCGAAACAGATTCCATTTGGCGTAAATAGCAAACTAGCTGTTACAATTATATGAATGGACCACTGAAAATCAATGATGACATCAGGTGGGTTAAAAAAAGGTTAGCATATTCTGCCCTACCGGTAACACCTGACATTCACACAATTTGCATAAAAAACATTCGAGCTCACGATCAGCACATTGTAGGTTGTTCCTTCATTCACAACGCGGCACATTAATTTGTTGCGCCATTGACGACTATGCAACCCGTGACCCGAGTATCATATATATGTAAACCAGATAAAACAACATATATGATAATCAATTTGTATTATTTGTAGGACAAATAAGCCCTGAAACTCCTGCTATATGTCCTCACCCCGGCGATCTGGTCTGGTGATCTTGTCCCAGGCGCCTGTTGAAGACTGAGCCGGACGCCGTCTGTCATGCAACTCTGAAATACAATCATTGTTCTATTACATATCCGTAGGAAATGTCCATATTGGATTTTATAAACCTACGAACTTCTCGATCGTGCAAGGACATCGTTGTTATGCTATAAATGATAAACATGACATATCTGTCACACACTAATTTTGCATTTTCACTTAGGAATATTACATAATGTTATTTAGGGGAAGGAAAAATAAATAATTTAGTATATAGCAGATACGTGTAACATTGACGGCCAATGAAACATTGAATAATTCTATCACTAATGCGCCTCGTTAACCAGTGTTATACCCCTGCATAAACTTACCTATTTGTTAAATCGGGTGTTTTTGCGGTTTGGAGTTGTCATAGAATATCGAGTTAACGTCTTAATTGGTTCTAGGACAGCATTTCTTCTGTAAGCGTGGCGGATAAACCATATAAATGTTTAATTGACAAACGTGTAACTAGCAACGAGAGAAAGCAGTCTTTATCTCGTAACACTAGCATCGATTGTGTTTGCACGCCAGGTGGAAACTGGCGATAGTTATTGGCACATGACCTATTTTGTATGAGAGCATTCTCTCTCTTTCTGTCTGTCTCTGTCTCTTCTTTATGTTTCAATTCCTCCCTTTTTCTCACCCTGCCTGTCTGTCCGTCTGTCTAAGAGAGAGAGAGAGAGAGAGAGAGAGAGGGTGGGAGGAATGGATACTATCTCCTTTCCCCCATTACTCGATGAGCGAAACTTATTTTACTCGACACATGAAATATCCTCGCTCCCTCCCCCTCTCTCTCTCTCACTTTCTTTCTCTCTCTCTGTGTTATATATTACCTCAGCCATTCGATCCCTCCTATACTCCCCAATGTCAAAGGTCAGTTGCTCTAGTTCTCTTTTTTCGTTTGGCACAAATGTGACGAATGGGCGTGGCCCCCTCTTTTTCTGCTGAATCTCTGTTGTGGCGACCAGGTTGTCTATCAGGGTGAACCAGGATTCTTTCTTGACTTTTTCGGCCAAAATGCTGAAACAGAATTGTGGCTTATACAGTTTATTACTTAAAGTACGTTTAATAATAGCAAATTTGTTCACACGACAAATGTAATTTAATGATTTGATTCGAAGGTTTACAGAAAATTATACTAGATGTAAATACTATATATTAATCACTGTTAGATTTTGTTGAGAATGTGTAATGTGAAAGCGAGAAATTCTATCTGTAATTTGCCTTTCAATGTAGGATTTATACATTAAATATATTTCATATCTTCATGACCTGTTCTCATCGCTACATCAGTCACACTATGCGACACAATGTGACGTTAATTTTAACTTTAGACTCATACATTAATTTCGTTAACGAAGAGTTAAGATTCTATGAGACTTTTAGTCAGGACTGCCAATGACCCAAACATTTCGCCTTTTAATGAAACCCATATTTCGGTGAGAGTTTTTTTTTCTTTTAGTTCTCCATATAGAGGCCGACATGTGGACACATCAACACACTCATGAACAAATCAGAGCCAATAGAGGTCATTGGTATGCATTGGAATTACGTCAGACACGCATATATGTTTGACACAAAATATAGATGTGCAGTGATTACATGTTACATTGTGGAAAGGACTATCTTACTTACTCTTTACAAGCTCTGCATACTTGGATGAGTCGCATCACAGCAATGGCACACCGACGGAAACGTTGAAACGGCTGACGATAAACACCAGATTACACGTTGTATTAAACTTATATGATATATTTTGACAATCCGTCATTGATATTGACATGGAACGGTAAATACTGTATATATACACTTATTAACTTAATAACTTAATAACAATCCTTCGCCCCAATCCGTCATTGATATTGACACGGTACGGTAAATACTCAGTCTGTATATATACACTTATGAACTTTTGATACGGAAGTTTCTATCATTATAACTCAAACCTCTTATCGTTATTCAAATGAGTTGTGATGCATATAGAGCATAACGTGTTGTTCTTGATGAAACATTAATAGTGACAATATGAAATTCTACATAAAAAGTGACGAAGTGAAAGTTTCTTCATCCATATAATGTTCACTGCTACTTTGCCTTTCACGCCCAATGGAAACTGTTTTGGTGGAGTTTCGAGTCTTGTTGTTCTCTGGAGCTTGACGAATTATATTCTCTGTACTAAACATTTTGATAAAATATTGTACTTATCGTGGCAACGCTTTATTAATTTGTCATTTTGAAAATCCTTATTGAGTGAAAAACATTTTTCCGGCATAGATTACATGCCTTGTCTGTTTTCTCTGATTGACGGGGTTCAGTAAATGATTGATTCTGAGCCAATCAAACCAGTGATTGGTGTCATGAACAACGTATCTTTGCATCTGGGTCAACTATTCACAATTAACCAACTCACTTAGCCTGACAAGACGATCTATGTATTCGCCATTTACGATAAGCCTAGATAAGCCGGCTGTGGACCTACTTTCAACCGGAATAATGATACAACACATTTCATGGTCTGCATAAGTATTATGACATGTGAAGAAGGGTCATCAGCAAGGGAATAATTTCACAACTAAATGATAATCAAATTATTATTTTCAATGCTCAAATGCTATCAGAATCAGAATCAGAATCAGTTTATTCTCAAAAACCACAGAAGGTGGTACAAGAGCATATTACAATAAATAATTATGTATATGTACAAAAAGCAGACAAGATGGTAGTTAATGACAACATGTGATTACCTAGCATTTTTAATACTAATGGACACTCTTACAATAAATTCGATAAATTCTTTAGATCCTGTGTTTTTGTTGTTGATAAGAGTTTTACAAATCATATAATATTTGGCCATTCAGTATAATATGATGAAAGAAATGTTTGCCTCTCTCTTTTAAAAAGAATACATCTGAATAAGTAGTGAAATTCATCAGCAATAGATGGAGAATTACATAATTTTCAGGTTCTATTTTCCTTTGGAATATTTTTCCATCGGCCAGTCAAAGGACATGAAAAATCTTCTTTCAGGACAAAAATATGTTTCAATGGTTCAAACATGCATTCATAATCATAAGGTCATGGTTTTCCTCAATACGTACCAAAAGATAATGAAATGAATGCAATCACCCTGTCGTGTTAGGTATTATCGCGAAGCGTACATCTGAGATCCACGTCAATATCTGAAGTAAAATCACCCACTGCGTAACGAACTAAACATGGCATCACATACTGCAGATAGTCATCACAGATGGTCAGGCAAGCTGATGTTTACTTTGTACAGCACAGGATGACCAGTGTGTCAGTGCCATTAAGTTCCCTTCATAATGTTTTGCAGACAATAGCACGACAGATATAATAACATACATGATATGACAAAACAAATATTTACTGATGAATATTTATGTGCTTACATCCTCACAATGGTCCGTCAAAAACGTATCACTTTCCTGTTCCTCTTGATCCTCATCGTCCATGTTTGTATAAATAAAATCCGTTTCCAATCACTGCTTCACAAGCCCGCCATGTTGTATTGAAACAATGCCCTGTCGTGATCTCCTAACCGTCGCATGATCACGCACAGTGTTATCAATAACGCAACTAAATGTGTCTGAAAATACTTCGATAATTGCAAACCCACAGCTCGGGTTACTGCGAGTGGGCATTGTACGAATGGCACAATTGTTCCCTCTATCGTTTTTTCATTCGTGTGTGCTGTACCATCGAGAACAGTAACGATTGCTCGCTTATTGGTTTCTATGGGGTGCTATTTTACAAGCTTGTTTGTTTAAAGTGATGGATGTTTATTGCAGCTATGGGCCCTAGTGGAGACTGCTAATTATACTGAGAACGAAAGGTAAAGGTTTATTATTGGTGTTTTATGTGATTTATGGCTTTCCTTATGACATATTTGCACGTGTGGTCACAGAGAAAAGTATGATTATCATACACTGCTGGCTACCATATTGTCCTCACGTCATAAAGTCTAAACATTCGCGTTAAACACTATTCACAAGGATCAATGGCAACATTAATTTTGATGACCTCAACTTTCCAACAGTAAACTTTTCCATTGTGTCGATAAATATCCCCGCATCTCCAAACTTTGGGTACAATCGAGCATGCTCTTTCTAAGAAGACTAACGTCATACGACTCTTTCTTAAAGATGGTTGGATCAGGGTTATATAAACTAAGTAAAGGTTTCGAAAGGATTTATGTCAGACACTCAGAGGACAATTCCAAATTTGACGAATGTCTGACTTGTGCTACATGTTCAGGTGCCCTTGATCAACTGGTGGTGCAGGATACGCTCAACCTTTTCAATGAAACCTGATACCATCACATTTTGATAGTTATTCATGAACACACACTTACATAGTAAGATATAGTCGGATTCGTACAACAGGCAGTTGCTAGAGCAGACATTTCTTATAAATGTGGACATTATTTGATCGCTTTTATTTACATTTAATGCATATCACTCAATGTCTGCATATACCACACGTTGTGACATGTATATGATTTATTATTTAACCAAAACTTTTTTTTACCTCGCTCATTTTGAAATAAGTATATGTAAGTATATTCTTTTAAGTACATTGCCATTTGGTATACACAGTGCTTTTTCTCAGCATTGAATTCTTGCCATACTGATGGCAACTTTATATCAGCAGCGCTATCGTAACTACAGATAATCAACTGTTCGCTTCTAACTTAAAACAAACAATGTTATATTTGTATAAGTGAACAAATGTATTATAGTATCGCCTCCTTGTGGCGACTCATGAACTCACGTACTCAAATACATTCATATGCCATGGATCCGATACCCGCCACGTGGGTATGCCAGTTGATTACACATATATTGTATGTAATCGATATTCGAGATTATTAGTGACTAGGCGTCTAGCACCTACAATAGATCAATTATGTTTAAAGGGCTGGTGTGAGATTAAACTACTTCACGCACTGTGCCAGCAGACCTCCTTTTGTACGGAGGAGCACGTCTCTACGCACTACGCATTGTCTTTTAGGCTTAAACCAATAGGTATTGTACACATGTGCCACTGGTCCGTAGATAGCATCAACATGTCATATTGAGGCGTCAGTGCATGGCTACAGCTGAATGAATGCCGAGTTGAATTATGTGCTTTAAAACCTAGATTCAATAAGTGTGTGATTATTTCGAACGTTTTGGTTTTCCCATCATGCTTCACCGCGTTCAATTAGTTTGTACTGGTATATAGATAAAAGCGACAAATCGCTTTGCATATTCATCGATTGTCCAATTCCGATCATGCGTTTATGAATCAATATCAAATAGTGATCATGCCAGATATTCCCGAAAAGGTGAGCGTATGTGGGTCTAAGTTTGTTTGCTGTTTTATCAGACAGTCATAATTGTTCTAGCTATATGACGACGGCCTGCGTGTTATCACGACCAGTCAAACCAGGCATTGATAAAATAAGTAAGTCCCAGCCCTTGTCCGACGTCATGCAATCAGCCATGTCAGCAAATCGGAAAACCCTGTCTCGTACAGCAAGCATAGTCTAGGTGTCAATTCTGACCCGGAATCCCTGCTGGGAATATTGATAAGAAAAATACACAGTCAGTTGTCACCTAGTGAGGGCAAAGGTTACACATATAGGTGAGTATATGATATGTATGGGTAAGTCTGTGAGTGAGTCAGCTATATGTTTAACGCTGCTGTGAACATTATTTCAATTATAGGAATGCGAGAAAAAACAAAAGTGATGTTTGGTCGTCAGAAATGGTGTAGACAAACCAATAATAATCATGAGCGCGAATAAGTTTGGGAACCCATGTCATTGATCTGTAGTATTGTAGTGATCTTCGGACTATCACCACCACACGTATACCCGAAAATGTCTGTACACTGCTGAAGTTAAGGCTTATTAACCCGACTTGACAGAACCACATGCAGTGTTAACAAGATGCGTTCAACCGCACTTGCACAAATTTATATTGTAGGTTTACCTACACGAAATGTCAGAGGCAAAGATCCAACTGGTATACGTTTAAATGAAAGCAATCAAACGAACCGACGGTCAGCAATACTGGATAAAGCAGGTACAATGAACGGACCAGGAACTGTTTGAGACATGTCAGCCAATATGTAGCATACGTTTGAGGTCGGGGGCGGTCGGGTGGCCTAGTGGTTAAAGCGTTCGACGCCGGAGACCCAGGTTCGATTCCCGACATGGGTACAATGTGTAAAGCCCATTTCTGGCGTCCCCCGCCTTGATATAATTGCTGGAATATTGCTAAAAGCGCCGTAAAACCATACTCACTCGCTCACTTTTGAGTTCGTTCCGTTAATTTTCATCATGGTGTTTAGTCAGTGTCAGCTACAGTCTAGCAGCACCACGCTACCGGATACAAAGGACTAGCTTCTAATAATGTACCCATGAGGGAAATGGACACGCTTTGAGGACTGAGCTAACGGGTGATCATGACGTCGGTCCATGTGTCTAGTCCAGCTATGTACTTTCATGTGGCTTTGTCTTACAGTAACGATACAGTGGAACACGTTTCACATAAACGATGAGATACATGCCTTGAGGTACATGTTCTCCTTATCTTTCAAGCCATTTTAAAATGAGTTATTTGAATTCGACGTGGTAATCATACTAACTACGTATGGTCACTAAACAGTACAATACAATATCACAACACGGCTGATGACTGAGAATTACCGTTGTAACTTCATCCATCAGTGAACAGAGTCTCGGCATCTTCCGGAAGGCGAGTCTAAACCGGGCCTTCCGCTTCCGTCTTTTGTCCTCGTCCTGGCGCTGCATGTCGATGGCGGCTGACTTGTTTTGTCTGGTCAAGGTAAGGGCGTCTGTGACCAAGGACTTCAACCTGAAGCGTGTGGTCATCTGATTGAAACGGTCGATGTATTCATCAGCATTGGACACCATAGACATACTGGAGTCCTTCCGGAACAACACTTTCTTCTTGTCCATAATGGCCGCTCGGAAAATCTGAAAAAAAAAGGAATAGATTCTAAGAAATCTGATCGTATTAATTCCTGATTGCTCATAGTTTTGAAGAGGCAGTGAATCCTTGCAAACTTGAACTCTGTAAACTCGATGTTTCGTTTAATGCGATGGAACTTTCTATTATCATTTCTATCCGTGTGATAACTCATCGACACATCGTGTGTCTCGAATTACTGATAACCTGACATATTTCTCAATGGTCTCCGGCACTTCGAGTTGCCGGTGCTCTGTACGGTGCTTTGGAATAGTTCTGACTAAACACATATCACAGGCATGTACACGATGCACAAATACCCTAAAGTTAATTCCTCTGCAGATTGTCAACCAGAACCGACACACCTGCACTTAATTGAAATAACGGTACTCAGTCATGCCTATGACGATTCCTGAAAAAATAGATTTCCTGTTAAATTCATTCGTTGCCTTATATGGGGGCCATTACCTCGATGGGTTGGTTCTGGTAACCATATCATCGATACCCACGTTTACCGGGGATGCAAGGCATCACTTGTCCCTTCAAGTCGGTAGAGCACTACTGAGGTAGCATATAAACAAACAAATAGAAAATCGACTGGCGGAAAAACGCAATCTTCTTAAAGCTATTGATTATTCATTTAGCTCATAGTTTCATTTATATTTTCATTTCATTTAATGAACTTAGCAAAATCAATACATTCAATATTCAATATCCGTGGTGCAGATGACAAATATTGCGTATTTAAGTGGCTGTAGTATCCCACCGAGAATACTGAATTAGTATTTACAGATTGAAATAAAAAAATTGCAGCAAAGAGGGTTTGGGTGATCCTGGCACAGTCAGGCTGGTTAGGTTCATCATCAGCTCAGGGCCCTTGTCCCCTCTACACGCTGCCCAGACAGCGAATGGGACTTCTCCCAGGAAGCGCTGCCTTGTCAAACCCACCCTCAACCTTTCGGAGAATGTGAAGACTCCCCAACACTGCAGCCTTCTGCATTACCCAGATTGCCAGAAGGGCTGTATACCTGGTAGCAAACCCGGGTTCTCTCCCAATGTCAGCCAAACCTAAGGCACCGAGAACAATGGGGAGTCGGACAACTTTGTACTTGGGATGCAAGCGTGACATTTCGAAAGCGAGGTCTGCAAATTTGCCATGTTTTTGCTGAATCTTGTCAATCACAATATAGTCAACGGGGAAAGAAAGTTCAATGATATAAATTATTTTATTGGATTTATCAAAAAGGACAAGATCAGGTTTGTTGGCCTGGATACGCCTGAGGCTGTAAATGGGCCTATTCCAAAGAATTTTGTATTTATCGTTTTGCATGACGCCCTTTACATATTCCGGGTCGAACCATGGGTGGACCTTTGTGTCAAAACCACAAGCATGGCGAAGACTGTAATAAAATGATCGAGCTACACCATCATGTCGTTTAAGATACTGTGTTTGTGCCAAAACTGGGCATCCACCGACAATGTGTTGGACAGTCTAATTAAATTCATTACCTAATCTACAGTTCATATTTACATTTTTGTGCACATTGACGGCTTCGGGTGGGAAGTGACTGGTCCTGAGCAGCAAACAGAGAGCCTTCTGTTTCACTTTTCAGGCCAGACGACTTCATCCAAGCGAAGGACTCTGCACACTTGCTGTTGATCTCAACACACTGCACATAAACTCGATGCAGTGGTCGTTCAGAAAGCCTCTCCTTGAAGAACTGAGTCTGGGCCGACTTGATATGGCACTTCGCTTGGTTGACACTTATTTCGTACCGTCATGCAGTACAGAATCATCAACAATATCAACACCGACATTGAGATTATGTCCCACATCCTTGGGTCGTTTACGAAAACTGTGGAATGCCTTGTTTTCATCATTGTTTCAGTCTTGACATGCTTCACAAGAGGATCATCAGACAAATAAATGTGTGCAACAGTGCACAAAACAGTTCTATCATGACGAGCCCCAACGTTAATCAAACCACGTACTCCCATAAGGATTGGTAAATATAAACGATTGAGGGAAGAGCGAGGGTGGTAGGATCTATTGTTTGACATGATTCTTCGTGTGAGGGTGTCAATACCCTGAATTTCTTGTTTCATCCAATCAACAACACCAAAAGAATATGAAAGGACGGGTACAGCATAAATATTTGTGGCTTTTACTTTATTGCGAGCGTTCATCTCGGATCAGCAGATTTTCTTAAGTCTACATTTGTACTCTGCCCCTAAGTTTTTCCT